GGTCCCACATGCTTCTAAATGGTATGTATTACACCACATCAAGTTTTTGCAGGTGTCAGAAGGATGGTATGTACGTTATTATTATGTTCTCTTGCTTCAATGTCTTTCAATCTGCAGTTTTGTTTCTATTTTAATTATCCTATATTCAGTGTGTCTCAGGTATAGATGTTTCTAAATGGTATGTATTACACAAAATGCATGTAGGTGTCAATATGGTATGTATTGCATGTGTTCTTGTTCACAAGTTTTCCCAGTTCAAGAATTGGTTATTACACATTACTGATGGATATGATGGAAAATTCACTTTACTGCTTTGAATGAACATGAATGTTTTGCCATGATCAGCAGAATCCTTTTTTTTTCTTTTGCAGATATTTGTCTGTCATTGGCTTTGTCATTAACATTGACACGTTGATGGTGATGGTATGTCCTCACCTACAGGTTCAGCCAGGATCACTTGGAGCTCCTTTTTAATTCAATTAGAGCGTCAGGTAGGGTTGATGTTCTTATAATTACAATAATTCGGAAAAATTACTTGAAGAATATCTTTGTGTGTTATATCTTGTGTGTCTTTTGTGCCTGTTTTACATACAAGGTGGCTGGAATAACAATCCGTCTGCACGCCAGTTCCAGGCCATCTTCCGCCATCTGATGGTCCGGTGTGGTGTCTCTCCTAGTGAGACAGGCAATGTGGCAGCCCAAGATGACACTGTGTCCTTGTCTGCATTAGAGATGTCGTCTGCTGAAACTGCTGAAGAGCACCCATCTCCATTTGCCAACATTTCAGCTGTTGTGTGTGACCATAGCTATCTTCCCACTCGGTTTGGAGGTCTGGTGGAAAATTCTCTGGTCTACATAGCAGGATTTGTAGTCCGGCAGATTCTGCGCAAGCTGTCCTGTGATGTTTGCCGTGCGAGCTTGGTCAGAGATGCTGTACCATCATCATTTGATGAGAGCTACCACCTTCTAGCCCTGAAAAACAACGGTGGCCTCGTGATTCCATCACAAGGCACGGTGAAGGTGCTGAGAGCTGCAGAGAGGGTGATTCGCCGAGCTTCAACACTGCAAGCTCCAAAGCTGTCGACAGTCACGCACATCGTCCGGGAGGAGATCGGAACGGAGGATGTTTTTCTACTTGGTGAACACATTGAGGAGACACAGTATGGCATCGACAACCATCATTCCAACTTGTTGTCATTGGCTGTGTCTGTATTTCTGAAGATAAGGCTGCACCACATAGCCAAACTCACCTCTCTTGATCTACAGAAAGGAAGCACGAGAAAGAAGCTCTGCAAAACAGTCCTCTTTCAGGGGTTTTAGCTCATGTAACAATTTCATGAGCACATTTGTATGTGTAAATATGGTTTGGTACAGGAGGGTGTCATGTGTTAGTGTTTAACACTTACTATGTCTTTGCTTTGTTCTAGTCACTCATGGTTGTCACTCTTTTTTATTATAACCATATAGATATTTCACACACACACATATATATATATGTATGTATGTATGTGTATATATATATATGTGTATGTATGTATGTGTATATATATATATGTATGTATGTATGTATATATATATATATATGTATGTATGTATGTATGTATATATATTATATATATGTATGTATGTATGTGTATATATATATATACCCCAAGTCTTTGTGGCCATAGTTACTCCCAGGCATCATAAGGCTTTGACTTAATGCCCACTCTCTGACTGGGGAGCACATCTGCCTCAAAACACGGAACTCAGTACCAGAGTCAAAGTATTTCACATTCTTTACATAACACATCATTGTCTGCATCGATAGATTTATATGATTTAGGTTCTCTTTTGTATAGACACTGGGGGCCTGAGTGAGGTAATTATAGATATTAGGCCAGGTAACTGATGGCCATTTTCTCCTATCTACAACCCACTGTTCTGTGAGAATAGTATTATTATTACATGTTTATTTGACAGGCACAGAACAAAAAGTATTGTTACAGGTAACCAATGCCATGTTCATAGGCCGTATAGCAAACAGATAATTGGCAGTCGCTAAGGCATAAAAATATTAGAGATTTCAGTTCAGCAGGTAAAATGTTCCAGAGCTGTGGCTCTTCAACTGCAAACGAAGTCTGACCAAATGATGTTTTACATCTTGCCGGTCTGCAGTGTGTATGGATCAGGAACTGGTGCCCATCGCAGAGGACCAATTTATGAAGATAACCTACACGATCAGAACTATTCAGGGGTTCTGTGTAGTGTGTAGAGATGATAGCCATCCTAAACTAGCAAACACAATACAGGTACAGAAGCCAATTATGACAGGTTGAAACAGCTTAGCCCCAATTTTAAGTTCATATTAATAAAAATACATGAAATCAAATGAAGTTTACTACTATTTAGCAATGTTAACAATTCAGATAGCTCATTTGTTTCAAAACTTTGTATACACATTTTTGATATTTGGGTTTATGGACTGACAGATTTATTGCTAGTTAGCATAGACTCATTAGGTCAACCCCCTATAATTATGCAAATAAAAAGCAAACAAATAACTCAGAGACAGTTTTATTAAACTTTGATAACGGTCCTGACATGATTCTGACAAAGCATTCAGTGTAAACAACGTACAGCGATGACAAAGGTCCCGGGATGTACCTGGCTAGCCTTGCGGCAACATAGGCTGATGACGTTATTAGGAGAGAATATTAAACATTTACGAACTAAACATGTCCTGGTGTAAGCCTATAGGGTGTCCACAACAGTGTACATACCACGTTAAAGACTACAATAGCCAGCCCAGTTAGGGTTATAAAAAAGATATACAGTCTATGGATTAATCATATGCTTTCCATGCATAAGCATTCCATCTCCAAGCTGCAGTGGGCTGTTTACCTTTCACTGGCCCCGCCCCCAAGCGACAAAAGTATTCACGCGCGCGTAGAAGACATGGCAAAAGTGTTCAACACGCGCAGAACACAGACCACGAGAAGGGAGAGGGCAGGTCACGAGCGCGCACACGCGCGTATTGTGGCTTGTAGTACTGAGTCTGCGCGCGGGTGTGGTGTGAAATATGCTCGTGGAGAGTAGTTTACGCGCGTGTGAATTACATAAAGCTGCGCGTGTATGTTTTAATTGCGCGTGTGGACTTTTGGCGTAAATCTGGCGCCATACTTTTGACGCCGAAGTTAAGTCCGGTGTGAACGCCCCTTCACAGACAGATCAGATCCACTTTTAGAATGAAATAAATACGTTCTGCTCTATTTTAAACCGTTATTATCACGGTATTAACGTAATTAACACGACGAGAATATTTTATTATCAAAGATGTGAAGTGAACAGGTGTCAGGCGCCATCTTGTCTTTACCTACAGGAAGTCGCACTTTCAAAACTCATGTATTTTTAAATAAACTGGCTTTAAATCGTCTGTACAGAATCACTGCGGTTTGACTATAAATCATAATCAAATTTAACTAACTTACAACAAGTCTATATTGATTTTGATCGTTAAATCCAGCATCTTTCACCCTGCGTCGCTTTTATTGTGTAGGAGCGGGGCGGATGTGCGTGGCTGTTTTCGCGGGCTTTATGGCTGCTGTTGTTGTGTGAGGATCAAAGATGGCGGTGGTGATGGAGGATGGAGAATAGACCGGAGCGTCATCCAAAGCGAAGCCGTGACAGATCGCTCTTAACGCGGGGAGACAGCAGGGCGAGCCGCTGTCAGAACCACGACTGAAAACTAACGCTTCAACACTTTATTTATTCTACACATACAACAGCATCTTCTGGTGAGATAAATAATATTGATTTATTTATTAAGATGGAATTAGAATAAAACATTTGTATTTTAAATTAGGCATCACTTAGAAAGGTGCCTTTATTACAATATAATGTTTTTTATGTGCACCGTTTGCATGCGTAATTATTATTGTTCACCTTGTCCTGTTAAAGCTAAGGTTATTACAAGGTTATTTAATTGTACCTTGAGTTTACTGTTATTATTCAATGCATTTATTCTATACATTCACGTTGATGTGATGGCGGCGAGGACAGGGCGTGGCGTCTGCAGGCGCACACCTCACAGTATATGAGCTCCTTAAACTGTTCATTTAATCCGTGAGATTCCAGCACTGTACGTGATATTATTCATTATTAAATAGTAATAAACAGGAGCTGGCGGCGGTGCTTTGTTATCAGTCTGCAGCCTTTGGACCACAGACAGTAACACGGAAATGCATTCATTATAATAGATCCATGGGGACAATCCTGAGGAAATAAACCAGAGAATCTACAACACTGTGCTGTTTGAATGTTACTATAATGTTTCTCTGCATTATTGGGAATAACACAGTGCACTGCTCTTTGACATCATATAAAATACAGCATAGACTTTAACTGGAAAATATACGGTAATAGAATATAATGATAATGCAGCCAGAGACAGAAGTTCAATGTATATGTGCCTCGTAGAAGACAATAATAACAAATACATAGAGACATGAGACTCTAGATCCAGGACTGAAGCTGTAGATCCAGGATTCATGTACTCCAGCTTTAAACATGTGTATATACAGTAAGTGAGACGTGATTCTCCCTCAGTGTGTAAATTCCAGTGCTGCAGTGCACAGAACAGGACTACAAGCACAAACATGTTTTTTCCCTGAAGAATGTGTTGTTCACAGACTGTGCCCAGAACGAAAAAAACAAAAACACATTTATGAGCTGAGCTTGAGTTAGAGTTGCTGCTCCCTTACCACACACCGCAGACTCTGAAAAACAACTATTCTTGTGCTGAAAACACACACATATACACACACATGCACACACACACACAGAGAGACACAGACAGAGACACACACACATAGATACACGTACACACAGAGAGACACAGACAGAGACACACACACACATGCACACACACACACAGAGACACAGACAGAGACACACACACATGCTTTAAAGTCACGTACCACAACTTTAGACAATGTGTGTTCCTCCTCAGAGCCAGAGCCATGGACACCACCACCTCCATAAAGATGACCACTCTGGCCATTCAGAACCTGTTTGTTCTGGTGGAGGAGGAGAACCTTCCCGGGATGAAGAGCCACCTGGACCGATACAAGGAGGTGGACGGCCGAAGCGATGTGAGACTCCCCTCTTCACACCACAGTTCCATTATTAGTAGCATTTACAGTAGCATTAGCTGGCATTACCAGTAGTAGTAGCAGTACCATGAACAGTAGTAGTATCAGTAGAAGTAGCAGTTTTTTACATGTCCTGTATTCTCCTGAACAGAATGGTCAGACTCCTTTGATGCTAGCAGCGGAGCAGGGCAGTCTGGAGATCGTTCAGGAGCTGATCCGCAGAGGAGCTAACGTCAACCTGGACGACGTGGTGAGAGCTAAAATGCTAATGGACTGCTAACGACAGGCTAATTACATGCTAATGACATGCTGCCTGTTTATATACAATCATAGATGACTATAAGTGATACATATTAAGTAAGTAAGTAATCTTTATTTATATTTTGCCTTTCACAGACCAAATTCACAAAGCGGTTTACAATTGTTATTATTATTATTATTTTTTTACAGATGTCCTGTTGATATTAACCATCAACAGGACATCACAGAGGCTTTAGTGACATCACAGAGGCTTTAGTGACATCACAGAGGCTTTAGTGACATCACAGAATCACAGAGGGTTTAGTGACATCACAGATGGATGTACAGCATTAGACATGTTCATTGAGGTTTGGAGGTTAGAGCCCGAAGAGTCTAGACCAGACCTGGGCTCATTTTTTATTTTCTGTGCTACTTTAACGAATATGCGTCTTGGTTAATGTTTGGAGCACAAAGACAATTATGTAGTATCCTTATGGTACATTCACTGAGCATGTTCACTTTTAGAATCAATAAATAATGTTTGTATTATAATCAAACTTTTTAATTGTTTGATTTTAATACAGCCTACTTTTAACCATCTTGTCAAAACAATGCTATTCAAGGCTTATATAAATATACAAAATTGTTTTTATGATGTATATATAATTTTTTTTCCTACAACTAATATTACGTATAGTTGAGTTCATATTTTTGACCTGGCGCTCCACAACGTTCTCTCTTTCTCATGTGGCCCACCCCTGTCTGGGCTCACGGCCGCGTTGCCTGGAGACCGTCTCCATGGAAACTGCCTCCAGTCGCCGCAGTGACCTGCTCACATCCCCCACACCGCAGCTTCACGTCAACATTGTCCAGTATTTTTCTCCATCCTCCAGCTCTGGCGCTCTTCCCTGTCCCTGCAGAAGAAAAGCAGCCCCACAACACGATGCTTGCCGGCTCAGAGACGGGCCATGGTCCTAGAGCCCTGCACGGGCCTATTATCTGGGCCCAAGTGCAGGGCTCTAGGACCTGCACTAACACAGTTTGTCCCCTGGTGTGAAAACCATTACTAGGATTTAAATGTTGCAAAGACCAAGGAGATGATTATTGATTTCAGACGCGTTACATCCAATGACACCAGCGTCATCCACGGTGGGAATGTGGAAATCATGGACAGTTACAAGTATCTTGGAACAACGATGGACAACAAACTGAAGTTTGACATAAACACTGAGTCTAACATTAAACGCTCGCAGCAGAGAATGTACCTGTTGAGGAAATGTAACTCTTTTAATGTAAACAGGAACATTTTTAATAATTTTTATTGTTCTTTTATTGAAAGCCTTCTTAGCTTTTCTTTTATATGTTGGTTCCAAAGCCTGACGCTGAAGGACAGAAATAAGTTACAGAGTATTGTGAGAATCGCTGGAGGAAAACTCAGAGACCTTCACTCTCTGTGGGAGGAACAGGTTCTGCTCAGCCCAAACATCCTCTGATCGCTGACTTTGTAATGATGCCTTCAGGGCGTCGTTTTTATGCTCCAGCAGCACGGAAAACAAACGTTTTTTCCAATTTTTTTTTGCCCTCTGCCATAAAACTGTTGAACTCTGGTAAAGGTGTTCAACTTTTGGGAATTGTGTTGTTTTGAACTCATATTGTGTAACCTGCTGCTGTGTGAACTGTGAGGCCTGACTCACTGTGTGTTTGTGTGTGTGTTCTGCTTTGAGATTATGCTGCAAATTAATTACCCTTTGGGATCAATTCAGTTTTCTGAATCTGAATCTAATTCTACCCCCTATCTGACTCTGGGGATGTGGAGCAGTGTTTGTGTTATACATGTTGAGTGTTAGGGTTAGGGTTAAAGGATGGGTTGAGGTCTGGGACTAGGTCTGGGTTTAGCCCTGGGACACTCTATCCACTACCACTCTAGTCCACATCTGTCCTCAGTGCTGTCAGATCATTAAACCGTGCTCTGTGAGATATTCAAAGCTTTGGAAATGTTTGTATAACACATTGTGTATGTGTGTGTGTGTGTCTGTCTCTCTCTCTGCCTCTGTCTCTGCCTCTGTCTCTGCCTCTGTCTCTCTCTCTGCCTCTGTCTCTCTCTGTCTCTCTCTCTCTCTGCCTCTGTCTCTCTCTGTCTCTGTCTCTCTCTCTGCCTCTGTCTCTCTCTGTCTCTGTCTCTCTCTACGTCTGCCTCTGTCTCTCTCTGTCTTTGTCTCTCTGTCTCTGTCTCTGCCTCTGTCTCTCTCTGTCTCTGCCTCTGTCTCTCTCTGTCTCTGCCTCTGCCTCTGTCTCTCTCTGTCTCTGCCTCTGTCTCTCTCTGTCTCTGTCTCTGCCTCTTTCTGTCTCTCTTTCTGCCTCTGTCTCTGCCTCTGTCTCTCTTTCTGCCTCTGTCTCTGTCTCTGCCTCTGTCTCTTTCTGTCTCTCTTTCTGCCTCTGTCTCTGTCTCTGCCTCTGTCTCTTTCTGTCTCTCTGTCTCTCTCTGTCTCTCTCTGTCTCTGCCTCTTTCTGTCTCTCTTTCTGCCTCTGTCTCTCTCTCTGTCTCTTTCTGTCTCTCTTTCTGCCTCTGTCTCTGTCTCTGCCTCTGTCTCTTTCTGTCTCTCTTTCTGCCTCTGTCTCTGCCTCTGTCTCTTTCTGTCTCTCTTTCTGCCTCTGTCTCTGTCTCTGCCTCTGTCTCTTTCTGTCTCTCTGTCTCTCTCTGTCTCTGCCTCTGTCTCTCTCTGTCTCTGCCTCTTTCTGTCTCTCTTTCTGCCTCTGTCTCTCTCTGTCTCTTTCTGTCTCTCTTTCTGCCTCTGTCTCTGCCTCTGTCTCTGCCTCTGTCTCTGCCTCTGTCTCTGCCTCTGTCTCTGCCTCTGTCTCTGCCTCTCTTTCTGCCTCTGTCTCTGCCTCTGTCTCTTTCTGTCTCTCTTTCTGTCTCTCTTTCTGCCTCTGTCTCTGTCTCTGCCTCTGTCTCTTTCTGCCTCTGTCTCTCTCTGTCTCTTTCTGTCTCTCTTTCTGTCTCTCTGTCTCTCTCTGTCTCTGCCTCTTTCTGTCTCTCTTTCTGCCTCTGTCTCTCTTTCTGCCTCTGTCTCTGTCTCTTTCTGTCTCTCTGTCTCTGCCTCTGTCTCTTTCTGTCTCTCTGTCTCTCTTTCTGCCTCTGTCTCTGTCTCTGTCTCTTTCTGTCTCTCTGTCTCTGCCTCTTTCTGTCTCTGCCTCTGCCTCTGTCTCTTTCTGTCTCTCTGTCTCTGCCTCTGTCTCTTTCTGTCTCTCTGTCTCTGCCTCTGTCTCTTTCTGTCTCTCTGTCTCTGCCTCTTTCTGTCTCTGCCTCTGCCTCTGTCTCTGCCTCTGTCTCTGTCTCTTTCTGTCTCTCTGTCTCTTTCCGTCTCTGTCTCTGTCTCTGCCTCTGTCTCTTTCTGTCTCTCTGTCTCTTTCTGTCTCTGTCTCTGCCTCTGTCTCTGCCTCTGTCTCTTTCTGTCTCTCTGTCTCTTTCTGTCTCTCTGTCTCTGCCTCTTTCTGTCTCTCTGTCTCTGCCTCTGTCTCTGCCTCTGTCTCTGCCTCTGTCTCTTTCTGTCTCTCTGTCTCTTTCTGTCTCTCTGTCTCTTTCTGTCTCTCTGTCTCTGCCTCTGTCTCTCTGTCTCTCTGTCTCTGCCTCTGTCTCTCTGTCTTTCTGTCTCTGCCTCTGCCTCTGCCTCTTTCTGTCTCTTTCTGTCTCTCTGTCTTTCTGCCTCTGCCTCTGCCTCTGCCTCTGTCTCTGTCTCTGCCTCTGTCTCTGCCTCTGCCTCTGTCTCTTTCTGTCTCTCTGCCTCTGTCTCTGTCTCTTTCTGTCTCTCTGTCTCTGCCTCTGTCTCTTTCTGTCTCTCTGTCTCTGCCTCTGTCTCTTTCTGTCTCTCTGTCTCTGCCTCTTTCTGCCTCTGCCTCTGTCTCTGTCTCTGCCTCTGTCTCTTTCTGTCTCTCTGTCTCTGCCTCTGCCTCTGTCTCTTTCTGTCTCTCTGTCTCTGCCTCTGTCTCTGTCTCTGCCTCTGTCTCTGCCTCTGCCTCTGTCTCTTTCTGTCTCTCTGCCTCTGCCTCTGTCTCTGTCTCTTTCTGTCTCTCTGTCTCTGCCTCTGTCTCTTTCTGTCTCTCTGTCTCTGCCTCTGCCTCTGTCTCTTTCTGTCTCTCTGTCTCTGCCTCTTTCTGCCTCTGCCTCTGTCTCTGTCTCTGCCTCTGTCTCTTTCTGTCTCTCTGTCTCTTTCTGTCTCTCTGTCTCTGCCTCTGCCTCTGCCTCTGTCTCTGCCTCTGCCTCTGTCTCTGCCTCTGTCTCTTTCTGTCTCTCTGTCTCTGCCTCTGTCTCTGCCTCTGCCTCTGCCTCTGCCTCTGTCTCTGTCTCTGTCTCTGCCTCTGTCTCTGCCTCTGTCTCTTTCTGTCTCTCTGTCTCTGCCTCTGCCTCTGTCTCTTTCTGTCTCTCTGCCTCTGTCTCTTTCTGTCTCTCTGTCTCTGCCTCTGTCTCTTTCTGTCTCTCTGTCTCTGCCTCTGTCTCTTTCTGTCTCTCTGTCTCTGCCTCTTTCTGCCTCTGCCTCTGCCTCTGCCTCTGCCTCTGCCTCTGTCTCTGCCTCTGTCTCTCTGTCTCTTTCTGTCTCTTTCTGTCTCTCTGTCTCTGCCTCTGCCTCTGCCTCTGTCTCTGCCTCTGCCTCTGTCTCTGCCTCTGTCTCTTTCTGTCTCTTTCTGTCTCTCTGCCTCTGCCTCTGTCTCTGTCTCTTTCTGTCTCTCTGTCTCTTTCTGTCTCTCTGTCTCTGCCTCTGCCTCTGCCTCTGCCTCTGTCTCTGCCTCTGTCTCTGCCTCTGTCTCTGCCTCTGTCTCTGCCTCTGTCTCTTTGTCTCTTTCTGTCTCTCTGTCTCTGCCTCTGTCTCTTTCTGTCTCTCTGTCTCTCTGTCTCTGCCTCTGTCTCTGCCTTTCTGTCTCTTTCTGTCTTTCTGTCTCTCTGTCTCTTTCTGTCTCTTTCTGTCTCTCTGTCTCTGCCTCTGTCTCTCTGTCTCTTTCTGTCTCTCTGTCTCTGCCTCTGTCTCTCTGTCTTTCTGTCTCTGCCTCTGCCTCTGTCTCTTTCTGTCTCTCTGTCTCTTTCTGCCTCTGCCTCTGCCTCTGTCTCTTTCTGTCTCTCTGTCTCTTTCTGCCTCTGCCTCTGCCTCTGTCTCTTTCTGTCTCTCTGTCTCTTTCTGCCTCTGCCTCTGCCTCTGTCTCTCTCTGTCTCTCTGTCTCTTTCTGCCTCTGCCTCTGCCTCTGCCTCTGTCTCTGCCTCTGCCTCTGCCTCTGCCTCTGTCTCTGTCTCTGCCTCTGTCTCTGTTCCAGGACTGTTGGTCAGCTCTGATCTCTGCCTCTAAAGAGGGTCACCTGGAAGTGGTGAAGGAGCTGCTGGAGAACAGTGCTTACATTGAGCACCGTGACATGGTGAGAGTGACTTGTAGACCGTAGACCTCTGACAAGAGGTGAGAGCATGAATCTATACTAATATCTGGATCTGTTGTAATAACTGGATCTGTAGTAATAACTGGATAGATTGGTATAACTAGCTTATAGTTGGGCACAGGGGACACTCGCCGTACTTCAGAATTCACGTTTCCCAGAAAAAATTCCCATAGAACTCAATTTAAACTATAACAGCTCGACCTCAGCTGACAGAGAACGTACAGCTTTCATAAAGGAGGATTCTGTGGGATGTTAGTGTCCCTTGTTATCCTGAACCATCGTTCTGGTTAAATGCTTCTTGGGAACTCATCCACTACGCAGAACCAGGAGGACCAGAGAAATGTCTAAATATGGCTTTAACATGGTACCTCTGTTTAAGGTGGTACCTCTGTTTAAGATGGTACCTCTGTTTAAGGTGGTACCTCTGTTTAAGATGGTACCTCTGTTTAAGGTGGTACCTCTGTTTAAGGTGGTACCTCTGTTTAAGGTGGTATTTCTGTTTCAGGGGGGGTGGACCGCTCTGACCTGGGCATGTTACAAAGGACGAACTGAAGTGTGTAAACTGCTGCTGGAAGAAGGAGCCAACCCCAACACTACAGGACAGGTAAGACCTCAGACCGGGCTCGGTCCTGGTCCGGTCGTGGTCCAGTCCTGGGCTGGTCCTGGTCCGGTCTTGGTGTGATCCAGTCTCTCTCCCGCAGCAGTACAGTGTGTATCCCATCATCTGGGCGGCAGGTCGGGGTCACTCAGAGGTCGTACGTCTGCTGTTGGAACACGGAGCCAAAGTCAACTGTTCAGACAAGGTACTTACAGCTGCTCAGACAGAGTATGACTTACAGCTGCTCAGACAGAGTATGACTTACAGCTGCTCAGACAGAGTACGACTTACAGCTGCTCAGACAGAGTACGACTTACAGCTGCTCAGACAGAGTACGACTTACAGCTGCTCAGACAGAGTACGACTTACAGCTGCTCAGACAGAGTATGACTTACAGCTGCTCAGACAGAGTACGACTTACAGCTGCTCAGACAGAGTACGACTTACAGCTGCTCAGACAGAGTATGACTTACAGCTGCTCAGACAGAGTATGACTTACAGCTGCTCAGACAGAGTACGACTTACAGCTGCTCAGACAGAGTACGACTTACAGCTGCTCAGACAGAGTACGACTTACAGCTGCTCAGACAGAGTACGACTTACAGCTGCTCAGACAGAGTACAACTTACAGCTGCTCAGACAGAGTATGACTTACAGCTGCTCAGACAGAGTATGACTTACAGCTGCTCAGACAGAGTACGACTTACAGCTGCTCAGACAGAGTACGACTTACAGCTGCTCAGACAGAGTACGACTTACAGCTGCTCAGACAGAGTACGACTTACAGCTGCTCAGACAGAGTACAACTTACAGCTGCTCAGACAGAGTATGACTTACAGCTGCTCAGACAGAGTATGACTTACAGCTGCTCAGACAGAGTACGACTTACAGCTGCTCAGACAGAGTACGACTTACAGCTGCTCAGACAGAGTATGACTTACAGCTGCTCAGACAGAGTACGACTTACAGCTGCTCAGACAGAGTATGACTTACAGCTGCTCAGACAGAGTACGACTTACAGCTGCTCAGACAGAGTACGACTTACAGCTGCTCAGACAGAGTACGACTTACAGCTGTTCAGACAGAGTACGACTTACAGCTGCTCAGACAGAGTACGACTTACAGCTGCTCAGACAGAGTACAACTTACAGCTGCTCAGACAGAGTATGACTTACAGCTGCTCAGACAGAGTATGACTTACAGCTGCTATTAAACTGTCATTACTCTGTGTGTGTTACAGTATGGTACCACTCCTCTGATCTGGGCGGCGAGGAAAGGACACTATGACTGTGTGATGCACCTGCTGGAGAACGGAGCCGATGTCGACCAGGAGGGGGCGGTAAGAAGCCAAAATGTCCTGCCTCTCTGCTCTCTCTCTCCTGTTCTCTTTCTGCTCTCTCCTGGTCCCTCTCTGGTCTCTCCTGGTCTCTCTCTGGTCCCTCTCAGATCCTCACCTGGTCTCCTGCTGGTCCCCTGTAGAACTCTGTGACGGCCCTGATTGTGGCGGTCCGTGGAGGGTACAGTGACGTGGTGAAGGAGCTGCTGAAGAGAAACCCTAACGTTAACATGACGGACAAAGACGGGAACACGGCTCTGATGAACGCGGCCAAAGAGGGATTCACCGAGATCATCCAGGACCTGCTGCAGGCTGGAACCTACGTCAACATCCCAGACCGGGTCAGACACACACACACACCTACGTCAACATCCCAGACCGGGTCAGACACACACACACACACACCTACGTCAACATCCCAGACCGGGTCAGACACACACACACACACACCTATGTCAACACCCCAGACCGGGTCAGACACACACACACACACACCTACGTCAACATCCCAGACCGGGTCAGACACACACACACACACACACCTATGTCAACACCCCAGACCGGGTCAGACACACACACACACACACACCTATGTCAACATCCCAGACTGGGTCAGACACACACACCACTTAAAGAGACACAAAGTTACAGAGCCCAGCTTTACTCCCTGTCTCTGAACAGAGTGGGGACACAGTCCTGATTGGAGCTGTCAGAGGAGGACACGTGGAGATTGTCAGAGCTCTGCTGCAGAAGTACGCTGACATCGACATCAGAGGACAGGTACCGTCTACGTTAGCATTAGCATCTGTATACAGTCTGTGTTAGCATTGTCCATCTTTATAAGTCAGCTCAAAACCCCATGAGTCTGACTTAACTCTAATGGCGCGTTCAGACCGGATCATGCATTGCGTCGGGTTTCAATGCAAAGTCTATGGTGATGCGTATTGCAGCGTCACAACGCACGGACCTCTCGGCACGCACGGACGGACTGTTCATTAGACATGCACGGACTTGGCGGGAAAGTCAAAGGGGAGGAGCAGGAGCGGAAAATCAACGCCCACAGGAGATGGATTCAGCGTTTGCGGTCTGAATGCACCATTACATGACTAGGGACAGCTGCTGTAGTGACTGTGGCAGCCATCTTGTGTTCCCAGAAAAGTCTCACAAATGAGAATGTGTGATGTGTATAATTTGTGTTTGTGTGTTTGCCGAGCTCAGGAGGGCAAGACCGCCCTCTATTGGGCAGTGGAGAAAGGGAACTCAACGATGGTGCGAGACATTCTGCAGTGTAACCCCGACACTGAAACCTACACTAAGGTAACTGACACACACACACACTCTCAAAGACACACTGTTTTGGTGTGTCTAACTGTTGTGTTGTGTGTTTAGGATGGAGAAACGCCTCTGATTAAAGCCACAAAGATGAGGAACATTGAGATTGTGGAACTGCTGCTGGACAAAGGAGCCAAGGTGTCAGCGGTGGACAAGGTAACACACTCCGTTACTCACTCTCACACACAAGCAGACACAGACACACACATACAGAGACAAACACAGATACTCACACATACAGAGATGCACACACATGCAGACAGACACACACATCATCACTGTGTCATCTTCCGCAGAGAGGAGACACACCCTTACACATCGCCATCCGTGGCCGCAGCAGGCGATTGGCCGAGCTGTTGCTAAGAAACCCCAAAGATGGCCGCCTTCTCTACCGCCCCAACAAGAGCGGAGAGACTCCATACAACATCGACTGTAACCATCAGAAAAGCATCCTGACCCAGATATTTGGAGCACGTATGTAACACTGTGTATACACATAGGTCACCTGTCTCTCTCTCCGTAGGTCACCTGTCTCTCTCTCTCTCTGTAGGTCACCTCTCTCTCTCTCTGTAGGTCACCTCTCTCTCTCTCTCTGTATGTCACCTGTGTGTCTCGCTCTCTGTAGGTCACCTGTCTCTCTCTGTAGGTCACCTCTCTCTCTCTCTCTGTATGTCACCTGTGTGTCTCTCTCTCTGTAGGTCACCTGTCTCTCTCTCTTTCTCTCTGTAGGTCACCTGTCTCTCCCTCTCTGTAGGTCACTTGTCTCTCCCTCTCTGTAGGTCACCTGTCTCTCCCTCTATGTAGGTCACCTGTCTCTCTCTCTGTAGGTCACCTGTCTCTCTCTCTGTAGGTAACCTGTCTCTCTCTCTCTGTAGGTCACCTGTCTCTCTCTCTGTAGGTAACCTGTCTCTCTGTAGGTCACCTGTCTCTCTCTCTGTAGGTAACCTGTCTCTCTCTCTGTAGGTAACCTGTCTCTCTCTCTCTGTAGGTCACCTGTCTCTCTCTCTGTAGGTCACCTGTCTCTCTCTATGTAGGTAACCTGTCTCTCTCTCTCTCTGTAGGTCACCTGTCTCTCTCTCTGTAGGTAACCTCTCTCTCTCTCTCTGTAGGTCACCTGTCTCTCTCTGTAGATCACCTGTCTCTCCCTCTCTGTGGGTAACCTGTCTCTCTCTCTGTAGGTCACCTGTCTCTCCCTCTATGTAGGTCACTTGTCTCTCTCTCTATAGGTCACCTGTCTCTCCCTCTCTGTAGGTCACCTGTGTCTCTCTCTCTGTAGTTCAACTGTGTCTCTCTCTCTGTAGATCACCTGTTTCTCTCTCCGTAGGTCACCTGTCGCTCTCTCTCTCTCACTCTCTTTGTAGCTCACCTGTCTCTCTCTCTGTAAGTCACTTGTCTCTCTCTGTAGGTCACCTGTCTCTCTCTCTGTAGATCACCTGTCTCTCTCTCTGTAGGTCACCTGTCGCCCTCAGACTCGGGCGGGGACATGCTGGGGTATGACCTGTACTCGTCAGCTCTGGCAGACATCCTGAGTGAGCCTACCATGCAGCCGCCCATCTGTGTGGGGCTCTACGCCCAGTGGGGCTCTGGGAAGAGCTTCCTGCTCAAGAAACTGGAAGGTACCAGAACACACACACACACACACACACTAACCACTGTGGAGGAGCAGCGGCTCTACTCTGAGCAACTCCAGTGTGACGTGGCTCCTCCCCCTCTCTCTAAGGGAGCTCGTTGTTAAATCAAGATAAACTCCACTTGTAGTTCGTTACATTTATTTTCGTCCACCCCACGCAGGTTCCACATACATTCACCTGTTACGGTCTGCATACAAGAAAAAACATGTGCGCTATACAAAGAGCGCTAGAGCCCCCTAGCTGTAAGGCATGGAAGGTGAACATTAAACCAAGAGCTAACAAACTCACTCTCCTTATAAAAAAAAAAAAAATAAACCCTCTTTTTTAACACAACATGGACATGTAGCCATTATTAACAGAATCGTTTTATAACATTCAGATGTTCACCCAACAGCCCACTGTCCTTCATGAAGAGCCTTTAGCAGCCTAGCTGAAGAGGCACCCTTTTTTGTTAGGCAGTCTGCAAGTTGGTCTTTGGTTTCTGACCACACCACCTGTTGAACCATTTTGTTTTGGATCAGTTCTTTTATAGAACTAATTTCCAAGCGTAGTCTCTTTTCAGTCACAAACTTTGTAGACTTCAGTGCATCAACAAGAGAAAAGTTATCAGTAACACAGATTATTGGCACACTGTGATCTGTACAACCTGCACTCAGCTCAGAAAACAATGTAGAAAGAAAAATGGCATTGTCAACTCCCTCAGACATTGCTAGCGTTTCACCTGCAAGTGTACTTCTGACAACTCTCTTGATCCTCTTTGACTGCCATGATATTGGAGAGAAGTGTCCATTGTCACCCATTAAAACAATAAGGTGCCCACCTTGAGTACCCCCATCTGATAGGTTAGCGAAAGAAGCGTCAGTGAAAGTAACAATCTTTAAGCTACTGTCTTTACCAAGGTGCTGGAAATTCAACTCGACTGATTTGGCTTTAAGTTTGCACACAACTCTGTTTGCTTCATTGATGGTTTGTATAGTAGCCTGCTTGAGATTTGATGCTAAGTTACTTGCATCAAACATAACATCAGGTCTGCTTTGTCTGGCAACCCACAACAGTTGCCCTATCTTAGATCTTAGAAGGTCTTTCTCAGTTTCTGTGAGCAATGAGCTTGGCTCGGCAGCCCGTGAAGGAGCAAGAGGGATGGGCTGTAAATGCTGAATATATGTCTCTTGTTGAATTTGGACTTTTTTGCCTAAAGTAACAAAATCAACACCCACATAATAATAATAATAATAATAAATTTTATTTAAAAGCGCCTTTCAAAACACCCAAGGACACTGTACAGGCATAATAAAAACATTTAAAAACAGGATAAACAGAATAAAACAGTAGTCAGGTGCAATATGGGATGGTGTGTGTGTGTGTGTGAGTTAGGAGGGTGTGTGTGTGCGTATGTGTTAGGTGTGTGTGTGTGTGTGTGTGTGTGTGTGTGTGTGCGCGCGTGTGTGTTAGGTGGGGTAGGACAGTCTGAACAGATGGGTTTTGAGTCGGGATTTGAAGAGTGGAAGAGAGTCAATGGTACGGAGGTCAGGGGGGAGAGAGTTCCAGAGCTGGGGGGCAGAGTGGCTGAAGGCTCTGTGTCCCACAGTGATGAGTCTGGCTGGGGGGACGGAGAGTGTGAGGGTGGAGGAGGAGCGGAGTGTGCGGGCAGGAATGTGAGGGTGGAGGAGGTCAGATAAGTACGGAGGGGCCAGGTTGTGAAGTGCTTTGAAGGTGGTGAGGAGTATTTTGAAATTGATGCGCTGTTTGACAGGAAGCCAGTGGAGTTGTTGTAGTACGGGGGTGATGTGGTGAGCTGTGGGGGTCCGGGTGATGATACGAGCTGCAGAGTTTTGGAGGAGCTGCAGTTTCTGGAGGGATTTGTTGGGGAGGCCGAAGAGAAGTGAGTTGCAGTAGTCAATCCTTGAGGTGACGAGGCTGTGGACGAGGATGGCGGTGGTGTGGGGGGTGAGAGAGGGGCGGAGACGAGAGATATTGCGCAGGTGGAAGTAGGCAGACCGAGTGATGTTATTGATGTGGGATTGGAAGGAGAGTGAACTGTCGAGGATGACACCCAGGCTCTTGACTTGAGGGGAGGGGAGGACAGATGTGTTATGGATGGAGATTGAGAAGCTGGTAGATTTGGAGAGAGTGGAGGGGGTGCCTATGAGAAGGACTTCAGTTTTTGAGCTATTGAGTTTGAGAAAGTTGGAAGAGAACCAGGAATGAATTTCTTGTAGACAGAGGGTGAGGGAGGATGGAGGGAGAGAGGAAGATGGTTTAGTGGAGAGGTAGAGCTGGGTGTCATCCGCGTAGCAGTGGAAGTGAATGTTGTGACGGCGGAGGATGTGACCGAGTGGGAGAATATAGATGATGAAGAGGAGGGGCCCCAGGACAGAGCCCTGGGGCACACCAGCAGAGACAGGAAAAGTGCGGGATTTGTGGGATTTGAGATGAATGAACTGTGAGCGACCAGAAAGATAGGAGGTGAACCAGGCGAGGGGGGTGTGGGTGATGCCGATGGAGGAGAGTCTGTTCAGGAGGGTGGAGTGAGAAATGGTGTCAAAAGCTGCAGTGAGGTCCAGAAGGATGAGGATGGAGAGTAAACCGGAGTCAGAGGCTATGAGGAGATCGTTAGTGATTTTTAGAAGAGCTGTTTCGGTGCTGTGGAGGGGACGGAAACCAGACTGAAATTGTTCGTAGATGTTGTTGGTGGTGAGGTGGTTGTGGAGTTGAGCAGCGACAGATTTTTCAAGTATTTTGGAGATGAAGGGAAGGTTTGAGATGGGACGGAGGTTGTTGAAGTTGGTTGGATCCAGGCCAGGTTTTTTGAGAATGGGTGAGACTGAGGCGGTTTTGAATGAGAGAGGGACAGTACCAGAAGTGAGAGATGAATGAATGATATTAGTGATGAGGGGGGCAGCTGAGGGGAGGCAGGATTTGACCAGAACGGTAGGGAGAGGGTCGAGCTGAGAGGTAGAAGGTTTGGATTTAATGATAAAGTCGGAGATGGCTTGGACGGAGGGCAAGATGAAGCTGGAGAATGGGGCTATGAGGGATGAGTAGGGGGCTGGGGGGTCCACTCCAGAGACTGCAGCTCCATGCGGGGTCAGGTGTTGGTGAATGTCAGAGATCTTGGAGGTAAAGAAGGACATGAGTGAGTTACAGAAGTCAGTGGATTGCATATGGTGAGGGAGGGAGTCAGGGGGTTTGGTTATATTGGTGAGAAGAGAGAAGAGAGTTTTGGAGTTTTGATGATTGGAGTGGATTAAACCGGAGTAGTAGGTGGATTTGGCAGCAGAGAGATGGTCCTTGTATAGCACGATGTGGTTATTGTACATTTGTTTGTGAATGGTGAGTCCAGTTTTATTGAAGAGCCGTTCAAGTTGACGTCCTTGGGATTTGAGCTGACGGAGGGCAGGGGTGAACCAGGGTGCTGAGAGCGTGAAAGAGACGGGTCGGGTTTTGAGAGGAGCATGATTGTTCAGGAGGTTATGGAGAGAAGTGTTGTAGTGGGAGACCAGGTCATCGGGGGAGTCATTGGGATCAGTAGTGGGGAGGTTATTGATATCTGAGGCGAAGGTGGCAGTGTTTATGTCCTGAATTTTACGGAAAGAAATGGTTCGGGGAAGGATGGTCTTGGAGAGGGTGAGGTTGATATTGAAGGTGATGAGCTTATGGTCTGTGTATGGGAGTGTGTGAGGTTTACAGTCAGTGGGAGTGAGACCAGAGCAGCAGATTAAATCCAAAATGTGACCTTTAGTGTGGGTGGGGAAATGAATGTGTTGTTGTAAACCAAAACTATCTAAACAGGAGGAGAAGTCTTTGGTGAGAGGGTTGCTATTATTGTCCATGTGAATGTTGAAGTCCCCAAGTATGACTGCGTTATGAGAGATAGATGAGAAGTGTGTTAGAAGGTGAGAAAAGTCATTTAAAAAGTCCTTATTAAGTTTTGGCGGGCGGTAGATGGTGGCAACAACAGTAGGAGAAGGTCCAGGCAGCAGTGAGGCAGAGTACTCGAAGGAGGAGAAGACAGGGGCAGCAGGCACAGGTGTGACTTTCCAAGTCTCGCGGTGAAGCATCGCGAGACCTCCGCCCCGGCGGCCACAGCTGCGGGGCTGGCAGATGTAAACAAACCCCGGTGGAGTGGAGTCGTTCAACGCGGCAAAGTCATTTGGCTGCTGCCAGGTTTCGGTCAAACACAAGAAGTCCAGCTTACGGTCGACGAGGACATCCCGGACCAGATGGCCCTTGGTGTTGAGGGAGCGCACGTTGAGGAGACCGAAGCTGACGGTGGTGGAGCTGTTCTTGGCTGCCGCGGGCTGAGCCGATCGGGCCACGCTGACCAGGACACTGTCAGCGTCCCGACCAGCGGTGCGGGAGCAGCGGCGAGTGGTGGACCAGAGGGACTTTATTGAATGGGAGTCCTTGTATTGGAGCTTACGGCGTGATCCACGGTGAACGTACCGCCGCCGGGGCTGGAAGGCGATGCCCGGGGGGATGTCATGTCCGCGCTCCGGTGGCTGAAGAGGAGCGGGGACGTGGTGCCGAAGTTTTAAAAGTTCAGCAGCGGAGTACTGGAGGAGAGCATTGGCCTGCAGATGGACCAGGGAGCCAGATGACAACAAGCCAGCGCGTTATATGGCAGACACACATCGTTTCCCAGGAGGGGAATACGACAGCCAGGGGTCCCAGGTATGAATATGTCCAAAATGCTTATGACAACAGCAAACTGTGGTTGATATCGAAAGCAGGTAAACAATCCTTAAAACACAACGTAACCACGACATCCAATATTGCGTAAACAATGTTTTAGTCCGTGTTTGTTCTGTGAGCAGCGGCTGCCAAAGCGCGCCAGCGTTCACTCACTGAACTCTCGCGAGAGTTCAAATTCAAGAAGAGAAGCTATCCTGAGCTTCACGACCTACATTGAATTTGGATCTTATTTGAGGTATGACGTTCATAGAGAACATTTTTGTACCCGCCCAAATGAAATCATCCACATGACCTGCTAGTATACCAGTTACATTTTTTTCCTTATCTAACCAGTAGAAAACTGCAGGGTCTACTTTAGATATGACGGCTCCGGCTTCAATCATTATGCCTTTTACTCTGTTATACCAATACAGTGAAGCGTCAGCTAAACCATACACACATTTTCTCAGTTTCCAGACTATGCCTGTACTATTGGCCTCTGGAGGCGGTTTGATGAAAATGTCTCGAGACAGTTCTAGTCCTTGTAAAAAAGCTGATTTGATGTCCATTGAATGAAGTTGCCATTGTTTCTGGCAACTCACTGCCACCAAGAGCCTCAGAGACTCCGAAGCACAGGTTGGAGAGTCCTTTTGTAGTTCCGAAACTTGTAGCTCTTCAAATCCTCGTGCAACAAGCCTGGCTTTAGGAACTAATCCATTCTCCGTCTCTTTCAGAGTGCACACCCACCGAGCAGAGATGCACTTTTGTCCATTGTCCTCAACCTCTTCATACACATTATTTTGTATCCAGCTTTTTATTTCACTGATTTTAGCTTCATCAAATGAGACATCCTTTGTGATAAAAACATCTTCACATGGCTCTGTGTTTTGCGTCTGATCTTGCACCCGAAGATCATCCAATTGTGACAAATCAACAGCTTCACTGGTACCTGCCCTCTCAGCAGGCTCAAGTAGCTCCAAGTTGTACCAGTTCTTGTATTTTCCTTTTGCTTTACCAGCACGTCCCAACACTTTTGCTTTCTGCAAGGCTTCACTTTCTGTGTTTCTGAATGTCACAATTTGACCAGTCTTCACATTTCCATCAAAACCTCCTTCAGCCACTGCATTTTCAGAAGCATTCAGTTGGTCATTGTCAATGTTTTCACTATTTGTTTCTTCTATATTATCACTTATGTCATAGGTGTTGTGTTGTTCAATTTCAGAGTTAATCAGAGGTTCCACATGGTCCTGAGTAACCTTTCTCAGCCGAAGTTGGTGAACTCTGACATGTCGAACAAAAACAACAGCACCGTCTTGTCCAATGACCACTCCTGGCCCTTTCCACTCTGCACAGTCCACACGTTTGTAAAACACCTTGTCTCCAAGTTCATACTTCTCATCGTTGCAACGCAGCTGTTTCTTCAGTGCTCTCCGTATCCGCTCTGAACACTCCGCTTCTGTAAATGCCTTCCATGCATTGTGCAGAGCTGAAATGTGTTTGGCAACCCAATCGCTTCTTGTGGTGCCCTCTAATGCAGGTGCCCTGTCAATTAGAACGGAGGGTAAGTTTGGATTCTGCCCAAACACGAGCTGATGTGGACTGTAACCGTGAACACTTTGCATACAGTTCTTTGCCATAAGAGCCCAGTCCATAGCAATGTTCCAGTCGCATCCTGTGTTGGCTTTCACTTTCAGGATCATTTCAGTCAAGGTTTGGTTATGACGCTCTAACAGTCCATTACTCCAAGGGCTGTAGGCAGGTGTTGTCTTCACTTCAATATTAAAGTTTTCAGCCATATCTCTAACTTCTTCATTATTAAACTCCCCACCATTATCACTGAACAACTTTTGTGGTGGACCGTGAACACTTATCCAATCATGGATAAAATGTTTGACTATTTCAGAAGACCTCTTTGTGGTAATGACACTCCCCGCGCTAAATCGAGTGAACTGGTCAATGATATGTAGGTACCACACTCCTGGCTGAAGCTCATGCAGATCTACAGCCACAGTCTTATTATATGTTGACGCAAGTGGTAAACCGACGGCAGGTTTGGGTTTGGTCTTACAGTACTTTTGGCAGGCTTCACATTGACCAATTACTTTTTGTAATAGGCTAATGCATTCTGTGTCTTTGTTGCCAGAACTGCTCAAAAGTCTCTGTAACTTGTCGGCAGACGCATGCCCAAACTGTTTATGAAGTTTCTCTAAAACTTTCATCTTCTCACTTGTGTTCATTTCGTTCGTGTTTGTAAGTACTTCTTCTTCAATAGTTGTCAATATCTGATCAGCACTTGTAGGACAACTGTTCTCATTATCAACTATGTTCACACAGTAATGTCCTGAGCTTGTAAAATCCAGTTTGACAGGTTGATTGAACATTACTGCACTGTCATTTTCCATGTCTAGAACTGTCCCAGCACGTTTCAAAGATGTTTTACTCAAAAGCAAAGGGATATTAACAGGAACAACTTCTGCCTCGATATTACATTTTGTGTTACCAATCTTGGCCGGTATCTTAACATTTTTGACAGAGTACACTACTTTTCCGTCCCCAAACTTGAAGGGCCTGTGACTCTGCATTTCTGTTGCTCTCATTGACTTGACGTTTTTCTTTCCGGACACACAAATGTAGTTGTCTAACCACTCTTGTCCACATACGGTTCTTGTGCACGCAGTGTCTATTATAGCAGAGCCAAAACATTCCGTCATGAATATTTCTGCATCTGTTGGCGATGCTTTGGTGTACAATGTAATGTTACACTCTTCAACGCCTGATTTATCTTTAGCTTTATCTTCAGTTATATTCACACTCTCACCTTTGTGTGGACAATCTCTGGCCCAATGAAACGTGCTTTGACACACTGCACACTTTGATCGGCGTCCGAACTTGTCCAACGGGTTCGTTCCGGGTTGTGGAGTTCTGGGTCTGCCGCTTTGTTGCCAGGTTTTACCTTTATCCCGCCGATGCTGCTCCGTGGCAAACACAGACTCTTGACTGATTCCCTCTGATGCAGCACTCATTTTACCGCTAAATATTCTCTTCAAAGCAGACTTCATCGAGGCGAATGTAAGATCTGTGCATGCTGTTAAAGCCAGCTGCCTGTCAGTCCCATCTAAGCACGCAGTGTCCAACAGCTTAAAAGCTAAAACTGCGTCAGGTAGCTCCATTTTGTGTTTGCGCATACGTGAATACCGCTGTTCAAAATCAATAATATAATCCGCCATGGACACACTTTCATGTTTAACAATGCGGTCAAAATCAGTGTATGCCTCGTAAATCCTGTCTTTTTCTTCTTTGAGGAACAAACTGTCAAGTTTATCCAGCAAAATTTTCATTCCTGTGTCTTCATTTAATTTGTCTACCGGTATTTCCATTGCAGTCTCCCGTGCTCTGCCCGACAGCGACAGAGCAACAGCGAGGGCTTGTTTTTTCTTTTCCAAGTCCGTGACTCTGGCCCAAATGCCGACTTCATTTTTCCAGCTTTCGTAGAGTTTCCCCTCTTCAAACGGTGGTGGAACTCTGTAGTTACAAGCCATCCTCTGCTACCATGTTAAATTAAGATAAACTCCACTTGTAGTTCGTTACATTTATTTTCGTCCACCCCACGCAGGTTCCACATACATTCACCTGTTACGGTCTGCATACAAGAAAAAACATGTGCGCTATACAAAGAGCGCTAGAGCCCCCTAGCTGTAAGGCATGGAAGGTGAACATTAAACCAAGAGCTAACACTCGTCACATGTGTCCTCCATCGTGTCCTTCCCCAAAGCTCATGACCGTAGGTGAAGGTGGAAATGTGGACTGAGCAGATGATTTAGAGCTTTGGCTGCAGACGCTGCTCTCTCTTCATCACAGTGACCACGCTACACCCTTCCCTCAGTGCACTTGTTTCTCGTGTCCAGATGAGATGAAGACGTTCGCAGGGCAGCAGGTGCAGCCTCTGTTCCGGTTCTCCTGGTTGGTGCTGGTCCTGGTCCTGGTCCTGTGTGGATCAGTGGGTCTGGTTCTGGGGTTCACTGTGGATCCTCGTCTGGCTCTGGCTGTGGCTCTGACGCTCCTCGCTCTCATCTACTGCTTCTTTGGTGAGAAACTCAACAGGAACGTCTCATATTCACACAAAAAGTATTATACATGTTTACCAAAAGCAAAACAAGGAAAAACTCTCTCCTAGTGCTGGTTCTGACCTGTCTCTCTCTCTGTGCTGGTTCTGACCTGTCTCTCTCTCTGTGCTGGTTCTGACGTGTCTCACTCTCTGTGCTGGTTCTGACGTGTCTCACTCTCTGTGCTGGTTCTGACGTGTCTCACTCTCAGTGCTGGTTCTGACGTGTCTCACTCTCTGTGCTGGTTCTGACGTGTCTCACTCTCTGTGCTGGTTCTGACGTATCTCACTCTCAGTGCTGGTTCTGACGTGTCTCACTCTCTGTGCTGGTTCTGACGTGTCTCACTCTCTGTGCTGGTTCTGACGTGTCTCACTCTCAGTGCTGGTTCTGACGTGTCTCACTCTCTGTGCTGGTTCTGACGTGTCTCACTCTCTGTGCTGGTTCTGACGTGTCTCACTCTCTGTGCTGGTTCTGACGTGTCTCACTCTCTGTGCTGGTTCTGACCTGTCTCTCTCTCTGTGCTGGTTCTGACCTGTCTCTCTCTCTGTGCTGGTTCTGACCTGTCTCTCTCTCTGTGCTGGTTCAGACCTGTCTCTCTCTCACCTACCTCTCACCTCTCTCTCACCTGTCTCTCCCTCACCCATCTCTTACCTGTCGCTCTCTTGTCTTTCTCACCTCTCCGTCACCTGTCTCTTTCTCACCTCTCTCACCTGTCGCCCTTACCTCTCTCTCACCTTTCTCCCTCACCTGTCTCCCTCTCACCCACCTCTCTCTAACCTTTCTCTTACTCACCCGTCTCTCCCTCACCTCTTTCCCATCTGTCTCCTCACCTGTCTCTCACCCACCTCTCTCTCTCACCCGTCTCTCTCTCTACTTTCTCCCTCACCTGTCTCTCACCCACCTCTCTTTCTCACCCATCTCTCTCTCTACTTTCTCCCTCACCTGTCTCCCTCTCACCCACCTCTCACTCACCTTTCTCTCTCTCACCCGTCTCTCCCTCAGTGGTGGTGTACTTTGGCGGCCGCAGGGAGGGGGAGTCCTGGACCTGGGCGTGGCTCCTCTCCACAGCTCTGGCTCGTCACATTGGTTACATGGAGCTGTTGCTAAAGCTCATGTTCGTGAATCCTCCAGAGCTGCCAGAGCAGAGCACCAGGGCCCTGCCCGTCCGGTACGTCACCAAGTACTCACTAAATACTCACCAAGTACTCACCAAGTACTCACCAAGTACTCACTAAATACTCACCAAGTACTCACCAAGTACTCACTAAATACTCACCAAGTACTCACTAAATACTCTCCAAGTACTCACTAAATACTCTCCAAGTACTCACTAAATACTCTCCAAGGACTCACCAAGTGCTCATTAAATACTCACCAAGTACTCACTAAATACTCAACATGTACTCACTGCGAATACTACAATGTCTGTTCCCTGGTTACAACACTTTACAAGCTAGGCCCTGCACTCTCTCTGGTCTCACCCTGGTCTTTGGTCTTTGGTCTCTGTGGCCTCACCCTGGTCTCTGGGGTTGGTCTCTGGTCTCACCCTGGTCTCTCTGGTCTCAGGTTTCTCTTCACAGACTACAGTCGTCTGTCTTCAGTGGGAGGAGAGACGTCGATGGCTGAGATGATCTCTACTCTGTCTGACGCCTGTGAGCGAGAGTTTGGATTCATTGCCACCAGACTCTACAGGGTCTTCAAGACCGAGGAGAACCAGGGTAAGACCAGGACTAGACCAGGTCGGAGACAAGGTCTGGACCAGATTTGACTCTCTTGTTTGTAGGAAAGAGGAAGTGGAGGAGGTCCTGCTGCTTGCCCTCTGTGCTGGTCTTCTCGGTGGTCCTTCTCTGTGTCCTGGCAGGTCTGGGAGCACTGGCCTTCCTCAGAGCCGAATCCAGGTCCAGGTCCGGTCCTGGGTCTGAGGCCGAGGACCAGGTGGGTCTCACATCTAAGTGGCTGAGCGGATAGCACTCTCGCTTCTCAGCAAGAAGGTCCTGAGCTCAAATCCTGGTCGGAACAGGGCCTTTCTGAGTGGAGTTCACATGTTCTCCCTGTGCCTGCTCCGGTTTCCCCTACCATTAAAAATATGTACAATAGTTCAGGGTGAATGAGTGTGTGGTTGTGAGTGCGACTGTGGGACAACTGATGGAAAGTAGCCCAAGGCTACAATCCAGAATGATGTGTTGATTGTGTCCCAACAAAAAAAAAAAAAAGCCGTGAGCGTTCTAACCAATCACAGACACATGAGTTTGTCAGTACTGCGGATGGGCACCAGGTTTAAGCAGCAACATCCAGGGGGTGTGGCCTCAGTGTACACGTGTGGTTGTGTTGCAGTTGTATGGTTGTGTCGCAGTTGTGTTACAGTTATGGTTTTGTTACAGGCTTACCATGAAGCAGTCCATGCGGTCCTCATCGCCCTGGGCTCAGTGCTGGCTCTGCCTCTACTGCTTCACTGTAAAACTTGGTTCCACATGGTCCACTCTCTGCTGCACTCTCAGCGCAGCCGGCTCCACAGCGCCACCAGCAGGCTGCACAAGCTCAAGAGCGAGGGATTCATGAAGGTAGCGATCAGGGGATTTTTCTGCATGTGACATACTTACTCTCCAGACTGGATAGACCAGAGAGAGAGAGACCCGAGACAGACCAGAGAGAGACCCGAGACAGACCAGAGAGAGACCAGAGAAAGACCAGAGAGAGAGAGACCCGAGAGAGACCCCAGAGAGACCCCAGAGAGAGACCAGAGAAAGACCAGAGAGAGAGAGACCTGAGAGAGAGAGACCCGAGAGAGACCCCAGAGAGACCCGAGAGAGACCCGAGAGAGACCCGAGAGAGACCAGAGAGAGACCAGAGAAAGACCAGAGAGAGAGAGACCCGAGAGAGAGAGAGAGACCAGAGAGACCCGAGGGATACCAGAGAGATACCAGAGAGATACCAGAGAGAGACCAGAGAGACCAGAGAGATACCAGAGAGATACCAGAGAGATACCAGAGAGATACCAGAGAGATACCAGAGAGATACCAGAGAGAGACCAGAGAGACCCCAGAGAGAGACCAGAGAGAGAGAGACCTGAGAGAGAGAGACCCGAGAGAGACCCGAGAGAGACCCGAGAGAGACCCGAGAGAGACCAGAGAGAGGCCAGAGAGAGACCAGAGAGAGAGAGACCCGAGAGAGAGAGAGACCAGAGAAACCCGAGAGAAAGACAGAGACCAGAGAGACCCGAGGGATACCAGAGAGATACCAGAGAGATACCAGAGAGAGACCAGAGAGACCCCAGAGAGAGAGAGACCTGAGAGAGAGAGACCCGAGAGAGACCCGAGAGAGACCCGAGAGAGACCCGAGAGAGACCAGAGAGAGGCCAGAGAGAGACCAGAGAGAGAGAGACCAGAGAGACCCGAGAGAAAGAGAGAGACCAGAGAGACCCGAGGGATACCAGAGAGATACCAGAGAGATACCAGAGAGATACCAGAGAGAGACCAGAGAGAGACCAGAGAGAGGCCAGAGAGAGACCAGAGAGAGAGAGACCCGAGAGAGAGAGAGAGACCAGAGAGACCCGAGGGATACCAGAGAGATACCAGAGAGATACCAGAGAGATAATAAAGATACCAGAGAGGCAAAGCAAGTTAAGTTTATGTGTATAGCACAGTTCATGAAAAGCAACTCAAAGTGCTCCTCCCTGATTGGCTGCTCTCTGATTGACAGGTTCTGAAGACTGAGGTGGAGCTCATGGCCCAGATGTCTCGCACCATCGACAGCTTCACTCAGCACCAGACGCGTCTCGTGGTCGTGATCGACGGACTGGACTCATGTGAACAGGACAAGGTTCTGCACATGCTGGACACGGTGAGTCCCCCCCTCCCCTCTCAGGTCCCTGGTCTCTCTGGTCCAAACGATGTGTCTCCTCAGGTTCCTGGTCCCTGGTCCCTTCATGTTCCTAACCATGTATCTTTTTAGGTCTCTCTCTCTAGTCCTAACCAGGTGTTTCCTCTGGTCCCTCTCGGATCCTAACCATGTGTCCTCTCTGGTCCTAACCATGTGTCCTCAGGTGCGAGTGCTCTTCTCCAAAGGGCCCTTCATCTCCATCTTCGCCTCAGATCCTCACATCATCATCAAAGCCATAAACCAGAGTCTGAGCAGCGTCCTGCGAGACTCCAACATCAACGGTCACGACTACATGCGCAACGCCGTGCACTTGCCGGTCTTCCTCCACAGCAGAGGTTTATGCTCCGCGAGGAAACCGCCGCCACCCCAGCCGCCTCAGCCACAGCCGCAAGCTAACGGGGATACGGACACTGCACCACGCCAGTCCTTCTCCGAGACCGGTACACGCTACACCTGGTATTACACTTGACAGTAGCCTCTCATAGTCTCATAATGTCTGGACTATGAGAGGCTACTGTTTTTTAGCTCTGATCCTGCGGCTAATGAAGTGATGCAGCTAGTGTGTGTATTTTTATTGTGGTAGAGTATATGGACTATTTTGACAGATGAAGGTGAATGAGCCATGGAAGCTAACGTGAATGAGACATGGAAGCTAACGTGAATGAGCCATGGAAGCTAACGTGAATGAGCCATGGAAGCTAACGTGAATGAGCCATGGAAGCTAACGATGAATGAGCCATGGAAGCTAACGATGAATGAGTCATGGAAGCTAATGGTGAAGTTGCTATCAGCATTACATTAAGCATGAAAATCTGCAGCTCATATCCTGGACCTGTATGTGAACATGTATTTTAAAATGCAGTTTATAAACAGGTGCAGCTTAGAGTCCAGAAAGTACGATATGTTTATAATGTTGTATCTGAGGTGAATGAATCGTATGGAATGGTGATGATGATGTGGTCTGAGCGGTGCTTGCAGGGCCTGTGATGTCACACACACTGACCTCTGACCTCTGATCTCAGGGTGGCACGAGGAGCTGGACCGAAAACTGTCTCAGAGCAGTTTGGCTGACCTCAAGTTTGGAAGCAGGACCACACTGAACCGACGAGTGAGTACACCTGGTCTTTGTAGGACACCTGTCTCTCTCTCCTCAGGACACGGCCTCTCGCTGCAGACTCAGACCTGTCTCTCTCTCGCTGCAGACTCAGACCTGTCTCTCTCTCGCCGCAGACTCAGACCTGTCTCTCTCTCGCCGCAGACTCAGACCGGTCTCTCTCTCTCGCCGCAGACTCAGACCTGTCTCTTTCTCTCGCCGCAGACTCAGACCTGTCTCTCTCTCGCCGCAGACTCAGACCTGTCTCTCTCTCTCGCCACAGACTCAGACCTGTCTCTCTCTCGCCGCAGACTTAGACCTGTCTCTCTCTCGCGCCGCAGACTCAGACCTGTCTCTCTCTCGCCGCAGACTCAGACCGGTCTCTCTCTCTCGCCGCAGACTCAGACCTGTCTCTTTCTCTCGCCGCAGACTCAGACCTGTCTCTCTCTCGCCGCAGACTCAGACCTGTCTCTCTCTCTCGCCGCAGACTCAGACCTGTCTCTCTCTCGCCGCAGACTTAGACCTGTCTCTCTCTCGCGCCGCAGACTCAGACCTGTCTCTCTCTCGCCGCAGACTCAGACCTGTCTCTTTCTCTCGCCGCTGACTCAGACCTGTCTCTCTCTCGCCGCAGACTCAGACCTGTCTCTCTCTCCTCAGGACACAGCCTCTCGCCGCAGACTCAGACCAGTCCGACAGCTGTCTCTGGATTTGTCCAAACTGATGTTGGCTGAAGACTGGTTCAACGACATCAGTCCTCAGAGCATGAGGCGCCTGCTCAACATTGTGTCTCTGACAGGGCGCCTGCTGCGGGCCAATCAGGTGAGACCTGTGAGGGCCAATCAGGGGAGACCTGTGAGGGCCAATATGCAATACTAAGGAAAATTTGTCATTTAGTTTTACAAAGCTGCTATATTATTCTTATGTCCTGTAGAATGTCTATGGAAGGACAATGCTAACTGGCTAGCTCCATGCTAACCATCAAGCTTACATAGTTTCCATAGTTACCATAGTTACCAGGAGAGATGATTCAGCTGAGCTCCACCGTACTCTGAAACTATCGCTCTCTGGATGGTGCGGATCTCACATGACTTGTCAGTCTGAAGGTGCTCTCTGCTGTTCTCAGATCAGTTTCGGCTGGGACCGCCTGGCCTCCTGGATCTCCCTGACAGAGCAGTGGCCCTACAGAACCTCCTGGATCCTCCTGCACCTGGAGGAGAGCAGCGATGTCCACGACCAGGCCTCTCTGAGGTCCATCTACGAGAGGTCTTCTTAAGTCCTATTGTTGACCTGTTTTAGACCTGCTTTAGACCTGCTTTTGACCTGCTTTTGACCTGCTTTTGACCTGCTTTAGACCTGCTTTAGACCTGCTTTTGACCTGCTTTTGACCTGCTTTAGACCTGCTTTTGACTTGCTTTAGTCCTGCTTTAGACCTGCTTTAGTCCTGCTTTAGTCCTGCCTTAGACCTGCTTTAGACCTGCTTTAGTCCTGCTTTAGTCCTGCTTTAGTCCTGCTTTTGTCCTGCCTTAGACCTGCTTTAGTCCTGCCTTAGACCTGCTTTAGTCCTGCCTTAGACCTGCTTTAGACCTGCTTTAGACATTCTTTAGACCTACTTTAGACCTACTTTAGACCTTGTTCTGGTCTCTTCAGAGTCTCCAAGTGGGTTCCTTCGTCCAAAGAGGTGGAGCCGCTGCTGGAGATAGATGCAGATGTCCGGAGTCTGGAGGTTTTCCTCTCGTCTCGTCAGCCTCCGCTCACAGCACGAGACGTCAGGACCTTCTTACCCTGCACCATCAACCTGGACCCCAAGCTGAGGGAGATCATCTCAGGTGCCTCATCACCGCACATGTTAAACTTAATAAATAACGTTGGTCTCTCTCTTGTGCTCTCCTCTGATTGGCTCTCTATCCTGTGCTGTCCTCTGATTGGTCAGATGTTCGTGCAGCTCGAGAAGTTGGCCCCGCCCCCTCCTTTGATCCCAGACCCACCTCCATCTACAGCTCAGTGTCGCCCTCTGTGTCATTCAGCGGAATTACACCTCAGCACCCGTACTACAACAGGGTGAGCCTCCCCCTCCCCCTCCCTGTACTGCAACAGGGACACCTTCCCTGTCAGACACTCCCCTGCTCAGACACTTCCCTCTCTCTGAGGCGTGTGATTGGACGGTAAGGTGGTGATGTCATCTTTTTGTTTCGATGAATTATTCATTTTTTTCACATGTTTTATGTTTAAAGCCACAGTGTGTAACTTTCTGTCTGAGGGTTTGTGAAAACAATCATTGAGTGACAGTCTGTGGACTGTATACAGATGGACAATGCTAACCTGCTAACTCAAGGAAGCCCAACCACAGCTCTATTATATTATCTGGATAGAGTATTACTAGCTTGGCGCTGAAGGACCCATGTGCTCGCACGATTCCTGTGGTACTGCAGACTAATCAAGACTAAATTCACGTGGGCTACCCAAACTCAAACAGCTCAACCTCAGCTGACAGAGAACCTACAGCTTTCATAAAGGTCGGCTTTTGTGGGGATTTTAGTGTCCCTTGTCATCCACTGATCACCAGCGTCTGATTGGTCAGGACGCGCCAAACGCCTGTGCACGATTTGATTAGGGCGCCATCTTGGATTGCAGAGGCTTGAGTCCAACACAGAAGTGTTGGGCTCAAGCAGTAACCGTTCTTTGGTTTATCGCTCTCTGTGATCCTGGTGTTCATATTGTAATAATGTCTTTATAAATCCAGGTATGAGCCATACTGTATAAGGACTGACCAATCAGATGCCTTCAATCAGGAGAAACTTCAGCTTCTCTTAGCAACCATTTTAGATTATATTAGATTCAACTTTACAGTCATTACAAAGTCATTACAGGTCTGGACTGTGCGACATCGCTTGCTGCATGTTAGGAAAGGCTGATTAAAAAATAAGTTTTCTAATCACTTTCCACTCTGATATACAGTGGTTAGCTGTTAGCATTGCTAGCATGTGGCTCCTCCAGCAGAGTTCCAGAGTGTGGCTTTAACTCCTCCCTCCTGTGTTTGCTCCATTCATTTTGAGTTGTTCATTGTTTGTGGTTCAGCCGTATTTCCCTCATCACGTTTATGCGGCACCACAGCGCCCCCTTGTGGCCGCTCCATTCACCTGCCCCATGTATGCTCCCATGAGGCTCAACTACAGACCTGCCCCCAGCTGGGACCATGTAAGTACTACACCCACCACCGCAACACCCCACCACCTAAACCCCAAAACCCCAAAACCCCCAAACACCAGACCCCCAGACACCTACCACCCAAACACCCAGACACCAAAAGAAGAGCTGTTCTCAGTCCTGTTCTAAATCTGTGTCCAGGTCTCATCTTTGAAACGCAAGCAGGTACCAGCTCCTCCTGCCCCCTAGTATCGGAATCCTGCTACCACTGCTACTACAGCTACTACTGCTACTACTGCTACTACTGCTACTACAGCTACTACTGCTACTACTGCTACTACAGCTACTACTGCTACTACAGCTACTACTGCTACTACTGCTACTACAGCTACTACTGCTACTACTGCTACTACTGCTACTACAGCTACTACTGCTACTACTGCTACCACTGCTGCTACTGCTACCGCTGCTACTGCTGCTACTACTGCTATCACTGCTACTACTGCTACTACAGCTACTACTGCTACTACTGCTACCACTGCTGCTACTGCTACCACTGCTACTACTGCTACTACTGCTACTACTGCTGCTACTGCTACCACTGCTACTACAGCTACTACTGCTACCACTGCTACTACTGCTACTACAGCTACTACTGCTACTACTGCTACTACTGCTGCTACTGCTACTACTGCTACTACAGCTACTACTGCTACTACTGCTACTACTGCTATTATAACTAATACTACTCTTACTACTACTGCCACTGCTGCTACTACTGCTACTACTGCCACTGCTGCTACTCCTGTTATTGCTACTCCTGATGCTGCTACTACTGCTACTACTACTTCTCCCCTAACTTTTTGTTTTTCCCACATGATCAATTTATTTCAAACCACTAATTAAAGCTGGGGTACCTGATTTTAAAACCACAAACTTTAATAGATTTCTAAAATAGTTTATTGCTTTCAATAGTTCCATTACAAAATACTCACATGTATCTTTGATGTCTGTCACATCCATAGACTGTATATAATTAACGGACAGAGTCACGCCTATCTCTGCTGTTCTAACTAATGGGCCAAAAAATGTGCTCTACTGGAGCAATCCAAAATGGCCGCGAGTGGTCCCGCCCACAAGAAAATTGTGAAAAAACGCATCTGCGCATGCGTCAGCCGGCAAAGCTCCATTCATTTGAACGAGAGACTTCAAAAATTCACAGCAAGTAAACTAGAGTGGACCAAAAAAATCCACCCCCCTCAGCATTGACACACATGTGGAACGGAGCTTTGGGCCAAGAGCCAACTTTTGGTCCATCCTGAAAAGACGTTTTTGGGGAGGTCTGCCAATGCTATATGTTAGCATTGACTAATTCTTCTTCTGGGTCCACCCCCATCAGCCCGGGGTGGTATTGCAAGCATGTCAGTGCACGTCATTTTGGCCACTTTTGAGCTGGGACCCTCCCCCACTGGTCACATCAGCTTTTTCAGATGTAAAAGTGACGTGGCGCCCCCTTCAGGTGACAGTCATATCCTGTCAGACCTCTGAAGCTAAGCAGGGAACGGCAAGCTTAGTACTGTGATAGGAGACCTCTGGGAACTCCATGTGCCACGGTGGGGCGGCTGTAAAGTGCCAAACTGTGGTTGTGTCCTTAAGCAAGACACTTAGAATGAGTCTGGTTGGTGGTGGTAGGAGGGCACATACTGGTTGCCTCGCTACTGTCAGTGTGCCCCAGGGCAGCTGTGGCTACAGTAGCAGTTTATCACCACTGTGTATGGAGTGTATGACTTTAGAAAAGAGCTGTATAAAACTGATGTATTTTTATTGACAACCCTCACTCTGCTCTCAGCCCAACAAGTCCAATAGTGACTCTCTGAGCTTTTTCTGAGGCAGAAGAGGGAGACGACCTGTTGTGGTCTGATTTGTTCAATATAAGTTACGTCCCCCAGCTTTAAAGCACAGAGCACCTTTCCTGTTTGTTCCCAGCATGCATCTTTCACTTCCCGTAGAGAATACTGCTCTCTGATTGACTGTGATGCGCTGACACTGTTCTGCTCTGTGATTGGTCCAGGGCTCCATGTTGGTCCCACCCCTGCTGCTCAACGCCATGACAACAGAAGCAGTTTGTGAGCGTGTGCAGACGATGGCCGGGATGGACGCCAGTATGATTCCACAGTACAGCGCCACCATCAGGAAGGTTAGAGTCTAGTCTGGTCCACATGGATCTGGCCTTGTCTGGTCCGGTCCAGTCTGGTCCACAGGGATCTGGCCTGGTCTGGTCCACATGGATCTGGCCTGGTCTGGTCCGGTCCAGTCTGGTCCACAGGGATCTGGCCTGGTCTGGTCCACATGGATCTGGCCTGGTCTGGTCCACATGAATCTGGCCTGGTCTGGTCCGGTCTGGTCCACATGGATCTGGCCTGGTCTGGTCCGATCTGGTCCGCCCGGTCTGTTCCACATGGATCTGGCTTTGTCTGGTCCGGTCCACATGGATCTGGCCTGGCCTGGTCTGGTCCACATGGATCTGGTCTTGTCCGGTCTGGTCCACATGGATCGGGCCAGGTCTGGTCCAGTCTGGTTCACATGGGTCTGTGTCTTTCAGGCAAACATAAACGGCAGAGTTCTGTCTCAGTGCAACATCGATGAACTGAAGAGAGAAATGAACATGAACTTTGGAGACTGGCAGCTGTTTAGAGCCGCGGTGAGTACTGCAACTACTACTACTACTACTACTACTGCAACTACTACTACTACTACTACTACTGCAACTACTACTACTACTACTACTACTGCAACAACTACTGCAACTACTACTACTGCAACTACTCTTACTGCTGCTAGTACTACTTTTACTACTACTACTGCAACTAGTAGTAGTAGTCTACTAATCTACTACTACTACTGCTTCTCCAAATTCTGCATACTACTTATACCTAATCAGGTGATGTAATGTGTATGCTAACAGGTGATGTAATGTGGTTTATGCTAACAGGTGACGTAATGTGGTGTATGCTAACAGGTGATGGACATGCGTCGTGCTGAGGGGCTGCGGGAGGAAGTGGGCAGTGAAGCAGGAAGTGTTGCCGTGGAGTCGGTGCGTATGGCCCCACCCCTCGCCAGGTCAGAGTTCGGCTTCAACATGAGCTTTGACGAGCTGAGCACCCTGGGTCTCGAGGAGCGCCCCCGCTGGACCGCCGCGGTACTGTCCTCTGTTTAACACTCAGTATAACAGCGCCCCCACAGGACAGCAGTGGTACTGTCCTCTGTATAACACTCAGTATAACAGCGCCCCTACAGGGCAGCAGTGGTACTGTCCTCTGTATAACACTCAGTATAACAGCGCCCCCACACAACAGCAGTGGTACTGTCCTCTGTTCAGTCCTGGTCCAGTCCTGGTCCAGTCCTGGTCCAGTCCTGCTTTTGTCCTGACCCTGTTGTCTCTGCAGAACCCCCCGGACTCTCCAGACTCGGTGGATCTTTGGCGTCTGACCGACCGACAGCAGGCAGAGTATCGCACTGCGTATCAGGACTACATCACCCACATGTCGAGCCTGGACCAGGACCGAGACCAGACCAGGGACCAGACCAGAGACCAGACCAGAGACCAGACCAGAGACCAGACCAGAGACCAGAACAGAGACCAGACCAGAGACCAGAACAGAGACCAGACCAGAGACCAGACAAGAGACCAGTCCAGAGACCAGACCAGAGACCAGACCAGAGACCAGACCAGAGACCGGGCCGAAGCTGAACTAGAGCGCAGAGTCCTCAAGAGAAACTCCATCAAACTCCCAGAAGACACCGATGTTCTCCACCCGATCAGAGAAGATCATGAAGAGGAGGAACCAGGGACCAGCTCCAGAGGCCAGAGTCGAGACCAGACCAAGACTGGGCAGTACCTGAAGCTCAGCGACGAAGACTCCGAGGCCCTGGACAAGAAGGACTCGTCAGACTCTGGAGTCAGGTCTGTACTCTGCTGCTCAGGGTCTCCTCATCTGAGGTTTAGATTACTCTGTCCATCTGTAGACCGAACGGGACTTGGACGAGAGTCTGCACGAGAGTTAGGACAAGAACAAAAGTCTGGACGAGAGTCTGGACTAAGACGAAACTCTGGACTAAGATGAGAGTCTAGACTAGGACTTGGTTAGGGTCCAAAGATGCCACAGAAGGCGTGACCCTATGCCCCTCCCCTTCTGCTCCTCAGGTCCAATGAGAGTTCTCCAAACCACTCTCTTCAGGAAGAGGAGCCGAGTCGCTCCAAACCGATCCAAGATGGCCGCCCGTCGATCCAAGATGGCCGCATGTCCATCTGCTCGGACCAAGGCAGTGTGGGGTGAGTGAGCAGCTTCAGGAGAACATCTGAAACATCTGAAACATCTGGTTTCATCTCATGTTTGTGACCTCAGAGCTCACGTGTGGGAGGAGGAGGCCTTCAACAACCTCAACAAGACCAAGACTCAGCAGATCCAGGAGACCAGCCCCCAGCCCATTCTGAACAACAACAGCCCCGGAGGAGACCAGACCCAGACACAGACCCAGGTCCACACCCAGAACGAGAACGTGAGGGTCCTGCAGCTGAAGCGTGGCCTGAACCCTGGAGACCCACCTCAGGTCACCACTGTGTCTGGAGAAACCGTGTCCTTTAGCACAGAGCGAGAGAGCATCCTGTGAGAGAGAGATCCTTTACTCGTCCCACAGCGGGAAATGTCAGTGTTGCAGCGCACAGACAGTAGCACACACACACTCTATAAGTAGATGCTTGTTTCTTAGCTGTACATGCTTCAGTGTCAATATATCTATATTAGGGCCGGGACTGGATTACAACAAGTAATTTAATTAATTAGAGACTTTGTAATTATTATTTGATCAAAATGTATTTTTATTCACATGGATTTTAGTTTTGATTACAGATTAAGCAACAGGAATATTGTGTATTTTTGTCCAACCAGGTCCACAGACCAGTGCAATGTTAGCCATGTGTTAACCATGTGTCAGCCATGTGTTAGCCATGTGTTAGCCATGTGTTAACCATGTGTCAGCCATGTGTTAACCATGTGTTAACCATGTGTTAGCCATGTGTTAACCATGTGTCAGCCATGTGTTAGCCATGTGTTAACCATGTGTTAACCATGTGTTAACCATGTGTTAACCATGTGTTAACCATGTGTCAGCCATGTGTTAACCATGTGTTAACCATGTGTTAGCCATGTGTTAACCATGTGCTAGTCTTATCTTCTGCCACTCTGTGGTTACAGTCGACTGCAAACCAGCGATCCATGCTTAAAGCAGTCACCTGGTGCAGTGTGTGGGTCCTTGTACCAGGACTAACGTCCATGCTAACAGCTAGCTGCTCTTTGTTGAGCATTGAAGTGATCCTCCAGGTGCTGCGGTGGTATGTGAACACAACCTGCTCTTATTGATGCTTCAGTCTGTTTGCCATTACAAAAACATCCCCCTCCGCAGGCGACACCTGCAGCTTCTTCCATTCTCAGGTTTGTGTCCAAAGCCACGGATCTATAATATTAACTGGATCTATAATATTAACTGGATCTATAATATTAACTGGATCTGTAATAATAACTGGATAGGGTATTACTAGCTTACAGCTGTCCCACCCACGGGCACAGGGGGCGCCGGTGGTACTGCAGACTAAATTCACAAGGGCTACCCAGAAAAAAGTCCCATAGAACTCAATGTAAATTAAAACAGCTCGACCTCAGCTGACAGAGAACCTACAGCTTTCATAAAGATCGGATTTCGTGGGGATTTTAGTGTCCCTTGTCATCCTGAACTTTTTTTCTTCTTAAATCCTTCGCTCTGACTCACTCTGCTGCTGCTCTGAAAAACAGCCTGATTGGTCAGAGCGCGGCCGAGCCTCTCTGTGCGCGTGCGTGAGAGACACACACGCGTATTTGGCTCGTCCACTGCACAGAACCGGGAGGACCAGACGATGCCCAAATATAGCCGTGTTCTGCTAATCTCCCGGTCTCCATGAAGTCCCATGAACTACTGAGCACAAGCCATTAATTTGAATAGGGCACCATCTTGGATCCCCGGGGCTTAGGTACTGCAGACTAAACCAGACCAAATATGGATGATTCCACTAATCTTTTGGTGCCCATGGTGGGGCGCCACTGAGCACAGTCCATTGATTTGAATAGGCTGCCATCTTGGATCACCAGGGAGCTAGCGGTGCACCAGATGATCGGTCCGTCAGCACTCATTCCGTGGAGAAAGCTTCCACGTTGCACATTTAAAGTGATTGTCTGGAGTTTGTCAGAAAGAGAGACAGAGAGGTACTTGATTTGAAAAAAACGACGCAAGCTCCTCCCCCTTCCTTTCTGATTGGTCTACACCTACGTTTCCGTAACACTTTTAAATGTTAATCAGAGAACACATTATACATTTACATTATTAATACACATGCACGGAGGTTTTCAGAATTATTTGTCAAAGTTTTAATGAAAAAATAATGTTTTTATGCACAAAAAAAGCGATTGCGGCAAACCAGGAAGTGCTATTATCATGAATTGCACATTATAGGACACATCTGCAGAGGATCTGATTATGGATATAGGTTCAGTATATACATAAGTACCTCAGCGCGGATGTTTAGAATTCTTTGCTCAGTTTTCATGTAGTTCCAGAGCCTAATAGAGGCTCCGCGAAAACAAACAACTGAGCATGCGCGCAGCTGCGAGCGTCAGCGCCGATGATTGACAGCCCTTTGCATGACTCGATTGGTTAACGTGGACGGCACCGTGGATTCTGAGCTATAGCTAAGAGCAGGGAAGGCGGGACTTGCCCGTAATATTAGAATTAATAAAATGACTTATTTTATATCAACATTTAAGGCCAGGAGGTCAATTTAACACATTTCCTAAAATTTGTAATTCATTTAGAGTTACAGACTATCACTTTAAATGTGTTTAAAAAAAAAAATGAATTAATGTAATTTGAGTAAATAATTAATCTCAATTAACGCATTAAAGTCCTGGCCCTAATCTATGTTTATAGGTATATATATAGAAATAGATACATATATATATATATATACATATACATATGTATCTAGATATATATATATCCTTCAGAGGTCCTCCTGATGAAGTGAAAAGTTCAGTTTTGTGCAAACGTTTTGTAACTCTGTGTGATCCCCTCCCCTATAGTATTAGACCTCCAATACACCATCAGTATGTACCTGTGGTCAGTATGTACCTGTGGTCAGTATTTCATTGTGACTTGTTTTGCTGTTTTTAAACTAATATTTAAAGTGTTTAATGTGAGAATATTCTGCCCCATGGAGATGTATGCACCTGTGCTCCCCTCAGACCTGTCCCTGTGCTCTCCTCAAACCTGTACCTGTGCTCCCCTCAGACCTGTCCCTGTGCTCTCCTCAGAAATGTCCCTGTGCTCCCCTCAGACCTGTCCCTGTGCTCCCCTCAGACCTGTCCCTGTGCTCTCCTCAGACTCGTCCCTGTGCTCCCCTCAGACCTGTCCCTGTGCTCTCCTCAGACTCGTCCCTGTGCTCCCCTCAGACCTGTCCCTGTGCTCTCCTCAAACCTGTACCTGTGCTCCCCTCAGACCTGTGCCTGTGCTCCCCTCAGACCTGTGCCTGTGCTCCCCGCAGATCTGTCCCTGTGCTCTCCTCAGACCTCTCCCTGTGCTCTCCTCAGACCTGTCCCTAGAGTCTCCTACAGTGAAGTTACACAGAACAACTTTAAATATATTTCAGTGTTTACATCTGTGTCAGTGTTGAGCCCAAAATAAAACTTGTGCATGTGACGAGTCTGAGCCTGGACTGTTTCTTTGGGGGAAGGGGAGGGGGTCGTGACCCTGGTGGGCTCCACTGGGACTACATCATCTACAAAACCAGTCTTTGGAACAATATGGTGAGTAATGTGCACAACAACAGAAGTGTCAAGGATCTTAACAGGCACCAAAAGTAGGGAGCACATAACTCCGGTGTTAAAATCACTCCATTTGCTTCACGTCGAGCTCAGAATAACATTTAAAATACTTTTAACTTACAAAGCCATAATGGCTGGCTCCTTCTCACCTCCAAGACACGTTAGTGTCATACCGAGCACTGTGCTCGCAAAACACTAGACGTCTGCTGGATCCTAAGGTCTCAAAAAGCACTGTTGGCGGCCGAGCATTTAGCTCCAAGCTCCTTTGATGTGGAAACCGCTTCGTTCACGTTAAAGAAGCAGACACGGTCTCTTCACTCAAGGCCAGGCTTAAAACAGTCCTCTTTAATTTAGTATATGATTAACCTTAAGTTTGAGAGACCGATTGTCAGCGATGCTGCATATGGAGCCCCCTGCTGAAGAATTATGGTAACTACACTATCCTCTTCATTATGACGTCTGTAGTCTGTTCATTGTTATTCACCCCCTGTCCCATTGTCTCTTTCATGGCGTGATGATGGAACCCCTGAACTCCTCTGTCCTTCTCGACCCGCAGGTGAATATTCAATGGTTTTGTTTAGTCCTCTGAGATAATGCTGTTGTGATTTAGGACTATACAAGAATACATTGAACTGAGTTGAAGTGGGCCACTTCAGCTGCCCCAGACCGGGACGGTCCACTCCAGACCGGGACGGTCCACTCCAGACCGGGACTGTCCACTCCAGACCGGGACGGCACAGAAGTGTCCAGCGATGGTTGAGTGTTCAAAAGACCAGAGGACTGACCCGAGTCTCAGTCCTCTATTCTCTGGAGAGAATAGACCAGGACCAGGTTTGGTGATTTATTCTTAGAACCACACACAACACTTTACTGTGGCTTTTAACTTTATTTCAGTTGTTCATAAATGTAACGCAGTGAAACGTGCAGACATTAACCCTTCAGGCGCCACAGGCTTTTATTAAATATTTGATTTTGACTTGACTTGACCCTCTAACACTTGCTGTGATTTCACATTTCCTCCGATATTTTGTAAAGAATCATGACGTTTGAATGAATGTTGACACAGTTTGAAATCGTTTTAAACAGCAGTACGTTGACTTAAGTCGACCGTGGCGCCTAGAGGATCCTGGTGGACCTCCTCCTGTTGGACCTCCTCCTGGTGGACACACGTGGAACTGCATGCAGATCTGAGGAAACATGAGAGTCCCTTTCAGTTCATGTACGGTGCCTTGCAAAAGTATTCAGCCCCCCTTGGCATTTTGTGTGTTTTGTTGCCTCACAACCTGGAATTAATATGGATTGTTTGAGGATTTGCATCAGTTAATTTACAAAACATTCCCACAACTTTGAAGATGTTGTCTTTTATTTATTGTGAAGCAAACAACAAATAGGACAACATAACAAAAAAGGTCAATGTGCATAACTATTCACCCCCTAAAGTCAATACTTTGGAAAAGTCTATGAGCTTGCCACATCTTACCACTGGGATGTTTGCCCATTCCTCCTTGCAAAACTGCTCCAGCTCCTTCAATTCGGATGGTTTGCGCTTGTGAACAGCAATATTTAAGTCTGACCACAGATTTTCTATTGGATTGAGGTCTGGGCTTTGACTTGGCCATTCCAATACATTTACATGTTTCCCCTTAAACCACTGAAGTGTTGCTTTAGCAGTGTGTTTGGGGTCATTGTCCTGCTGGAAGGTGAACCTCGTCCTAGCCTCAAATCACGCACAGAGTGGTACAGGTTTTGCTCTAAAATATCCCTGTATTTAGCACCATTCATCTTTCCCTCAACTCTGACCAGTTTTCCAGTCCCGGCTGCTGAAGAACATCTCCACAGCATGATGCTGCCACCACCATGTTTCACTGTGGGGATGGTGTTCTTTGGGTGTTGTGATGTGTTGGGTTTGCGCCAGACATAGCGTTTTCCTTGATGGCCGAAAAGTTCAATTTTAGTCTCATCAGACCAGAGCACCTTCCTCCATACATTTTGGGAGTTTCCCACATGCCTTTTCGCAAACTCAAAACGTGCCTTTTGTTTTTTGCTGAAAGTAATGCTTTCTTCTGGCCACTCTGCCATAAAGCCCAACTCTATGGAGTGTACGGCTTATTGTCTCTGCTGTGGAACTCTGCAGCTCCTCCAGGGTTACCTTGGGTCTCTGTGCTGCCTCTCTGATTAATGCCCTCCTTGCCCGGTCCGTGAGTTTTGGTGGGCGGCCGTCTCTTGGCAGGTTTGCTGTTGTGCCATGTTCTTTCCATTTGGTTATGATAGATTTGATGGTGCTCCTGGGGATCATCAAAGATTTGGATATTTTTTTATAACCTAACCCTGACTTGTACTTCTCAACAACACTGTCCCTGACTTGTTTGGAGAGTTCCATGGTCTTCATGGCAATGTTTGGTCAGTGGTGCCTCTTGCTTAGGTGTTGCAGCCTCTGAGGCCTTTCTAAAAAGCTGTGTATATGTACTGACAGATCATGTGACACTTAAAGCTGTGTATATGTACTGACAGATCATGTGACACTTAGATTGCACACAAGTGGACATCATTTCACTATTGATGTGACTTCTGAAGGTAATTGGTTGCCCCAGGGCTTTTTATGGGCTTCATAACAAAAAAGGTGGATACATTTGCACATTCCAATTTCCAGTTTTTTATTTCTGAAAAATAGTTTTATGTATATATTTTTCTCAATTCACTTCACCAACTTAGACTATTGTTTTCTGATCCATCACATGAAATTCAGATTAAAAAAACATTGAACTAAAGGCTGTAATGTAACAAAATAGGAAAAAAGCCATTTTGTGGAGGCTGCTTAAACCACATGGACTCGAGGCCATGGACTCGAGGCCATGGACTCGAGGCCATGGACTTCAGCCGAACTCCACATAGACTAAAGGCCTGCACCGACTGCACAGACCAGGATAACCAGAGCCTGAACACCTCACTGCTGCTAATGTTTGGGACTCAGTCCTTGAGACCTGGTCTCAGTCCTTGAGACCTGGTCTCAGTCCTTGAGACCTGGTCTCAGTCCTGGTCCCAGCCCTGGTAGTCCTGGTCTCAGTCCTGGTCCCAGTTATTGGTCCTCAGTTTCTGGACTTGGCTCTTTGCTCTCACCTGGTCCTGATCTCAGTCCTGGTCCCGGTGTTTGGCCCTGAGCTTCTGGACCTGGCTCTCGGCGATCTCGGCCCTCTCTTCTGCCTGTTCAACCTCGTGCTGCAGATGCCGCACTTTCCCCAGAGTCGTGTTGTTCTCGGCTTCAGCTTCTTCCAGAGAACGCTTGTACGACTTCAGCTTCAGCTGCAGCTTCTCCACCAGGTCCTAAGGAGAGACCAGAATTGGGTCTGAACCAGGTCTGAACCAGGTCTTAACCAGGTCTGAACCAGGTCAGAACCAGGTTTAAACCAGGTCTGAACCAAATCTGGACCAGGTCTAGAGGAAGTCTAGAGCAGACGGACCTGCAGTCTTGTAGAGCTCTTCTTCTCCTCCTCGTTCTGGAAGCTCAGCTCTTTGATTCGCCGTTCGTACTTCCTGATTCCCTTCATAGACTCCGCCCCTCGCCGTTGCTCCGCCTCTAGCTCAGCCTCCAGCTCTCGGAGGCGGAGCTCCAGCCGCTGCAGTTGCTTGCGTCCTCCTGTGGAGGCGCTGTGCTCGGCCTGGTCCGCTCTCAGCTGCAGGTCTTTGACGGTGACCTCCAGGTTCTTCTTCATGCGCTCCAGGTGCGCGCACGTGTCCTGCTCCTTCTTCAGCTCCTCCGCCATCAGCGCTGCGTCTCCAATCGCCTTTCGAGCTCTGTCCTCTGCTGCCCGCGCCTCCTGCTGCGCCTCCTCCAGCTCCACCTGCAGAACACACACGTCTCCTACTGCACCTCTTCCTCCTCCTCCTCCCACCTCCTCTCTCACCTTCTCCTCCCTCTCCTCCCCCTCTCACCTGCACCACCTCCTCCTCCAAACATCACTTTGTCCTCCTCCCTCCTCTCCTCCTCTCACCTGTAGGGCACAGATGTCGGCCTCTGTCTTCTTCTTCTGCTGCATCAGGCTGTTGTTCTGCTGTAGTAGAAGTTGTGCTCGCTCGTTGTTCTCGCTGAGTTCGCTCTCGCACAGTTTGCGGCTGCGCTCGCACTGCTCCAGCGCCGCCCGCACCTCCTCCAGCTCTGATTGCAGGAGTGTGCACCTCCTCTCACTCAGCAACGCGTTCTCCTTCTGCTCCTCTCGCTGGTGCACCTCCTCATCCAAGAGCAGCTGTGTGTCTGAGAGAGCCCCCTGGAGAAGCTTCACCTGTCTGAGAGAGGAGAGAGTGAGAGCACCTCGTGGAGGAGGTCAGAGAGGAGAGAGTGAGAGCACCTCTTTTAGGAGGTCAGAGAGGAGACAGTGAGATCACCTCTTGGAGGAGGTTAGAGAGGAGAGAGTGAGAGCACCTCTTGGAGGAGGTCAGAGAGGAGAGAGTGAGAGCACCTCTTGGAGGAGGTCAGAGAGGAGAGAGTGAGTGAGCACCTCTTGGAGGAGGTCAGAGAGGATAGAGTGAGAGAGCACCAGAAACTGCTCCTGCAGTCTCCTCTCCTGCTGCAAAAGAGGCTCTAATGGAGTTTTACAAACACAGTTTAATGTGAGAAATGTGAGGTGTCTATGGGAGACCAGAGCAAGAACCAAAAGAACAAGAACCAAGACCAGGACCAAGACCAAGACCAAGAACAGGACCAAGACCAAGATGAGGACCAAGAACAGGACCCTTGGACAGGAGCATACACAGCACTGCTCATAGTCATAAGGGGTCCGTGTAATTATTGTCTGAGGTGAAACCGGTCTGTGGCTCTAAAAGGAGGTGGCTGCGTTAGGACAGTGTTGTACCTGTGCTGCTTGCATTAGAGGGCAGTGTTGTACCTGTGCTGCTTGCATTAGAGGACAGTGTTGTACCTGTGCTGCTTGCATTAGAGGACAGTGTTGTACCTGTGCTGCTTGCATTAGAGGACAGTGTTGTACCTGTGCTGCTTGCATTAGAGGACAGTGTTGTACCTGTGCTGCTTGCATTAGAGGACAGTGTTGTACCTGTGCTGCTTGCATTAGAGGACAGTGTTGTACCTGTGCTGCTTGCATTAGAGGACAGTGTTGTACCTGTGCTGCTTGCATTAGAGGGCAGTGTTGTACCTGTGCTGCTTGCATTAGAGGGCAGTGTTGTACCTGTGCTGCTTGCATTAGAGGACAGTGTTGTACCTGTGCTGCTTGCATTAGAGGACAGTGTTGTACCTGTGCTGCTTGCATTAGAGGGCAGTGTTGTACCTGTGCTGCTTGCATAAGAGGACAGTGTTGTACCTGTGCTGCTTGCATAAGAGGACAGTGTTGTACCTGTGCTGCTTGCATTAGAGGACAGTGTTGTACCTGTGCTGCTTGCATTAGAGGGCAGTGTTGTACCTGTGCTTCTTGCATTAGAGGGCAGTGTTGTACCTGTGCTTCTTGCATTAGAGGACAGTGTTGTACCTGTGCTGCTCCGCGCTGCTCCTCAGCGCCTGGTTGAGCTGCGCCTCCATGTCGTTGAGGTCGGCCTCCATCTTCTTCTTGATGCGCAGCGCCTCGTTGCGGCTGCGCGTCTCATTGTCCAGCGTGCTTTGCAGACTCTCCAGCGCCCTCTGCTGGTTACGTTTGTTCTGCTCGCTCTCTGCGTCCTTCTCGCTGATGCGGCGCTCGGCGTCGGCCTGCGCCTGCGCGCTCTCCAGCTGCAGCCTCAGAAGTTTGGACTCATGCATCTGCAGCGTCTCCTCACACTCCTCCAAACACGTCTGCATCTCCTCCTTCTCCTGCTGCAGCGTGCGCCGCAGTTTGTCCAGCTCATGTGCACTGCGTCCGGCTTCGGCCACGCGCTCCGTCAGGTCTGTCACCTCCTCCTGCAGGTTCTGGTTCTCCCTCTTCAGCGTCTCCAGGTGGTCCAGCAGCTCCTCGTACGAGTTCTTCAGCTGAGGAGGTGCCACAGTTACTGTAGCTCTGTGTTATATTTGTTTTATTGTGTCGTACGCACTTTGAAGAGCTCCGTGCTGAGGGAGCGGGCCTCCTTTTGGGACGCCTCCAGCTCACACTGCGTCTCCTCCTGCTTTTGCTTCCACTCGGCCAGAATCTGTGCAGAAGAAGGTCTGGATTTAGCTCTCCTGCTCCTCCTCACACCTCCTCACACCTCCTCACGCAGCCCCTCCCACCACCCCCAACCATTCACAACACACCAGACTCATTCTAATGTAGGAGAAGTGTAGTAGTAGTAGTAGTAGTAGTAGTAGTAGTAGTAGTAGTAGTAGTAGTAGTAGTAGTAGTAGTAGTAGTAGTAGTAGTAGTAGTAGTAGTAGTAGTAGTAGTAGTAGTAGTAGTAGTCACCTTGTCGAAGCTGCGTTGCTTCTTGTCCAGTGCGGCTGCAGCAGCGTGTGATCGCTCCATGTCGAGCGTCATGTCCTCGATCTCTGTCTGAAGACGAACTTTAGTTTTCTCCAAAGAACACGACTTAGCATTTGCCGCTTCCACCGCCTCCTCTGCCTCCTGCAAGAACAGGTTTATGTACTCGGTACATGTTTATGTACAAATACACATTAAAGTACTCATACACTGAGTACTTTAAACACTCAGGCCTGAAAGGCTGCAGTTCTTCAGGAGGAGACATCACAAGAAGGATTATGTCTTAAAAACATAAACCTAGAACAGAATGCTCCTCTCGGTCGAGGTCCTAGTGACCGGGAGAGACACATGGTCCAAACCTGGTCCAGACCTGGTCCAAACCTGGTCCAGACCAGACCTTGTCCAAGCCTGGTCCAGACTTGTATTCATCAAGACTTGCTTCAGACATAATATAATTCCAGATTGCTGCATGTTATCCACAGCTCGTCTAAAACAGCACCTCCTCCTCACCTGCAGCCTCTGGACCAGCCTCCTCTTGGCCTCCTCTAGCTCCTCAGTTCTGGTCACTCCTTCGCTCTCGTAGCGGGTCCTCCACTGCTGCGCCTCCACGTTGCTCTTGGATACGAGTCTCTGGAGTTGAGCTTTGGCCTCCTGCTCCTCCTCCAGCTGCTCCCGCAGGAGGTCACAGTCATGACGTGCAGACTGCAGCGCGTGAGCCAGAGCGTTCTTAGCTTTAGACTCCTCATCGAGCTGTCGCCGCGCCTCCTCAATCTACAGGAGGAGCATGTTAGACCTCCTCATGAAGGAGGAATAAAGTGCTTTGCAAAGTGCTCAATACAGGTCAAGCCACAGTCATTATGTCCAATAGTTCTCATTTTCCTGCAGTTGTTTTTAGCTCCATCCACGCCGACAAATGTCATTGATATAAACAACCCTATTGGATGGCTGTTATCAGAAGATGGAACAAGCTTCTCTGTCTCTCTCAGGTCTCTCTCAGGTCTTTCTCTTGTCTCTCTCTGGTCGTTCTCTCTGGTCGTTCTCTCTGGTCTCTCTCTCTGGTCTCTCTCTCTGGTCTCTCTCAGGTCTTTCTCTGGTCTCTCTCTCTGGTCTCTCTCTCTGGTCTCTCTCTGGTCTCTCTCTCTGGTCTCTCTCTCTGGTCTCTCTCTCTGGTCTCTCTCTCTGGTCTCTCTCTCTGGTCTCTCTCTCTGGTCTCTCTCTGGTCTCTCTCTGGTCTCTCTCTGGTCTCTCTCTCTGGTCTCTCTCTCTGGTCTCTCTCTCTGGTCTCTCTCTCTGGTCTCTCTCTCTGGTCTCTCTCTCTGGTCTCTCTCTCTGGTCTCTCTCTCTGGTCTCTCTCTCTGGTCTCTCTCTCTGGTCTCTCTCTGGTCTCTCTCTCTGGTCTCTCTCTCTGGTCTCTCTCTCTGGTCTCTCTCTGGTCTCTCTCTCTGGTCTCTCTCTCTGGTCTCTCTCTCGTCTGTCTCTCTGGTCTCTCTCTCTGGTTCTCTCTCTCTGGTCTCTCTCTGGTCTCTCTCTCTGGTCTCTCTCAGGTCTCTCTCAGGTCTTTCTCTTGTCTCGCTCTGGTCTCTCTCAGGTCTCTCTCAGGTCTTTCTCTGGTCTCGCTCTGGTCTCGCTCTGGTCTCGCTCTGGTCTCGCTCTGGTCTTCCTATGGTCTTCCTATGGTCTCTCTCACCTGCTGGGAGAAGGCGTTCTTGCTCCGTGTCATCTGTTGCAGTAGACTCTCGCGTTCGTCTCCATGCCGATGTAGTTCTGCGTTCTCGGTAGTGAGTTTGGCGTTGGCGGTCTGTGCGTCAGACAGCGCCCTCTGGCTTTCCTCCAGGCGGCTGCGCAGCTCGTGAGCCGCGTCCTCCTGAGCTCGCGCTGTCTTCTCTGCGTTGGCTTTAGCGCGCACCACTGCCTCCAAGTTTGCGCTCACGTCGTCCAGCTCCACACGCAGCTCGGCTTTCTCCTTTTCCAACTTCTGCTTCACTGAAACAACACAGAGGCATCATTCTGTCACTCTCTGGTCCCTCTCACTTGGTCTCTCTCACTGGTTTCTCTGTGGCTTCTCTCTGGTCTCTCTCTGGTCTCTCTCTGGTCTCTCTCTGGTCTCTCTCTGGTCTCTCTCTGGTCTCTCTCTGGTCTCTCTCTGGTCTCTCTCTGGTCTCTCTCTGGTCTCTCTCTGGTCTCTCTCTGGTCTCTCTCTGGTCTCTCTGGTCTCTCTCTGGTCTCTCTCTGGTCTCTCTCTGGTCTCTCTCTGGTCTCTCTCTGGTCTCTCTCTGGTCTCTCTCTGGTCTCTCTCTGGTCTCTCTCTGGTCTCTCTCTGGTCTCTCTCTGGTCTCTCTCTGGTCTCTCTCTGGTCTCTCTCTGGTCTCTCTCTGGTCTCTCTCTGGTCCCTCTCTCTGGTCCCTCTCTCTGGTCCCTCTCTCTGGTCCCTCTCTCTGGTCCCTCTCTCTGGTCCCTCTCTCTGAACTCTCTCTGGATCAGCTCTATCCTCTGGGTCGGCTCTAACCTCTGGGTCGGCTCTAACCTCTGGGTCGGCTCTAACCTCTGGGTCGGCTCTAACCTCTGGGTCGGCTCTAACCTCTGGGTCGGCTCTAACCTCTGGGTTGGCTCTAACCTCTGGGTCGGCTCTAATCTCTGGGTCGGCTCTACACTCATACCTCTCTGTAGGTTGTCCATGTGCTCCCCCAGCTCCCCCACAGCGTCTGCATGTTTCTTCCTCATGGTGGCGCTGGTGGCTTCGTGCTGCAGAGTGAGTTCCTCCAGTTCTCTCCTCAGACGCTGGAACTCGGCGTCTCTTCTCTTCTGCGCCTCCTGCTGGGCGCTGGTGGCACCTCCTGCTTGCTCCAGACGCTCGCTGAGGTCCTCGAGTTCTCGGCTCAGGTCAGATCTCTGCTTCTCCACTTTGGCTCGAGACGAACGCTCGCTCTCCAGCTCCTCCTCCAGCTCCTCCAGCCGCGCCTGCGCCTCCTGCACCAATCAGGTTCTCTCTGCTTTTATGCTCCTTGTAAATGGAATGCTCTGCCTAATGTTAATGAATGTGCTCCGACTCCTTCAGTCTCAGATGTGTGTGTTACCTTCAGCCTCAGATGTGTGTGGTACCTACAGTCTCAGACATGTGTGTGGTACCTACAGTCTCAGATGTGTGTGGTACCTACAGTCTCAGATGTGTGTGGTACCTTCAGTCTCAGACGTGTGTGGTACCTTCAGTCTCTTGCTCAGCTGGACTCCTGCTCCTTGCTCCTGCTCCACTCGTGCACAAGCCTGACTCAGCTCAAACTCCTTCTTCTTCATCCTCTCCTCCAGCTGCTGCTTCTCGTTCTCCAGGTCCATTAGGTTCTCCTGCAGGAGCTTCACGTCTCCTTCCAGCTTCCGTTTACTCCTCTCCAAATCCATCCTGCTCTTCTTCTCCTGCTCCAGCGCTCCTTCCAGGTCGTCCACTTGCTGCTCCAGCTTCACTTTGGCTTTGTTCAGAGCATTGCATTTGTCCTCCTCGCTCTGAAGGTCGTCCAGGGTCTGCTGCTGCGCCTCCTGCAACCACACAGAGGTCAAACTCCCCTATCTGCTCCTCAGTCTCAGTCCAAACACCTCTTCTATCTGCTCCTCGATCACGGTCCAAACACCTCCTCTATCTGCTCCTCAGTCTTAGTCCAAACATCTCCTCTATCTGCTCCTCAGTCTTAGTCCAAACATGTCCTCTATGGTCTTCCTTGGGTCTCGTACCTGTAGTGCCTTCTTCTCGCGTGTCAGTTTGAGGATGTTCTCGTCCTGAGAGGCCATCTCCTCTGTCAGGTTCTTCACTTTGTTCTCTGTGGCGTGTTTTTCCTTCTCCACTTTGGCCAGAGTCATCTCCAGGTCGTCGATGTCCCTCTTCAGCTCACACGCCTCATCCTCCAGCTTACGTTTCTTACAGGTCAGATCTGCGTTCATCTCCTCCTCGTCCTCCAGCCGCTCGCTCAGCTCCTTCATTGGACAAAACCACAAGTTACTGCCTTAAACTCCACATCCCTCAGACTCTGCTGAGGTCCATGGCCACGTCCCTCAGACTCTGCTGAGGTCCATGGCCACGTCCCTCAGACTCTGCTGAGGTCCATGGCCACGTCCCTCAGACTCTGCTGAGGTCCATGGCCACGTCCCTCAGACTCTGCTGAGGTCCATGGCCACGTCCCTCAGACTCTGCTGAGGTCCATGGCCACGTTCCTCAGACTCTGCTGAGGTCCATGGCCACGTCCCTCAGACTCTGGTGAGGTCCATGGCCACGTCCCTCAGACTCTGGTGAGGTCCATGGCCACGTCCCTCAGACTCTGGTGAGGTCCATGGCCACGTCCCTCAGACTCTGGTGAGGTCCATGGCCACGTCCCTCAGACTGAGGTTTTCGCGTACCTTGAGTTTGGACTCCAGCTGAATCTTGCTCTTGATCAGCTGCTCACAGCGCTCCTCTGCGTCTGACAGCGTGTCTTGCTCGGACTGGATCTGCAGCGTCAGGTCATTCTTCTCCTGGGTCAGCCCCACCATCTTCTCCTCCAGCTCTTTGCGCCGCATCTCGCACTTCTCCAGCGCTTCCTTGACTCGCTGGAACTCCTCTTTGATGTTGGCCATCTCCTTCTCGGCCTCTGCGCTTTTTAACAGAGGTTTGATTTTGAAGAAGAGCTTCATCCAGGGCCAGTTCTTCACGGCGAGGAACGAACGCAGGTTCCACTGTATGACCATGAGAGCGTCTCGGCGCTCCACCAGCTGAGCAAAGCGCTCCCTCATGAGGAGCGCGCGGGCGTTGGCCTGAAGGCGAGTGATTATGCGAGACAGCTGCTCGTCCCTCATCTCTTCCAGAGTACCCAGGAGCCCCGCCTTAAAGAACACCTTGGTGTTTCCAAAGCGGTACTGCGTGTGGTCGATGTCCAGAGAGCCCAGCAGCTTCTCTGTGCTCTTCTTACAATCCAGGAAGGTGCCTTCAGGGATGGCGGCCGCGTTCAGGATGCGGTAGCGTTGTTTGAAGTCTCCGTACAGGACGCGGTTCGGAAAACCTTTTCTGCAGATGCGGATTCCCTCCAGAACGCCGTTGCAGCGCAGTTGGTGCAGCACCAAGCAGTTGTCCATCGCTCCCGGTGTCTTGGACTCATTTGGGATGAGGCAGCGTACAAAGTGCGGGTGAGTGGTCTTCAGGTTGGTCATGAGTTTGTTCAGGTTTTCTCTATGAAGTGCAGACACTGTTTGGAAAGAGGACCCCTTCTTTTTGGCTCCTTTTCCTCCTTTGTCGCTGTCGCCGCCTGCATAGCTGGAGAAGAGCAGACTGAGCAGCTTCAGAGAGGACTTCTGGTACAGTCCCACCACCGTCTCATTCAGAGGGTCCTTGTTTTTCACCAGCCAGTTGGTTATATTGTAGTCCACCGTCCCAGCGTAATGCACCAGAGCGAAGTGCGCCTCGGCTTTGCCTTTGGCGGCACGCGGTTTCTCAAACATCTTGTTTTTACCCAGGTGGTTGTCGTACATCTTGGCCTTGAAGGTCTGGTCACTGGCCTTGGGGAACATGCACTCTTCTTCCAGGATGGACAGGATGCCGAGCGGCTTCTCTATCAAGTCTATGCAGGCCTGCAGGTCCATGCCAAAGTCGATGAACTCCCAGTCGATGCCCTCCTTCTTGTACTCCTCCTGCTCCAGAACAAACATGTGGTGGTTGAAGAACTGCTGAAGCTTCTCATTGGTGTAGTTGATGCACAGCTGCTCAAAAGTGTTGTAGTCAAATATCTCGAATCCGGCGATGTCCAAAACGCCGATGAAGTACTGTCGGTGCTGCTTGGTGTCCAGGCTATGGTTAATGCGCACCACCATCCAATTGAACATCTTCTCGTACACCGACTTCGCGAGCGCGCCAATGGAGTAGTACACCTGGTCCACACTCTGGCCTTTGGTCACATACTCGTTCCCCACTTTGACGCGAGGGTGACACAGGCCTTTGATGAGGTCTGCCGAGTTCAGCCCCATGAGGAAGGCCGACTTATCGACCGACTCTGTGCCATCTGACTCCGCCTGCTCCTCTCGCTGCTTCTGCTTGAAGCGCATGTTTCCATAGTGCATGATGGCACCCGTGAGCTTGTAGACCGCCGCCTTCTCTTCGGCCGTGAAACCCAGCACGTCAAAGGCACTATCCGTGGCCATGAGCTCATCGGCGTCGTTGATGGACGCCACGGTGACCTCGCCCTGAGATGTGTAAGCGTAATCGTACGGGTTTGTGGTGATCAGCAGCTGCTCCAGCAGCTCTGGCTTCTGATTGGACAGGATCTGGTAGAAGATGTGGTAGTTCCTTTCAGCCTTGAGCTGAAAGGTCACTCTGGACTTCTCTAGCAGATATGTCTCGATGTCGGCGGACGACAGTTTGCCGCTGGTGCCGAAGTGAATACGGATGAACTTCCCAAAGCGTGACGAGTTATCGTTACGCGAAGTCTTGGCGTTCCCGAAAGCCTCGAGCGCCGGGTTGGCCTGGATGATCTGGTCTTCTAACGTGCCCTTGTTCTGGTCCTTCTTGTTGGCTCCGCCCACCGCAGCGATGCTGGCGAAGTACTGGATGACCCGTTTGGTGTTAACAGTTTTTCCTGCGCCGGATTCTCCAGTGATGAGCACAGACTGGTTCTCGCGGTCCGTCAGCATGTACTGGTATGCGTTATCGGAGATGGAGAAGATGTGGGGCGGAGCTTCAGTGCGCTTCTTCCCGCGGTATGCTGCCACCACGTCGGCATCGTACACCGGCAGCCACTTGTAGGGATTGACAGTGACGCAGAAGAGGCCAGAGTAGGTGTAGATCATCCAGGCCGCGTAGCGCTCCTTCAAGTTGAAGAGCACGGCGGGCTCGTGTAGGAATGTGAACATGGCCATGTCCTCGATCTTATCAAACTTTGGCGGGTTCTGAGGATGCACCGCGGTGTCCTTCACCGTGCGCACCTCGCCGTCCTCTGTCTTCACCGTGACCGCTCCAGCCTCGCGGCTCTGCACTGTCGCCTTCACGTACTCCACTTTGTCATCAACCACAAAACATGCCGTCTTTATGTCGAAGGCGCGTGTCTGCGCCTCCAGACGCTCGCGCTCAGACTTGCGCAGGAACGGGGCAGCTTTGCCGAACTCGGCCATGAGCGCGTCAGACATGTTCAGCTGAAAGAGACACATTTATGTCAGTGACATAATATAAACTGTCAAAGTCACAATACAGACTGTCACAGTCACAATACAGACTGTTGGGGTTAGCAGCAGCAGAGATGGGGCTGCTCACCCGTACCCTGCTGCTGGAGCTTATGTTGCAGTATCCCAGTTTAAAACAGAGAATATGAAGGTTATTTTGTGTTTTTATTATCAACAATATTTTTTGCTTTTGAATTCTGAAACTGTAACAAAAAAGTATTCAGTGTAAATAAATTCAATGTTTTAAAATTCATTGTCAAAAAATTCACTGTTTTAAAATTCAGTGTCAAAATATTCAATGTTTTAAAATTCACTGTAAAAAAATTCACTGTTTAAAAATTCAGTGTTAAAATATTCTATGTTGAAAAAAATTCAGTGGCAAAAAATGTGTTGCATTTTTTTTGCTGCTTGAAATATCATACTTTATTTCTGGGTAGATCAAGACAGAAGCAATCGATCAGCCAATCCTCCATAGATGTAGCCAGGGCCAGAACACGACTTTGGCTTTATCCTAATGTCCACACTATACCGTATTCACTCAGTCACTACATAGTGCGGGTCTTTATAGTGAGTGAGTGACTGAGTGAGTGGACTCATTCTGATGGCGATTCAGACGTTGCACACTATTTTCAGGCCGTGCTGTTGTACGTGAGCGTCCCGCGGCAGCATGGATCACGGAGCGGAGAGAGGAGCGGCCATGACAAGGTAAAGGTTAAAGTTGAATTTAATTAGGACATAACATTTAATTGTATTAACATTGGAGGTGGGAAATGGCCCCTTCTATTGTTATATCAGAGGTCTGTTTGGTGATTAAACAGATTATCTTTGGACTTTTTCTCCAGTCTTGAGCTCCAATGCTAACACGCTAACCACGGGTGTAGAGCTGCGCTGGGAGTCATTTTGAGAGCTCCCTTATGCTAACAGTCTTAATTGTGGAAGTAACAATTGTTTTAAGAGTAATCATTAGTCTTAAAAATGTGATATTTGATGTAAATAATGCATGTGTTTAGAGCGATGGATGGATTTGCTATGGCCCTCGTTTGTGCATCACTCTGTGGTAAAGTAATTTGTATTAAGTACAAATGTGATAATGTGTATTTACTGATGACAGGGGACATCTGTAAACATGAAGCTGGACACAGAAGACGCGTGGACTTGAACTTACAGACCAGATTTGAGGTCATGAGTACTTACTTTTTGAGCACAAGCTCCTCTTGAAATCCAACAGACCTGATCATGTCAGAGTTAGAGGCTTAAATGTATTTAAGATTAGAAGTACTTAAATACAAGCTATGAAACTTGTTTCTCACTGATCGTGTGGTTGGATAAAACAAACGCATACATCACTTTTCATTGCACACAAAGAACTAAATCATAATAATTTTATTTTATTCCAGGTTGTGATGAGTCCACCGTAGAAAAGACAGTCAGAGGCAGACGTCCAGGCACCTGCTGCTGTTGCTGCTGCTGTTACTGCTGCTGCTGCATGTCTTCAGAAAATGAGAGATGTGTTCTAACTATCCATGACTTGTAATTAATATAACAAATGAACATATTGGTCGTTGTAGTTTATATCGTAATCCATAGAAGCTGGAGGTGATGGAAATGGATGAAGAAATGATCTTCCTCTGGAAGACAGCTGCCTTTAGAAAAGAAATTCACACAAAAATCATTAATTTAAACAGACCCGGTTCTTCTGGGATTAAAATGAGCCTTTTGTTACAATCAGACATGTCGACATATATGTTCATATACATGTACTGTTCCAGTCAAATTAATTAATATAAATACACAGTAGTAGAGTAGAAACAGACGCTCTGAGGAGGAGCAGAAGTACGATGCCTTTACAAACACACACATGAACTTAACATGTCATATCAACAGTAAATGTAAATACATGTCCAGTCTTTAACAGGAGGCTGGTAGAGTGGGATTTACAAATATACTCTATTAAACCCATATCTATCAGTCTGATTCCTCTCTGTAGCATTAATATTGAATCCATGGGTTAGTTTTCTCCCTAAAGAACCGATCCTTCATTCCATCTTGGTTTCACAAAGATGTCAAATTTAAGAGTAAAGATAGAATAATTATCAGACGTATAGATACATAAAAATCAGACTGAACAACATAATTAACAACAACCCCTTAGCATGCTCTGTCTCTAGACTGACATGTTTGTGTTTGTATGAATGTGTTTTTTTGTTTTTTGTTAAAGCTCCTCCTCCTGCACTGTCATATATCTAATGATTACTAAATGATAATGACAACAAAGGGACTGAAAATAATTCATCTGAACATTAGGACCATAGTATCTCAAATGGACTCAGACTGTGGTCACACCAGTACAAACCTAACATCACTATATCAGAAACGTGGCTGCACAATGGTATCTCAGATGATGAACTAAACATTTATGGATTTGTTTTGCATCGATCGGATCGAGGTACAAGAGGAGGTGGTGTAGCAATATTTGTATCCAATAACTTAAAGGAATAGGCCACCGTTTTTACATACTGACATATGTTCTTACCTTAGACTAGTCTGGTCTGTGTCCGTGCGCTCTGTCATGCAAACGGAGCACTAACGCAGCCTCTTCCACAGACTGTATAGTTCCAAATCAGCTCCCGTTAGAAGCTCCCAAACTCTTCCACGTGTTCCCTATTTAAATACAGTTATGTGACGTGTTACACTACAAAGTATAGTAACACAGAAATGTAACATGTCCATTTTCTCAGCGGATAAAAAGGGGAACTATATTGTGAGGCGTAATAATCCTGTACGTACTGCAAGTCACGCTGCTTCTATTGACGGATGTGAGCGGGAGAGAAGTCTTTGGGAATTAGTGCGCGGACGTAGTGCTCCTCGTATTTTATCCGCTGAGAAAATTTCACTCAGAATTTCACTCTGAATTCACCAACATCATTAACAAACACGCCCCTTTCAAAACTCTTCGTGTAAAAGGTCGACACCTCCCCTGGATCAGCCCTGCTCTTCTTCATCTCTGCAGAAAAAGGACGCAGCATGGGAAAAACACAAACAAACAAATAGGGAACGGCTGATAGGGAAACTTACAAATCACTCAGAAATCACTGCACAACACAAACAAGGAACGCAAAATCTGAATATTTCAAAGAGAGGTTTGCCCAAAACATGAACAACCCAAATCTGATCTGGTCTTAAACAAATCTAAAAACAAATTGACTGAACATGTAGTTGTAAACAATGAAAATATATCAGATCCAATCAAAATATCTCAAGCATTTAATGAACATTTCTCCTTCATAAACAAAATAATCCCCAACAACTCTGTGTCTGGTGATTGCCAAAATACATTCTCGTGCTGGTCCTTCTTTCTCGTTTTCTAAAATATCTCCACTTACTGTGTATACCTGTTTAAATGAATTAAAACCAAACTGCGGAGCTGGTCCAGACAATCTTGAAGTTAAGTTTCTGAAAATTGCTGCTCACGTCCTCATGTTTCCTTTATCCGACCTTTTTAATCTGTCAACAAAAACCAACAATTCCATCAATTTTTAAAACTGCCAGAGTCACTCCTGTTTTTACAGGAGGTGATCCCTCAGAGCTGAACAACTACAGGCCAATCTGTGCCACTGCAGGCCAATCTGTGCCACTGCAGGCCAATCTGTGCCACTGCAGGCCAATCTGTGCCACTACAGGCCAATCTGTGCCACTGCTGGCCAATATCCATCATCTGTGCCACTGCTGGCCAATATCCATCATCTGTGCGGCTGCTAAGCTTTTTGAAAACATAATATTTCAACAGTTAACAGACGTCACCTTCACTGACTTCAACCTCACAACAGACGTCACCTTCACTGACTTCAACCTCACTACAGACGTCACCTTCACTGACTTCAACCTCACAACAGACGTCACCTTCACTGACTTCAACCTCACAACAGACGTCACCTTCACTGACTTCAGTCTCACAACAGACGTCACCTTCACTGACTTCAACCTCACTACAGACGTCACCTTCACTGACTTCAACCTCACAACAGACGTCACCTTCACTGACTTCAACCTCACAACAGACGTCACCTTCACTGACTTCAACCTCACTACAGACGTCACCTTCACTGACTTCAACCTCACTACAGACGTCACCTTCACTGACTTCAGCCTCACAACAGACGTCACCTTCACTGACTTCAGTCTCACAACAGACGTCACCTTCACTGACTTCAGCCTCACAACAGACGTCACCTTCACTGACTTCAACCTCACTACAGACGTCACCTTCACTGACTTCAGCCTCACAACAGACGTCACCTTCACTGACTTCAACCTCACAACAGACGTCACCTTCACTGACTTCAGTCTCACAACAGACGTCACCTTCACTGACTTCAGTCTCACAACAGACGTCACCTTCACTGACTTCAGTCTCACAACAGACGTCACCTTCACTGACTTCAGCCTCACTACAGACGTCACCTTCACTGACTTCAACCTCACAACAGACGTCACCTTCACTGACTTCAACCTCACAACAGACGTCACCTTCACTGACTTCAACCTCACTACAGACGTCACCTTCACTGACTTCAACCTCACTACAGACGTCACCTTCACTGACTTCAACCTCACTACAGACGTCACCTTCACTGACTTCAGCCTCACAACAGACGTCACCTTCACTGACTTCAACCTCACAACAGACGTCACCTTCACTGACTTCAGTCTCACAACAGACGTCACCTTCACTGACTTCAGCCTCACAACAGACGTCACCTTCACTGACTTCAGCCTCACAACAGACGTCACCTTCACTGACTTCAGCCTCACAACAGACGTCACCTTCACTGACTTCAGTCTCACAACAGACGTCACCTTCACTGACTTCAGTCTCACAACAGACGTCACCTTCACTGACTTCAGTCTCACAACAGACGTCACCTTCACTGACTTCAGTCTCACAACAGACGTCACCTTCACTGACTTCAGCCTCACAACAGACGTCACCTTCACCGACTTCAGTCTCACAACAGACGTCACCTTCACCGACTTCAACCTCACAACAGACGTCACCTTCACCGACTTCAGCCTCACAACAGACGTCACCTTCACTGACTTCAGTCTCACAACAGACGTCACCTTCACTGACTTCAGTCTCACAACAGACGTCACCTTCACCGACTTCAGCCTCACAACAGACGTCACCTTCAAGGCGCTATACCCGTTTCTGCAACGTTTGAATGTTTAGCACCGCCCCCCAACTCGCTCAATGGCTTCTTATTTCCCCTACGCTCTCATAACACAGAGCCACCTAGTTTTATTTGCGATCTGATAAATATGCTAACATTAGCATTAGCGCAACTTCTTGTAAGCTGTGCAACAATCACCGATGAAATGGCACTAAAGCAACGCACTGCTAACACAATATATAAGTAAAAGAATACCGCTAGTTTTGCGTCCGAATGTATTAATTTAAAACCTTAGAATATATTCTAATATTGAATTATAATTTGTTATAGAGCTCCTCAAAGCAGCAGCAGCAATTCTTCCGATAATTTTTTCTTGATAACAGAACTCTCAAACCAATAATGACCGAAGCCCCAATGCAACCTCTGTTTGTAATTCAGGTGTGTAAAATACTGCCATTACTCCGCAAGTACAAGCTATCAGCACCTGTCACTATCACTCGTCTGTGTAGAGAAGCCAACGGAGCTAGCGGAGCTAGCCACGCTCAATAAACAACTACATATCTATCAATCAACACCATTAAACGTCAATCGGACAATACAGTACACATATACATCCTTAACACACATGCACGGATGATTTCAGAATTTGCTGTTAACGTTTTCATAACAAAAATACTGTTTCAAAGTGACAAAAAGCGATTTGCGAAAAACCCGGAAGTTACCATGAAACAACTAGCTAGCTTAGCTGTTACCTGCCTAGCACGTCCCGGTGAAACCTTTGGGAGCTAACTATTTTATTTGCAGTCATTAAATACATTTCGAATTACAAGGGTTGTCTAATATTTGTTCACATTTTTTTATTCAATTATTTTGTTCATCATTTTTTATTTTAGAATTTATATTCGAATTTTGAAGTCGAAGTCCTGGTGTTAAGCAGCGCTGTAGGGGCTAGAGGACGCAGGCTGCTCGCTGCTCGTTCTGTGAGTGGAGGAGAAAGAGCGCTCAGACTCTACTCAGCACTTTTCACTGCTTGTAATTCTTACACAGCTGAATCAATTACCTCAAGTTTTCAATTAAATGATGTATTATGATACAACTTGTATGTAGTAAAAAGCATTTTTATGAACTACTTAGAAAAAAAATCGGGTATAGCTTCTTTCACTGACTTCAGCCTCACAACAGACGTCACCTTCACCGACTTCAGCCTCACAACAGACGTCACCTTCACTGACTTCAGCCTCACAACAGACGTCACCTTCACTGACTTCAACCTCACTACAGACGTCACCTTCACTGACTTCAACCTCACTACAGACGTCACCTTCACTGACTTCAACCTCACTACAGACGTCACCTTCACTGACTTCAACCTCACTACAGACGTCACCTTCACCGACTTCAGCCTCACAACAGACGTCACCTTCACTGACTTCAACCTCACAACAGACGTCACCTTCACCGACTTCAACCTCACAACAGACGTCACCTTCACCGACTTCAACCTCACTACAGACGTCACCTTCACTGACTTCAGCCTCACAACAGACGTCACCTTCACTGACTTCAGCCTCACAACAGACGTCACCTTCACTGACTTCAGCCTCACAACAGACGTCACCTTCACCGACTTCAACCTCACTACAGACGTCACCTTCACTGACTTCAGCCTCACAACAGACGTCACCTTCACTGACTTCAGCCTCACAACAGACGTCACCTTCACTGACTTCAACCTCACAACAGACGTCACCTTCACTGACTTCAGTCTCACAACAGACGTCACCTTCACTGACTTCAACCTCACTACAGACGTCACCTTCACTGACTTCAACCTCACAACAGACGTCACCTTCACTGACTTCAACCTCACAACAGACGTCACCTTCACTGACTTCAGTCTCACAACAGACGTCACCTTCACTGACTTCAACCTCACTACAGACGTCACCTTCACTGACTTCAACCTCACAACAGACGTCACCTTCACTGACTTCAACCTCACAACAGACGTCACCTTCACCGACTTCAACCTCACTACAGACGTCACCTTCACTGACTTCAGCCTCACAACAGACGTCACCTTCACTGACTTCAGTCTCACAACAGACGTCACCTTCACTGACTTCAGCCTCACAACAGACGTCACCTTCACCGACTTCAGCCTCACAACAGACGTCACCTTCACCGACTTCAGCCTCACAACAGACGTCACCTTCACCGACTTCAACCTCACTACAGACGTCACCTTCACTGACTTCAGCCTCACAACAGACGTCACCTTCACTGACTTCAGTCTCACAACAGACGTCACCTTCACTGACTTCAGCCTCACAACAGACGTCACCTTCACCGACTTCAGCCTCACAACAGACGTCACCTTCACCGACTTCAACCTCACAACAGACGTCACCTTCACCGACTTCAGTCTCACAACAGACGTCACCTTCACTGACTTCAGCCTCACAACAGACGTCACCTTCACCGACTTCAGCCTCACAACAGACGTCACCTTCACCGACTTCAACCTCACAACAGACGTCACCTTCACCGACTTCAGTCTCACAACAGACGTCACCTTCACCGACTTCAACCTCACAACAGACGTCACCTTCACTGACTTCAGCCTCACAACAGACGTCACCTTCACCGACTTCAGTCTCACAACAGACGTCACCTTCACCGACTTCAACCTCACAACAGACGTCACCTTCACCGACTTCAGCCTCACAACAGACGTCACCTTCACTGACTTCAGTCTCACAACAGACGTCACCTTCACCGACTTCAGCCTCACAACAGACGTCACCTTCAAGGCGCTATACCCGTTTCTGCAACGTTTGAATGTTTAGCACCGCCCCCCAACTCGCTCAATGGCTTCTTATTTCCCCTACGCTCTCATAACACAGAGCCACCTAGTTTTATTTGCGATCTGATAAATATGCTAACATTAGCATTAGCGCAACTTCTTGTAAGCTGTGCAACAATCACCGATGAAATGGCACTAAAGCAACGCACTGCTAACACAATATATAAGTAAAAGAATACCGCTAGTTTTGCGTCCGAATGTATTAATTTAAAACCTTAGAATATATTCTAATATTGAATTATAATTTGTTATAGAGCTCCTCAAAGCAGCAGCAGCAATTCTTCCGATAATTTTTTCTTGATAACAGAACTCTCAAACCAATAATGACCGAAGCCCCAATGCAACCTCTGTTTGTAATTCAGGTGTGTAAAATACTGCCATTACTCCGCAAGTACAAGCTATCAGCACCTGTCACTATCACTCGTCTGTGTAGAGAAGCCAACGGAGCTAGCGGAGCTAGCCACGCTCAATAAACAACTACATATCTATCAATCAACACCATTAAACGTCAATCGGACAATACAGTACACATATACATCCTTAACACACATGCACGGATGATTTCAGAATTTGCTGTTAACGTTTTCATAACAAAAATACTGTTTCAAAGTGACAAAAAGCGATTGCGAAAAACCCGGAAGTTACCATGAAACAACTAGCTAGCTTAGCTGTTACCTGCCTAGCACGTCCCGGTGAAACCTTTGGGAGCTAACTATTTTATTTGCAGTCATTAAATACATTTCGAATTACAAGGGTTGTCTAATATTTGTTCACATTTTTTTATTCAATTATTTTGTTCATCATTTTTTATTTTAGAATTTATATTCGAATTTTGAAGTCGAAGTCCTGGTGTTAAGCAGCGCTGTAGGGGCTAGAGGACGCAGGCTGCTCGCTGCTCGTTCTGTGAGTGGAGGAGAAAGAGCGCTCAGACTCTACTCGGCACTTTTCACTGCTTGTAATTCTTACACAGCTGAATCAATTACCTCAAGTTTTCAATTAAATGATGTATTATGATACAACTTGTATGTAGTAAAAAGCATTTTTATGAACTACTTAGAAAAAAAATCGGGTATAGCTTCTTTCACTGACTTCAGCCTCACAACAGACGTCACCTTCACCGACTTCAGCCTCACAACAGACGTCACCTTCACTGACTTCAGCCTCACAACAGACGTCACCTTCACTGACTTCAGCCTCACAACAGACGTCACCTTCACTGACTTCAGCCTCACAACAGACGTCACCTTCACCGACTTCAGCCTCACAACAGACGTCACCTTCACCGACTTCAGCCTCACAACAGACGTCACCTTCACTGACTTCAACCTCACTACAGACGTCACCTTCACTGACTTCAACCTCACTACAGACGTCACCTTCACTGACTTCAACCTCACTACAGACGTCACCTTCACTGACTTCAACCTCACTACAGACGTCACCTTCACCGACTTCAGCCTCACAACAGACGTCACCTTCACTGACTTCAACCTCACTACAGACGTCACCTTCACTGACTTCAACCTCACAACAGACGTCACCTTCACTGACTTCAGCCTCACAACAGACGTCACCTTCACCGACTTCAACCTCACTACAGACGTCACCTTCACTGACTTCAGCCTCACAACAGACGTCACCTTCACTGACTTCAGCCTCACAACAGACGTCACCTTCACTGACTTCAACCTCACAACAGACGTCACCTTCACCGACTTCAACCTCACAACAGACGTCACCTTCACCGACTTCAACCTCACTACAGACGTCACCTTCACTGACTTCAGCCTCACAACAGACGTCACCTTCACTGACTTCAGCCTCACAACAGACGTCACCTTCACTGACTTCAGCCTCACAACAGACGTCACCTTCACCGACTTCAACCTCACTACAGACGTCACCTTCACCGACTTCAGCCTCACAACAGACGTCACCTTCACTGACTTCAGCCTCACAACAGACGTCACCTTCACTGACTTCAACCTCACAACAGACGTCACCTTCACTGACTTCAGTCTCACAACAGACGTCACCTTCACTGACTTCAACCTCACTACAGACGTCACCTTCACTGACTTCAACCTCACAACAGACGTCACCTTCACTGACTTCAACCTCACAACAGACGTCACCTTCACTGACTTCAACCTCACAACAGACGTCACCTTCACCGACTTCAACCTCACTACAGACGTCACCTTCACTGACTTCAGTCTCACAACAGACGTCACCTTCACTGACTTCAGCCTCACAACAGACGTCACCTTCACCGACTTCAGCCTCACAACAGACGTCACCTTCACCGACTTCAGCCTCACAACAGACGTCACCTTCACTGACTTCAGCCTCACAACAGACGTCACCTTCACTGACTTCAACCTCACAACAGACGTCACCTTCACCGACTTCAGCCTCACAACAGACGTCACCTTCACCGACTTCAGTCTCACAACAGACGTCACCTTCACTGACTTCAACCTCACAACAGACGTCACCTTCACTGACTTCAACCTCACAACAGACGTCACCTTCACTGGATGCACTTATTATTTAAATTTATTCATTTTAGTTGTCCTCAATATTTAAAACAGTTTTTTGTCCCCGTCTCTACACCTTCTTCACTCCGAAGCTCAGATTGTCTCACCTTTTCTGTTCCAAGAGTTTGTAAAGAAGTTGGTCGTAGATCATTTCAGTACAAGGCTCCCTCAGACTGGAATAAACTCCCCACATCCACTGAAGGACCACCTCAAAAATGAGATTATTCATCTTAAGGGGTTTCCCTTAATAAACTTAAACTTAAACAGTGCAGGTTTCTGACCAATGGAATAATCTGGTCCTTGCTGCACTGCTAGAATAATATACACATTGAAATTGGAACCGCAAACCCCCATGTACTTGGCCTTTCTGCGTTTCATTTTAGCTTAGCTTTAGCGAAGATCAGCTTTGGGGAATCGCCAAAAAATAGAAGCCACCTACGCGGAGCTAGCTAATGATAAGCTAAGGTAAAAACATGTTCAGAAAGTACATACAGTAGTGGTTTGTGTGTTACATACAAACTAACGATGAGAAAACGCACTTACTGGTTTGCTGTGGACGCCATGTTCAGAGGAACAAGACAAAGTCATGTTCTGGCCCCGGCTACATCCATGGAGGATTGGCTGATCGATTGCTTCTGTCTTGATTTACCCAGAAACCAAGCATGACATTTAAAGCAGCGAAAAAAAATGCAACAAATTTTTGGACACTGAATTTTTTTCAACATTGAATTTTTGGACACTGAATTTTAAAACATTGAATTTATTTAAACTGAATACTTTTTTGTTGCAGTCTATAGAATTCAAAAGCAAAAAAAAGTGTTGATAATAAAAACACAAAATAACCTTCATAAGAGAACATCACAGAACATGTGGGACTCACCAAAGTAAAAGTCTTCAACAAGAAACCAGGAGACAAGCGAAGAAAGAACTAGGACTAGACTGATACCAAGATCTATGGGTTTTAAACCAGGTCTAAACCAAGTCCCCGCCCACTGGGTCTGAACCAGGTCTGAAACAGGGAAACAGAAGATCACAGGCCTCAAGTGTTACACGTGTTCCTCGACTGGAAACAGCTGTTATAAATAAGAGCAGGTCTCAATTTGGTCTGGACCAGGTCTGGACCACGCTGGGCCATGGAGGTGTTATATTCCTTTAAAGGAGAGAAGATGCTTCATTATCAGGTGTGAGCAGATAGAAGGAAGGACACAGGAGATAGGAATGTCCTCTGGTCTCCTGTGTGTCTCTGTGTGTGCCCCTCACACACTCAGGGCCTGACGGCCGCAGAAGATCCTTCTGAAAACACAATAAAAATTGGCCACTCTGCAGCGCCCCCCGTGGTCAAAATATATGTAGAAGCTGACGGACAGACATTTTGGCTCAGATGAACCGTTGTCCCATTGTTGTAATATGACTGTAAAGTTATATATATGTAATTTTACTTACCTCCCTGATCCAGTGACTGTTTTAATGTAATTTGATTTTCTAATCTGCTGTTTCAAGTTAGGGTCTGGGTCCTGGTCTTGCTGTAGTTTGCTCGAGGCTGTAGACCCAGGACTGAGGCTGTAGATCCAGGACCTGGATTCAAACATTGTCTCACAGGCCTGTCTCACATCTTCAGGAAGATTGTTCCAGATTTTAGCAGCATGAATCCGAAATGCAGCCTCCCCCATGTTTAGTTCTGACTCTGGGCACTAACAGGAGTCCAGTCCCTGTGCTCCTCAGAGTCCGGGCTGGTTCATATGGGACTAACATGTCACTAATATATTTTGGTGCGAGGCCATGGAGAGACTTGTAACAAGCAGAGCCGTTTTAAAGTCTATTCTCTGAGCCACAGGAAGCCAGTGCAGAGACCTGAGGACTGAACTAATGTGGTCGAACTTCCTGGTTCTAGTCAGGACTCGAGCTGCTGCATTTTGAATGTACTGCAGCTGTTTTACAGCCATGTTCTCCTGCAGTCAGTGAGACATTGATTTGAGTGTCGCCTGCGTGGTTGTGATAGAACACATTGTGTATTAACTGACCTAACGGCAGCAGAATCGACCCCTGTGGTACTCCACAGGTCAGGGCCATATGATCTCAGACACAGTTTCCAATCTCCACAAAGTACTTCCTGTCTACAAGGTGGGACTTAAACCAACTTAGGGCGGTGCCAGCGACGCCAACCCTTTCCTCTAGTCTCTGTAAGAGGATCTCATGGTCGACGGTGTCAAAAGCTGCACTCAGATCTTATAAGATAGATTGAGACTTTGCCTGCGTCAGTGTTCAGCCGGGTATCATCTGTAACCTTAATGAGAGCAGTCTCTGCTGTGGTGGGGTCTAAAGCCGGACTGAAACATATCAAATGAGTTGTTGATTATAAGAAATCTTGTAAGATGTTGGTAGACAACTTTTTGAAGGATTTTCCCCATAAATGGCAGATTTGAGATTAAGAGACATTCTTTATTCATCCCACAGTGGGGACATTTTTGTGAACGATAGCTAGACTAATTAAAATAAAACAAAATCTCTAACTCTAGCATCAAAGAACAAGTATAAAATCACAATCTTGAACTTAATAATAAAGAAGTATAAAAACTTTACATTTGGCAAAATAAGAGGCAAGTACAGTACATCAGCAGCATGAGGCCCTGGGACACAGTAAAGTGACAGTGACATGTGGTTATTGCACATTCTGATATAAGTTAACAGGATATTGCAACGACGCATGACAGGGAATTTACACAGTAGGCGTAAACAGCGCGTACGCGTTTACTGCGCGCTCTCTGCGCGTAACATTTTTTTGGAGTATCTACACAGGCCGTGTGCGCAGGTCCGCGTCTTCTGATGCTCTCCCTGTGTAGTCTATGGAGCAGTGTAGAGGACAGTACAGAGGACTGATGTAGAGCAACACAAATCACATGCATGTGTTTGTCTTCATGGTCTCTGTTGCTGGTTTGGCCAGACATGAGACTTTATGAAAGAAAAAAAACGATGTCCAGAATCACTGTAAAACCTGCTGCTCCTCCTGCTGATGTTTAGACACAAGTGCTGTGTGTGTGTAGATGCAATCTAGAGCCAAGGACCGCTAGAAAAATCATGTTTTACATGAGATTTCAATGAGAGACGCGTTGGTGCGCGCACAAAATTAGAAATCCATCCTAAATTAGAGCGCATCTTCGCGTCATACGTCCGTCATACGCGCGTATAACGCTAGAAGTGTAAATATCATCATAGGTTAACATGGAAAAAAGTTACGCGCGTCTGCTGCGCGTATAACGCGTACGTGCTGTAACGCGCGATGCGTAAATTAGAAGTGACACGTGGGATCAAGTTGGCAGTGTTCATTAGTCTTCATTGCTTGTTGTACAGTCTGACACCAGCAGGAAGGAAAGACCTGCAGAACTTCTTCTTCACACACTGAAGCTGCTCTCCAGAGAGTGTCCTGCATGTTAAAGTGTGGGTTTGTAACAATAAAACATGTCCAGCTTCTTTGCTCTGGCCCAACTGGGTCGCCATTTATTGAAGTACTGCATTCAAGTGTACAGTCATTGTAGTACAAACTCCGGTTAAAACCTTGTGTGACTGTTAGTTTGTCCAGGACCCTCCTGTCCCCACCTGCTGCACTGTACCCAGGGAACAGCCCAGGACAGAGCTGGACTTCTTGATGACCTTGTCCAGCTTCAGTACAAGATGGCGGATACCACCACAGAGTTATACATAGTTTTCCATCACGGGCTTATTACCCATGATGCTTTGCGCGAACGACATGTCGGGAGTCAAGCTTATATTGCACGTATCATTTGTCAATGATACTTTGTCACGGATCATCTGTACCCATGTCATCTAAAGCCTCGAATTCGGCCAACACTGACCGCGTTAAGTATATTGATACACTGGAGTAATCTGTGAGGCAAGATCCTTTGAGAATCGGGAGATTTGGATCCATGTGAAACGCAGCGAGACCAGCGGACTTCCCAGAAATGGCTTACTTTCACTTAATAGTTTTACAATTAAAAAAACGCCATGATGTATATGATGCAATATTTCTTTCCATTATCCCATGATGCATTGCGCCAAATACGCGTGTGTGGCTCTCATGCACGTGCACAGAAGGGCTAGGCCGCGCTTTGACGTCAGTGCTGATCGGAGCTAGAGCGGGAGTTAGTGAGAGCCCAACAGCAGAGTTTGTGGCAGTAAAGTGTGGATTTAAAGAAAACCAAGGGATTTAAGAAGAAAAAAAGTTCAGGATGAGAAGGGACACAAAGATCTCCACAAAATCCGACCTTTCTGAAAGCTGTAGGTTCTCTGTCAGGCTCAGCTGAGGTCGAGCTGTTTTAGTTTACATTGAGTTCTATGGGGGACATTTCTGGGTAGCCCGCGTGAATTTACTCTGGTTTAGTCTGCAGTACCAGGAGAATCCCCCAAGCACATGAGTTCTTCAGCACCAAGCTAGTAATACCCTATCCAGTTATTATAATAGATCCATGGTCATAGGCTGTATCCGAATGTCCACAGTATCCACGCAGTAGTCACTATATAGTCCCGCATTATAAAGTGACTGAGTGGATAGGGTATAGATCTACTATTTTGTTCTACAGAATGATCTATTATTTTGTTTCTCCACTTCCGCCTCCAGTTGCCCCTGCAGAGCCTCTGGGTAGACCCCGTCTCCGCTCGTGACGTCACTGTAGGCCATTTTGAGCGGCCTCGGAGCAGCAGCCTCGGCCTCCGCCACATTCTTCCACATTTTTAACGCGGATTTTATACTTTTTATTTACTTTCTGCGGCTCCAGCGCGACACACCGGGACCTCACACCCTCCCGCGGTAAGTGCGCTTTGCGGGACACCAGCTGATTCTCTCCGAGGAGCTGTGTGGACCGAAGTCCTGGTGCTTTGTACCGGCTTTTGCAGAGCCCGAGCCTCGGGGCAATTTACTCCGGGTACGCGGTCAGATTTCACCCTGTTTGCTCTGGGTCCGCAGTCAGAGCTCACCTGGTTTACCCAGAGCTCCGCTGGTTTAACACGGTGTTTGTGGCGTTAATGTGTAAGTCCATGTGTGGAGCGGGGAGGCCTGTGCAGCGGTGAGGCGTGGTGCTTTAAACACTTACGTGCATGTAAAGTGAGTTACTACAGAGCCTCTGCGTGCATCAGCTCTCACCGGTGAATGGTTGAAACTAGTGACTGCATCTCTACAGAGATCCTGCACTGACCACTGCCACGTGTGTTTCTGTGTTCAGTCCTTCCTTTGGCTCTGAGTGATGGCGCCAAACCACTTGTTTTTATTTACTCGCAGTAAAGGTTTCCTGAATGAATGAACAGAAGGACTGTTCATAGATCTCTGTGAACTGTGTAAACTGTGTTTTTGTTTTTCAAATCTGACTTGTATGTGTGTTTTAATGTGTGAAGCGCTTTGTGATCCTGGTCTGTGAAATGCGCTATACAAATAAACTTTACTTACTTAAGGATCAGAGGATGTCCCAGATGTGTGAGGGAATTAGAAATCCTCCAGACCGGGTTATACAGTGTTACACCCTATTTATACAGGTTATACTTCACAATAGTTCAAGTCTAATGGGATCTCTCAAGGTCAATGCAAACTTTGAGATCCCTGTCTTTGAAGCTGGGGTACGTGACTTTAAAGCTGGTGTCTGTAACTCAAAGACTAATAGGAGTCTGTTATGTCTCTTGTTCTGGCTCTAAAACTGATGCTTCTGTCATTAGATTCACACCATGTATTATTGTATTTGTGATGTCACATCTGCAGATCAAAGAGGACCACCCTCACTCAGCCAATCAGTTCTCAGCCCAAAGAGGCACATAGTGACTCACAGGGCTTTTACAAGTATGCCAAAGAGTTAAGTTATACTTCGTTGAAATGTGTCCTCTGCGTTGGACTTGCCTCCAGGGCATCGATGCAGTGGTCTCTATAGTAACAGGGACCATCTCTAGATGTTGTTCCTCCTTGTCTCACTCTTCTTCTTCCTCAGACATGGACACTGATCATGTGAACGGTAACGGCACAGAGGAGCCCATGGACACGGCGGCGTGTGAGCGGTCTGAGAGTTTTCCCGCTTTGCTGGAGGCCGGACTTCCTCAGTCTGTGGCCGAGAAACTGGACGAGCTCTATGTGGCAGGTATTGTACATGTGATGCTACTAGGGATGTCCAATATATGGTTATATATGAAACTAAAGCGCGCTTTCTCTGGATGGTCTTGAGAGCAGAGAGTGGAGCCCCAATGATGCGCTGGGCTGTTTTTACCACCCGCTATAGTGATTCCCACTGCGCCACAGTACAGTACCAGGTCATAATGCATTAGTTAAAATGCAATATTACGGACGGGGACATGTGATTCTTCTTGAAAGTCCTCAAAAAGAAAAGGCGCTGGTGGGTCTTCTTGATGAGGCTGGAGGTGGTGATGGTCCAGGACAAGTCCACAGATATATATGGGTTCCCAGGAACTTGAAACTGAACCCTCTCCACCGCTGTCCCATTTATGTAGATGGGGTTGTATTCTCCTTCTCTACTCCTCCTGAAGTCCACTATAAGTGCTTTGGTTTTGCTGGTGTTGAGGTGCAGGTTGTTATCAGCACAGCAGGTGGACAGATGTTGGATCTCCTCTGTAGGCCGTTTCGTTGTGTACGAGGCCTATCTGTGTGGTATGGTCTGCAAACTTGATGGAGTTGGTGAGAGACACTGGTCTGCAGTCATGAGTGGAGAGGGAGTAGAGAAAGGGGAGCAAAAGTGAGATTGACGCGCACATCCAATTCTGAGCCGCGTGCTAGAGTTGAAAGTCGATGGATGAAAGAAATGGAGATGACTCTGCACAGCTTTAGCTCCCAAGTGATTTTGATTATCACCACAAACTGTTGACGTTTCGGGTCACTACCCTTCATCAAACAGAGAAAGGGGCTTAAAACCTGTTGGTAATTTTTTTGGGAATGCCCAAAATAAAACAATTCTGGGTGGAACTTAACACCACAATAAATATTCTGAAAATACTAGTGCAGTTTACCACCCTCTTCCTGAACTCTCTGGACAACCAGAATAGATGTAAAAACAAATATCTATTTTCTATTGTGATCTCTGCTGCTGAAAAGGCCATTACAAGGCGATGGCTGTTCCCCGAGCCTCCCACTGTGGCAGCGTGGAGGAGAATTGTGGGTGAGTTTTATCAAATGGAAGCTATTACTCTTTCTATTCGTCTAAGTAAACAAACCTTTTTTTGATTATGTTCTGAATGGGTCAGATACATAAAGCCATTACAACCAGATTTTGCGGAGGTTAAAAATAATTGATATATGTCCCTTTTACTCTGTGATGTGGAATATGCTTTGAATTGTATTTTAGTTTACGATACCTACCAAATGTGTTGTGATTTATTCTGATTTTATTTTATCTCTCCCTTCCTGTAAATAGTTACACCTTTTTAATTGAGATGTGAAAAAGAAAAAATATTGTGGATTACAATGTAAGTCTGAAGAATTTCAAAACTGTCATGTTTTAACTGTAAGTCACTCTGAAAATGAAGAATAATATTTTTTTTTAAAACACAGCCCTGTGGGACTCCGGTGTTGATTTGGACCATGGTGGAACTGCGGTTGTCCAATCGAACGTGCTGTGGTCTGTTAGTGAGGAAGTCCATGATCCAGTTACACCGAGCTGGATTGATGCAGAAGTCATGGAGTTTGTTGATCAGCCTAGAGGGAATGACGGTGGTAAATCCAGAGCTAAAATCAACACACTGCATCCTGGGATATGTGTTTATTATCCAGATGTGTCAGAGCGTTGTGAAGGGCCAGGGAGATGGCGTCCTCTGTGCTCCTGTTGTTGCAGTAGGCAAACTGGTGAGGGTCCAGGCGTGATGGAATAGAGGCCTTCAATATATGTTGATGTTCATCATTTTTTCAACTATCCGCATTGGACCGATTAGAAAAATTTGGTCAATAACCACAACCGATGTGTATTGCTGGTTGCAGCTGACGTCACGCAGCGGTGCGAGGGACAGGAAGTAAATCTCATTGACAACAACGTAGATAACTCTTTGTCGTCGTGTACAGTTGTGGCAGCTGCTCGTATCAAGTGGAGAACTTATGGAGTCTATTTTGCTATTTTGGGGGGGGGGGGGGCGAAAGCTCTGAGTGCGGGGGGGCGAGCAGAGAGAGCGAGCTCATCGCTCACATTCGAACATTTCTCAAAGTCAGTTAGTGCAGCTTAAAGCTCTGACAGTCATTATACCACATTTTGGGCTAAGAATGGATTTGATGTTTTTTTTTTGCTCTGCTAAAAAAAGCGGTAAAATGGTTCTAAACAGGCAACTGCACTTTTTAACTCTCCATTGTTATTTTCAATGCACTTTACTTTTCGTAGGTTTGTAAATAAAAGTTTGCAACATCTTTGATTAATTTAGTCTAAAGTTTGTAAGTCACACTTTCCAGTCAGATAACTTGACTTGTGATTGTATTAATTTTGAGTTCACTTATAATTTAATACTTACATATTTTCCTGAAAGATGAACTGATTTAATATCAAATAGTATCCTATTGTTGGATTATCATGATATATAGATTGTATTGTGAGCTGAATATTGTGTATCGCTACAGCCATCGTACTATACACGTTAGCATGTGATGCTGCTGTACACGTTAGCATGTGATGCTGCTGTACACGTTAGCATGTGATGCTGCTGTACACGTTAGCATGTGATGCTGCTGTACACGTTAGCATGTGATGCTGCTGTACACGTTAGCATGTGATGCTGCTGTACACGTTAGCATGTGATGCTGCTGTACACGTTAGCATGTGATGCTGCTGTACACGTTAGCATGTGATGCTGCTGTACACGTTGGCATGTGATGCTGCTGTACACGTTGGCATGTGATGCTGCTGTACACGTTAGCATGTGATGCTGCTGTACACGTTAGCATGTGATGCTGCTGTACACGTTAGCATGTGATGCTGCTGTACATGTAAGATTAACATGTCTCTGGTCTGTAGGTCTGGTGGATCACAGTGAGCTGGATGAACGAGCCATCGAAGCTCTGAAGGAGTTCAACGAAGAAGGTGCTCTGCAAGTTCTGCTGCAGTTTAAGGAGAGCGACCTTTCCCACGTCCAGGTGTGTGACCGCAGCCACAACTGCAGACACATTAGAATCTGTGAATCAGAAAATGACAAATGTAAATTTTGAAGTTTTTTCTGGAGGGGTCAATATCAGTATTTATCGCTGTAAGTGGTCGTCCCTCTGGTCTCGGCGGTCGTCCCTCTGGTCTCGGAGGTCGTCCCTCTGGTCTCGGAGGTCGTCCCTCTGGTCTCGGAGGTCGTCCCTCTGGTCTCGGAGGTCGTCCCTCTGGTCTCGGAGGTCGTCCCTCTGGTCTCGGAGGTCGTCCCTCTGGTCTCGGAGGTCGTCCCTCTGGTCTCGGAGGTCGTCCCTCTGGTCTCGGAGGTCGTCCCTCTGTGGAGGCTGCGCTTGTATCAATAACAATTCAACAGTTGATTGCTGTGTTCTGTTGTTGTTGACGACAGAACAAGAGTGCGTTCCTGTGTGGTGTGATGAAGACATTCCGACACAGAGAGAAGAGTGGGACAAAAGTCTCGGACACAAACAAAGGTCCAGACGAAGCAAAGGTCAAAGAGCTACTGCAGCGAACAGGCTACAGTCTGGACGTCACCACAGGACAGAGGAAGTACGGGGGTCCCCCACCCGAGGGGGTCTACGCCTGCGCCCAGCCGCCTGCAGGGACTGAGGTCTGTCCCTCTGGTCTTCAGCTTTAGCCCTCTGTCCCTCTGGTCTTGACCTTTACCCCTCTGTCCCTCTGGTCTTGACCTTTACCCCTCTGTCCCTCTAGTCTTCAGCTTTAGCCCTCTGTCCCTCTGGTCTTGACCTTTACCCCTCTGTCCCTCTGGTCTTGACCTTTACCCCTCTGTCCCTCTAGTCTTCAGCTTTAGCCCTCTGTCCCTCTAGTCTTCAGCTTTAGCCCTCTGTCCCTCTAGTCTTCAGCTTTAGCCCTCTGTCCCTCTGGTCTTGACCTTTACCCTCTCTCCTGCAGATCTTCGTAGGAAAGATTCCTCGGGACCTGTTCGAAGACGAGCTGGTGCCTCTGTTTGAGAAGGCAGGTCTGATCTGGGACATGAGGCTCATGATGATGCCTCTCAGCGGCATCAACCGCGGATACGCCTTTGTCACATTCTGCACCAAAGAGGGCGCTATGGAGGCAGTGCGGCTGGTGAGTGGAAGACCTGAGGGGGGGGAAAAGAGGACCTGAGGGGGGAGAGAGGACCTGGGGGGGAGAAACTAAAGTCTATGAACCAAATGCCTTTGTCTCCTTCAGTACAATAACTTCGAGATCCGGCCGGGGAAACACATCGGCGTCTGCATCTCTGTGGCCAACAACCGTCTGTTTGTGGGTTCAATTCCCAAGAGCAAAACCAAAGAGCAGATCCAGGAGGAGTTCGTGAAGGTCACAGGTGCGTCTGGTCAGCAACCACACGGCCCCCATGACGACGCACACGGCCCCCATGACGACACGCACACGGCCCCCATGACGACATTGGCACAATGCCTTTGCATTACATGGCCACATTCATTCTCTCCTTTAGCAGTCCCTCCAGGATGTTGCGATCGCAACTATTAACGCAAACTCTGCAAAATTAGCTATTAAAATTGACACCTTGCAACAAAAAAGTAGTGTGTGGCCGAGTGATTGCTCTCTCCCTGTCACTGAGCGCTCCTGTGACTCTACAGCACCATGTAAAGCAAGACAGATGAGAGTCCAGCACTTTTATTTTTTAATATTGTTTTAAACTGTGGATGAAGCGGACTCCTGATGGTGCGGTTTAACACTTGGTAGTCACGGGTCTCGTTCTCACCGCCACGTATCACCTCGGCCTGTCCCCAATCCTCCAAACTCTTCTCTTTCCGTGTACGCGGTTCCAGGTGACCAGCCAAACATCTTGTTGACAAAATGTTATCTTGCTTTATGTCAACAAAGAATGTCCTTTTTTGTAAATGATCTTGTTGATCCACCCCCATGCTTCACAGTAGGTAGGGTGTTCTTTGCATCCAAATAACGAGTTGAGTTTTTACCAAAAAGTTCTATTTCATCTGACCATATGACATTCCCCCAATCCTCTTCTGGATCATCCAAATGCTCTCTAGCAAACTTCTTGCTTGTTATTAGGTGGCCAAATACTTATTTTTCTCCATAATTAGCCAATAAATTCTATAAAGTTCTCATTCTGTCTGATTGTTGAGGTTTACCTATGATGAAATTTACAGGCCTGCCTCATCTTTTTAAGCGGGAGAACTTGCACATTTGGTGGCTGACTAAATATTTTTTTCACCCCTCTGTAATATAAGATGTTAGGGCCACAGTGCTCTAACTGCAGTGTGTCCTGTGTTCACCAGAGGGCCTCACAGACGTCATCCTCTACCACCAGCCGGACGATAAGAAGAAAAACCGTGGCTTCTGCTTCCTGGAGTTTGAGGACCACAAGTCTGCAGCTCAGGCTCGACGACGCCTGTTGAGCGGGAAGCTGAAGGTGTGGAACAACGTGACGGTGACGGTGGAGTGGGCCGACCCCATCGAGAACCCAGACCCTGAGGTCATGTCCAAGGTAAGATAGACACCACGGGTACGAGCCATGGTGCTGTGTTTGGGTGAGTGAGGCTGACATCAGAGTTTGGCCTGTTGCATGTTCTGCTCTTTCCTTCAGAAAGTTTTTCAAAAATATGTTGGAAAGTTTCAATGAGGTTTCTCTCACGTCCCTCTGGTCTCTCTCTCTCTCACACGTCCCTCTGGTCTCTCTCTCTCACGTCCCTCTGGTCTCTCTCTCTCTCTCACACGTCCCTCTGGTCTCTCTCTCTCTCTCACGTCCCTCTGGTCTCTCTCTTACGTCCCTCTGGTCTCTCTCTCTCATGTCTCTCTCTAATGTCCCTGTGCTCTCGCTCTCTCAGGTGAAGGTTCTCTTTGTGAGGAACTTGGCGAATGGTGTGACAGAGGAGGCCCTGGAGTCTGCGTTCGGAGAGTTCGGGAAACTGGAGCGAGTCAAGAAACTCAAAGACTACGCCTTCATCCACTTTGAGGAGCGGGATGGGGCTGTCAAGGTCAGGACCAGAGGGACAAACCCGTCTGTCCCTTTGATAACCCCTCTGACTGTCCCTGTGTGCAGACCTCCTGACTGTCCCTGTGCTAACCCACCTGTCCCTGTGTGCAGGCCCTGGAGGAGATGAATGGCAAAGAGCTGGAGGGAGAACAGATAGAGATAGTTTTTGCTAAACCTCCAGATCAGAAGAGGAAGGAGCGTAAAGCTCAGAGACAAGCAGCAAAGACACAGATGTGAGTCCAGCACTTTTATTTTAATATGGTTTTAAACTATAAATGACGGCTGACTCCTGATTGGCCCTTGTCTCTCATTCTATCCTCTCTCTCTCTCCTCTGATTGGCCCTCGTCTCTTTCAGGTATGATGACTTCTACTACTACCCACCTCCTCACCACATGGCCCCTTCCTCCAGGGGACGTGGCCGCGGTGGTTCTCGCGGTGGCTATGGTTACCCTCAGGACTTCTACGGTTACGACGACTACGATTATTATTACGACTACAACAGCGGTTACCGCGGTTACGACGACTACTCCTACGGCTACGACGATTTCCAGTCTCCGCCCAGAGGCCGTGGGCTGCGCTCTAGGGGCGGAGCTTCACCTGCCAGAGGGAGGGGCATGTCAGCAGGACCGCCCAGAGCCAGGGCGGGCTTCCAGCAGAGAGGGGCAGGGCCTCGCGGGCGTGGAGCTCCTAGGGGAGTGCCCCCCAGAGGCCGAGGCGCGGTACGTGGTGTGCGCGGCGTTCGCGGTGCGAATGTCAGCGGCAAACGTAAAGCCGATGGCTACAACCAGCCAGATTCAAAACGAAGGCAGACCCAGAACTGGGGCTCTACGCCCATCGCACAGCAGCCGCTGCACGAGCACTACCAGGGCTACAAGTCCGAGCAGCAGGAGTTCTATCAGGACTCGTTTGGGCAGCAGTGGAAGTGACACATTTTACTCTTTTTAAATTCTCCATTCTCCAATTTTTAGAGGTTCTGTGGCGTAGTGTTTTATGGTTCTGTTTGCTGTATTTAATGATGTTACAGGGACCAGTGTCTCTCATTGGCTTGTATTCTTGTCTGTTGCTGAAATAAACTACACACACACGTGTACAAAACTCAAATTGTGTTAAATTTATGTTTGGCCTCTTCAAATTCTTTCAAATTGTCCAGAATCCGAATGTGCATGTGTCCACTGCAGCACGCGTCCAGACGTTTCAGACCAAAAACAAACTTCTGTCGCTCTGAGCGTGTGTCAAAGTTACTCTGCAGCTTCTGCAGCTGTCCTCAGAGCCTCCAGACCCTAGACTCCTCAATGCTGGTTGGTTGTGAGGAACCAATGACTGTGAGGGCAGCTGCAGGTGCTTGTAGCTGGTAGCACCCTGTCGCTGTGAGGGCAAGTGCTTATAGACCTCTGGCATAAACTCCATCTGATCTAAAACAGGTAACTTCAAACATTCAGAATTATACTTGAAACATGGTCAAAACTTATTACCATCTTAAATGTGTGAGAAATGTACTAGGTATGTGTGGTACCTGGTGTGGTCTGGTGATGCTATAGCACATATGAAACCATAAAAGTATTTGGTTCTTCAGTACCAGACGATCGTAGGTTAGCGATGTTTTTACCTTTACGACGGATACTTTGTCTTTCTCAGAAAGGTCTCGTGACATCACAACTGCCTTATCAGCAGCTGCTCCCAGTCAGCCCAGTGACCCACATGGTTCACTGACTGCACCCGCTGCTGGTGTGTGGGGTACAGACTGTGCGCCCTTCAGGCTTGTGAGTTACAGATTGTGCCCACTGCTGGCCATTGGTCGCTGAAGAAGTGGATCCCATGTTTGGGAGAGTTGGTATGCTCCCTTGTCCCGGTTCATAGTGTCTGGGCTTCGTTTCCTGGTTTCTATCTTTGAACCAGCGTTTGTATCTGTGTGTTTCCTGATGGTCCCAGCCCCTGAGGCGGTTCTTGGTCTGATATTGCCAATTGTAGATTGTCCTCTTGTCGCTGTCTTCCTGTCCTGGTGTTATTCCTGTCTCTTTCTCACATTCTCTGTTCCTGGTGCTTCTTGATTCCAAAGTGTCATTGATGTTGTCAGTCTTAGTGCGCTGGTTTTATGGCTGTATTAATATTGTGTTTTTCTTGGCTCGTTTAATGCATACCGGATTTATGGTACTGTTGGGTTCCTAGTCTGTCTTTTTTTGGGTTCCTTGGTTTTGTTTTTGACTTGCTGTTTACAGACATGTCAATATCCCAGATGGGCTGTAGAAAAAGGGTAGTGCATGTTGTACATGAGTCTCTACGTCCAATCGAGACGGTCTGTGATCATGTCCAACGTCACAGATGTCGAGGTATGACATCACCTACTCCTGTCTGGTGGAGAAGAAACCAATATTTTTACTTTACTTTAAGATGAGAATCTTCCAAAACACATTTGTCTATGGGTTGTGGCGTAAGGGGGAGAGGCCAGAGGGGGGAGAGGCCAGAGGGGGGTGGGGTGGCCTTTATTAACCTCCAGGCCGGAGAGAGGTCATTTTGACCTGAGTGTAGCACAAGCAAATTTGTTGTCCTCAGAACATAACGTCTAGTCCAAACATTCAAAAGCCTCAGGTCTGGAGTCACACATCCCTAGTATTGAACCTAAGCCGTACCTCTGGTGTCTCTCGCCTCTGGTCTTTCACCTCTGGTCTAGCACTTCTGGTTGTGGTCTTCTGGTTCTAACTCTTGTATTTTGTCGCTGGCCTTAGCAGGACCCTGAAGCCACAGCGCCACCAAGTCTCCCACCGCCACAGGACCAGCGGTGAGACCGGCGGACGTGACCAGCGGACGTGACCGGCGGACGTCACGAGAGGGTGCCTTTCTACCTCAGTGAAGGATGTTGTAACAGCAGGTGGCAGAGTGGTTATCCCCTTCCACATGTCGACGTGTTCAAATGCAAGTTCCTATCCTCTGTGCCAATCAGAAAGCAGCTTGTATTCCCTGTCCTGAGCCAATCAGAAAGCAGCTTGTATTCCCTGTCCTGAGCCAATCAGAAAGCAGCTGTAGTCCCTGTCCTGAGCCAATCAGAGAGCAGTTTTGGACATCAGGCCTCCCCTGAACACCAGCTCATTCTGATGCGTCCCTGGTTTTTCCAGCCCTGGGACACGCTCTCAATGTTTTCCCCTCCCCCTGTGGGTGGGGTTTACATCAGACTCAGACTCACACTCGCACTCTTGACTAATGAGTGAATCATGTTGAGTTCAGATTTGACACCAGCACTTTACACCAGACGACAGTTCAACTGAACCAGAACTCTGGAACTGGAGTCAGGGCTTTAATCTCAATCTGACATTCAACATCTGAGGCATCTCCCCCTCAACCTGAGGATACTCCCCCCCGAGGCACCGCCCTCGTCCCTCATTATGACCCTAGGTGTTATAATAGAGCTCTGACTGCAGACACTGCTCCTGTCTCACCGTGACTCTTTGCACATTCATGTAGGAACACAAACAGTTCTGTCCTGTCCCTGTGCTGCTCAGACTGACCGTCTCTAAACTTTGTTACTTTAAGTTCTTTTTATCTTTTATTTTGAAAGGTCTTATTTTGATAACGAGCATGTTTTATAATGTACAGAAACAAAATCTATTTTTGTAATAAAGTTTTTGACTGGAGCTGTGGTCCTGGTTCTTCTTGGTTCTGGTTCTTCCTGGTGTTGCTGACCTGCTGCTGTGTTTAGCTCTGCATTCTGTCAAACGGGCACTTTACAAATTCGTCATCAACAACTGCAGACTAGAAAAAGGTGTACACATGGTTTGAAATGGGACGTGTACCATGTGGAACACTCGGCTATAACGTCTCCATGGAAACGAGCAGTGTGACCAGTGTACAGATCCAGTTTGTGGAGAGGCAGTCCTCGAAGCCGTATAAGACAGAATATATATATATATATATATTATATATGAATGTAACTTTTGTTACGAACTGAAAAAACTTGGGCTCCGTACAAAAGTCTGGATTAAGATTCGGTAACACTTTATTTTAGCACTAACTAACAGCTAATTTGCTAAACTAAAGTGTTAGCTTAACGCTGTAACGGGCAGACCCATTATAGATCTTGTTGCTAAGACGGTTGCTAGGGCAAGCTGGAGTTTCTCCCTGAATGAAGTCCTCTGGTCCTATCTGGAAGACAATGTCACGTATAAACACAGGATCACTGAGAGCAATAAACTAGATTTCATTCAGATTCATTTTCAGATTCATTTTTATTTTGCCATTTGCAGTAAAACCACATTGGAAAACTGGCCTTGGATTTAAGGCCAAAATGGTGATGTCCCAAATGTTGCTGAGCTAGAGCAGAGTTAAGTCTACATGTTAAGACCCAGAGAGAGGAGCCAAACTTCACCATGAGCTCTTCCCTTTAGCTTCATTGACCTCGCGGGTTAGCATTGTCCATCTGTATCATAGATCTGTAAACAGTCTGGTCCGTTCGCACGAACGTTACCAAAACATTGAAGTAAAAGAAATTCATGATTTTTTTCAGCAATTTTAATCGTCTCCTTGTATCTACTGTGACATATTCACGATGACTAATCCGTTTGAGTTGAATTAGAATATATTTTATTGTGACGAAAGTGCGGTGCGCTGTGACGCTGCGGATTAGGAGCGCTCTGCTGTCAGTCCGTCTGCGGGAGAGAGGCGCAAACACGACTCAAACTGCCTCAAAACTCTGAGAACTGCGGTGAAAGAAGCACCTCTCTACGGGGCCTCGCCCTTCAGTCCCCACGGCTCTGTCCCCGGTACAAAGCCCGGTACAGAGCCCGGTACAGAGTCCGGTACAGAGCCCGGTACAGAGCCCGGTACAGCCCGGACACAGCTCCAGGTGAGCGCTGCTAAACAGTCACGTGAGGGGATCATTCTACAGTTTTTCTACAATTTTTCTACAGTTTTACTACGGTTTATTATAAAGTCAGTTAAAAACTTGGAAATATAGACGAACATATCCCGGAAGTGAAGAAAGTGCTGAGTTTGAAGGAATGTGTGAACAACATGAGGGTCATGTGTCCTGTGGATCCTAGAGCATAAACACAGGGTCAATAATCTGATAATCTCACAAGACCTATGTTGTTGTGTACATTCATACTCTAGTTCATTGTGTTTACGGACTGGTTGCCATGGAAACAGATTTACGATTACGAATGTCTATCTATAGGGGGCGGCGACTTTTAACTGTACTTTAAAGCTGGGGTCTGTAACTTTAGTCTCATAAATAACACATGTTTAAAGCTCAGGTCTGTAACTTTAGTCTCATTAATAACACATGTTTAAAGCTCAGGTCTGTAAATTTAGTCTCATAAAAGATTAAGATTAAGAGATCCTTTATTCGTCCCACAGCGGGGAAATGCCAGTGTTGCATCACAGGATATAGAACAGTAGGAAAGAGGAGCACACGGCACAAGTTGAGTCAAAAATAGCTATACTAATTAAAATAAAACAAAATCTCTAACTCTAGCATCAAATAACAAGTATAAAAACTAAATCTCGAAAATAATAAAATAAGTGTAAAAGTTTTACATTTGGCAAAATAAGAGGCAAATATAAAATACTGTGTATTCTAGTGCAAGCACAGACTAGTTATTTGTTAGCACCTGTACATTAGCAGCAGAATGTTTACATCTGTACATTAGCAGCAGAATGTTTACATCTGTACATTAGCAGCAGAATGTTTACATCTGTACATTAGCAGCAGAATGTTTACATCTGTACATTAGCAGCAGAATGTTTACTTCTGTACATTAGCAGCAGTATGTTTACATCTGTACATTAGCAGCAGTATGTTTACATCTGTACATTAAGTATGTTTACATCTGTACATTAGCAGCAGAATGTTTACATCTGTACATTAAGTATGTTTACATCTGTACATTAGCAGCAGAATGTTTACATCTGTACATTAACAGCAGTATGTTTACATCTGTACATTAGCAGCAGTATGTTTACATCTGTACATTAAGTATGTTTACATCTGTACATTAGCAGCAGAATGTTTACATCTGTACATTAAGTATGTTTACATCTGTACATTAGCAGCAGAATGTTTACATCTGTACATTAACAGCAGTATGTTTACATCTGTACATTAACAGCAGTATGTTTACATCTGTACATGTACAAAAAAAAAATAACAATTGTAAACCGCTTTGTGACTCTGGTCTGTGAAAGGCGGTATATAAATAAAGCTTACTTACTTACTTACTTACTTACATTAGCAGTAGTATGTTTACATCTGTACATTAGCAGCAGTGTGTTTACATCTGTACATTAGCAGCAGTGTGTTTACATCTGTACATTAGCAGCAGTGTGTTTACATCTGTACATTAGCAGCAGTATGTTTACATCTGTACATTAGCAGCAGTATGTTTACATCTGTACATTAGCAGCAGTATGTTTACATCTGTACATTAGCAGCAGTATGTTTACATCTGTACATTAGTTTACATCTGTACATTAGCAGCAGTATGTTTACATCTGTACATTAGCAGCAGTGTGTTTACATCTGTACATTAGCAGCAGTATGTTTACATCTGTACATTAGCAGCAGTATGTTTACATCTGTACATTAGCAGTAGTATGTTTACATCTGTACATTAGTTTACATCTGTACATTAGCAGCAGTATGTTTACATCTGTACATTAGTTTACATCTGTACATTAGCAGCAGTATGTTTACATCTGTATATTAGCAGCAGTGTGTTTACATCTGTACATTAGCAGCAGTATGTTTACATCTGTACATTAGCAGCAGTATGTTTACATCTGTACATTAGCAGCAGTGTGTTTACATCTGTACATTAGCAGCAGTGTGTTTACATCTGTACATTAGCAGCAGTGTGTTTACATCTGTACATTAGCAGCAGTATGTTTACATCTGTACATTAGCAGCAGTATGTTTACATCTGTACATTAGCAGCAGTATGTTTACATCTGTACATTAGCAGCAGCATGTTTACATCTGTACATTAGCAGTAGTATGTTTACATCTGTACATTAGTTTACATCTGTACATTAGCAGCAGTATGTTTACATCTGTACATTAGCAGTAGTATGTTTACATCTGTACATTAGCAGTAGTGTGTTTACATCTGTACATTAGCAGCAGTGTGTTTACATCTGTACATTAGCAGCAGTATGTTTACATCTGTACATTAGCAGCAGTATGTTTACATCTGTACATTAGCAGCAGTATGTTTACATCTGTACATTAGCAGTAGTATGTTTACATCTGTACATTAGTTTACATCTGTACATTAGCAGCAGTATGTTTACATCTGTACATTAGCAGCAGTGTGTTTACATCTGTACATTAGCAGCAGTATGTTTACATCTGTACATTAGCAGCAGTATGTTTACATCTGTACATTAGCAGTAGTATGTTTACATCTGTACATTAGTTTACATCTGTACATTAGCAGTAGTATGTTTACATCTGTACATTAGCAGCAGTATGTTTACATCTGTACATTAGCAGCAGTGTGTTTACATCTGTACATTAGCAGCAGTATGTTTACATCTGTACATTAGCAGCAGTATGTTTACATCTGTACATTAGCAGCAGTATGTTTACATCTGTACATTAGCAGTAGTATGTTTACATCTGTACATTAGTTTACATCTGTACATTAGCAGCAGTATGTTTACATCTGTACATTAGCAGCAGTGTGTTTACATCTGTACATTAGCAGCAGTATGTTTACATCTGTACATTAGCAGCAGTATGTTTACATCTGTACATTAGCAGCAGTATGTTTACATCTGTACATTAGCAGCAGTATGTTTACATCTGTACATTAGCAGCAGTATGTTTACATCTGTACATTAGCAGTAGTATGTTTACATCTGTACATTAGTTTACATCTGTACATTAGCAGCAGTATGTTTACATCTGTACATTAGCAGCAGTGTGTTTACAGCAGTATAAATAGCATGTCTAAAGCTGTGTGTTCGGCGTCTCGTATCATCGTTTGGAGAGAATGATATGAACTCTGAACATTTTAAAGTGCTTTGGGTGACCTTGGCCTATATGCGTGCTATAAATACAAATAAACATTGCTTACATACTTACTAAAGATGTGACATCACAAATACTGTTTTAGAGCCAGAACTAGAGACATGGGTTATATACAGTTTGGTTGGTTGGTCTGAAAGTTACAGACCCCAGCCTTAAAGCCACCCTGTGTAATTTTTACAGCTGCTCCATATGAAAAAACATGTTAACTAATAACAAATGTGACCTTTTTAAGAATAATTACCTCCACCATGTTTTTTGAATTGTATTCATAAACTTAGAGTTTAACTTATAAGTGTCCATGAGAGAGGAGTGCTCTCGGTGAATATGTGCCATCTTGAAAAACGGTGGTGGATAAGGGACAAAAAGGATGCGAGAATCGCGTTTTCGTTTCACATGAGCTACTGATATCGTTGCTTTCACCGTGACCTCACAAGTTAGAAAGAACCATGAAGGACCAGAGTTATATAAAAGAACCATGAAGGACCACAGTCATGTAAAAGAACCATGAAGGACCACAGTTATATAAAAGAACCATGAAGGACCAGAGTTATATAAAAGAACCATGAAGGACCACAGTCATGTAAAAGTACCATGAAGGACCACAGTCATGTAAAAGTACCATGAAGGACCAGAGTTATATAAAAGAACCATGAAGGACCAGAGTTATATAAAAGAACCATGAAGGACCAGAGTTATATAAAAGAACCATGAAGGACCACAGTCATGTAAAAGAACCATGAAGGACCACAGTTATATAAAAGAACCATGAAGGACCAGAGTTATATAAAAGAACAATTCAAACAACAATCTTTTAGAAAAATAATTCTGCAAAAGTCCAGCTTCATAGCAGCAAAGTGTCAACATCACAAACCACACGCACAAAGACAGCGTAAACACAACAGGAGGCACATTGTGTAGTTTGTACACAACAGACTCACACGTGAACAATATTAACTTTTTCACTCTGACAATAATGAGAAGGAGGCAGACTCTACAACACAGTCTCAGGATGTTCTGACCCGATCCGAGCGCAGTCCAACTACTGTCACAAGTTTCAACTAAACTTATTCAGGAACACGCCTCAAATAAAACACAGAATCCCCACAAAACAATCGGCAGTATACTTTATCAGCAGTGTGAGTGAATGTTCTGTTTCTTACCGTGATGCAGATAGGGCGCTGTGGCTAATGCTAATGCTAACATGAGCTGTTAGCCATGTCTGCCGCAGCTCTGTATATCTCCAAGAACGCGGTCTTGTTTACATGTCGCCTCCACACAACTGTCAAGTGTCCGAGGCGTTTGGAGAGATCCGGTCATTTATCAAACTAAAGAATTCTTTCCTTGGCAGTCGGTGAATGACTGAGAGTTGAGGAACACTAAAGCTTCCGTACTATATTGGACTGCAATAAGAGCTCAACGATAGATGGCACTAAAAATTACACAGTGTCCCTTTAATGTTTCCTCTCTTGTTTTGTGAATTTGAACTGCTCATGAATTGTGCTTTACGGATAAGCCTGCTATGTATTTTTGAGTAGAGCTCTCCAGTGGTCTCTCTCTCTGGTCTCTCTGGTCACCATGCCCTGGTCCCAGCCGCTGACCGTGGTGAAGAGGAGTCTGCAGTGGTGTTGGGTCAGAGAGGTGGTGCAGCAGTACCCTCTCTCTTGTGGCCTGATGGGGGCGCTGCTGTCCCTCACGATACTGCTCCACAGGTCAGTCTATTTCAACCATGGATCTATAATATCTGGATAGGGTATTACTAGCTTTTAGCTGTCCCACCAATGGGCACAAGGGGCGCCCGTGGTACTGCAGACTAAATTCACGTGGACTACCCAGAAAGATGTCTTAAACTTAAACTGCTCGACCTCAGCCGACAGACAACTTACAGCTTTCATAAAGGTCGGATTTTGTAGGGATGTTTTTGTCCCTTGTCTATAAATCCTTTCTATAAATCTACACTTTAGTGCAACAAACTGTTTGTTTTCCTCTCACTTTAGCTCATCTCTGATCAGCAGCTCCGATTGGTCAGCACGCGCCCGGGAGGACCAGACGATGCTAAAATATAGGGATTTCCGCTAATCTTTCAGTCCCCGCGCTACCATTTTTTGGAATAGGGCGGTGCAACCGAGGGTTGAAACCAAGCCCCAGTGATCCAAGATGGCGGCCTGTTCAAATCAATGGCCTGTGATCAGTGCTGACCCACCATGGGCACAGAAAGATAACCATATCTGGGCATTTCTTTGGTCCTCCCGGTTCTACGCAGTGGACGAGCGCCCATGATGCTTTGCTCCAAATACTAATGTGCACGCGCATTGTGGCTCTCATGCACGTGCAGAGGGGCAGCGTTCTGACCAATCAGACGCTGCTAATCAGAGCGGAGCTAGAGTGGGAGGAAAACGAGCAGAGTTTGTTGCACTAAAGTGTAGATTTATAATGACATTTTTCTGGATTTCTGTATCCAGTTATTATTATAGATGGATCCATGGATGTGTGTCTCAGGTCAGTTGTGTGTCCCACGTTTGTTGTGTGTCTGTTGTGTGTTGCAGGTACCTCCATGTGCTGATGCTCTTCTGGTCATTTGTGGCTGGACTCGTCACGTTCTACTGCTCCCTGAGTCCACACACTCTGCTGCCCAGTGTGCTGCCAGAGACACACATAACCAGGACTGTAGGTCACACACACACACACACACAACCAGTGCTGGAGGGGACACACACACACACACACACACACGTTTCATGTGGAGTAGACAAGAAATAAGCTCTGAGTTTTGACGTCACATGTCTTTGTAACGTGTGTGTGTGTGTGTGGGTGTGTGTGTGTGTGTGTGTGTGTGTGTAACAGTGTGAGGAGCAGGAGTTGTTTCCCTCTGGTCTTAGCTGTGCAGTCTGCGGGAAGAACAAGTGCAAACGACACAGGTACAAATGACACAGGTACAAACCACACAGGTACAAATGACACAGGTACAAACGACACAGGTACAAATGACACAGGTACAAACGACACAGGTACAAATGACACAGCCAATCACAGTGGACCTTCTCTCACACACGGCCAATCACAATGACCATCATTGTGGCGATCAAGTGATGTCCCCAGTGTACTCCCTGCTTAACTCTGTGCGTGTGTGTGTGTCCGTGTGTGTGTGTGCGTGTGTGTGTGTCCGCGTATGTGTGTGTCCGCGTGTGTGTGTGTGTGTGTGCGTGTGTGCTCGTGTGTCTGTGCGTGCTTGTGTGTGTCTCTTTCTTCAGGGCCACTCTGCGTCTGGAGAACCATCAGCCCTGGTTGGACCTGAAGCTTCACTCCAAAGTGGACGCCTCGATCACAGAGGTGAGAGACAGGACCCTCCGCCCTGCAGCTGTAAAGTGCCACACTGTGGTTGTGTCCTTAGGCAAGACACTTCCCCCACTTTAGATTGAGTCTGGTGTGTGTGTGAATGATTGGTGGTGTTGGGAGGGGCCAATGGCAAAGGCCAGTTCCCTCACTTCTGTGGCCACTGCAGTAGTTTATCACCACTGTGTGTGGAGTGAAACAAAAATGATGTGAAGAGTTTTACACTTGGCTCTAGATGTGTAACATAAAGAACAACAGCGAAAGGATCATTTATTTATTTAATTACAGCAAACGTCTAGCACTAAGAAAAAAAAGGGGAAGACTGGTGCAAGAGAGACATATGATTGGCTCCTGAGACAGAGAGGGTGGAGTCCTGTGTGTTCTGATTGGCTCCCAGCAGGAAGCATGGGCACAAGTCTGAGTGGCAGCTCCACATAACAAGGAAGCACTGTATAAAACGGATGCGTCGTCCTCTGCAGTTAAAGCTCGGGGTTGTGGGTTTAATGAAGTGTCTGTTTGCAGGTCTTTGAGTTGGTGCTGGAGAACTTTGTCTTCCCTTGGTACAGGTCAGACACACACACACACACAAATACACACACACAGTTGTGTGTCTCAGGCACTGTCCACACGTAGCCGGGTATCTGCTAAACCGGAGATATTTGTCTTCGTTTGCACCATTCATCCACATGACAACGCATCATAAACGAATGTATAAAAAAACTTCGGGCAAAGTGAAGATTTATGCATTTGCGTGTAGACAGGAAGTTTTGCGTTTTCTCACGTCACAATAAGTGCCAAAACAACAACAAACAAAACGTGCGACCTCTGATTACTGAAGAAGCATGGATCTTACTGCCTTCAAAACTGTTCGCTGCTGCGAGCGGTTCACAGCAGCATCCTCCACATCAGAGAGCAGCAAAGTGATCAAAACAACCATGGACTAAACCAGGACTAAACCAGGACTAAACCAGGGCTGAGGACGGGGGTCAGTGCTTGTAAACATATGTCTTTACCCTGAGTTTCTACTATGACTGTAAAAGTGCCGCTACAGAGGTACAGGCGTCTACATCAAAGCTCCGCCCACTTCTGTGTTTTTGTCCCAACGCAGGACATCAGAGGATGCACATGTTAGGAATGTTTTGAATGTGATTGAAAACGCAGATGTTCGGTTATGTGTGGATGAAAATTGTTTTATAAATGGAGGGGGGGAAATATTCGGTTTTAAAAATACCCGGGTACGTGTGGACATGGCCTGTAACTGTTGTGTTGCAGGGAGCTCACAGATGATGAGGATTGTGTAGATCAGATCAGGTCCACATTCCGCTTCTTCGCCTCAGTCCTTCTGCGCAGAGCTCAGAAGGTGAGACTGGTTCTGGTCCTGGTCCTGGTCCTGTTCCTGATTGGTTCATGTCTGTGTGTTGTAGGTGGATGTTCCTTCAGTCTTCGCTGATAAAGTGATGAAAGCAGCAATGAAACATCTGGAGATTGTCACTAAGGCCAGAGAGAGAGGTCTGGACCTGGACTGGACCTGGACTGGACCTGGACTGGACCTGGACTGGACCTGACTGTCTCTGTCCTCAGTGTCCTCTGCGGAGGAGCTGGAGGCAGCCTGTCTACAGCAGTATGGGTCTCAGCTCCATGTCGCCCTCCGCAGTCGCAGAGAGGAACTGCACTATTTGAGATCACTCACTCAACTGCTGCTGCCGCTGCTGCTGCCCCCCAAGGCCACCGAGTGCAGGTGACCAGACCAGACCAGAGCTGGTTCCAGGTCTCTCTCTGACTCTCTCTCTCTTCCAGGTCTCTGTGTCTGCTTCTGACTGAGGTCCTGTCTGGCTCGGTGGTGCTTCCTTCCATGGACGTCTTGGCTGATCCTGTGAGTTCCTCATGCTCCTCACCATCACAGACCTGACTCAGACTACTGTCATGGCAACCACATATTCCAACCAAAAAGTGCTGTTCACACCGCACCGTCCAGTTTCAAAACTGTCGGTGGTGACGTCCTTGCAAATATTCACGTGTGTGGCAGGTTTGTCCGGCGGCAGACGCATTGTTGCGGAGCTACGGCGGTGGGTACGGCAGGAGAGGAATTTTGTTGAATTTTTTTTTGCTGGACGCACGTGCAGCGTCCAATCAGAGAGCAGCAAAGTGGTCACAAGGACACAAGCCAAAAGACGACACTTGAAAACAGCCAAAACCAGGACTGAACCAGGACTGAACCAGGACTGAACCAAGACTAACGCAGGCCTAACGCAGGCCTAACGCAGGCCTAACGCAGGCCTAACGCAGGCCTAACGCAGGCCTAACGCAGGCCTAACGCAGGCCTAATGCATGACTAATGCAGGACTAATGCAGACCTAACGCAGGCCTAACGCAGGCCTAACGCAGGCCTAACGCAGGCCTAACGCAGGCCTAACGCAGGCCTAACGCAGGCCTAACGCAGGCCTAACGCAGGCCTAACGCAGGCCTAACGCAGGCCTAATGCATGACTAACGCAGGCCTAACGCAGGCCTAACGCAGGACTAATGCATGACTAACGCAGGCCTAACGCAGGCCTAATGCATGACTAATGCATGACTAACGCAGGCCTAACGCAGGCCTAACGCAGGCCTAATGCATGACTAACGCAGGCCTAACGCAGGCCTAATGCATGACTAATGCATGACTAACGCAGGCCTAACGCAGGCCTAACGCAGGCCTAACGCAGGCCTAACGCAGGCCTAATGCATGACTAACGCAGGCCTAACGCAGGCCTAATGCATGACTAATGCATTAGGCACCGGGCGGCACGGTGGCTGAGTGGATAGCACTCTCGCCTCTCAGCAAGAAGGTCCTGGGTTCGAATCCCGGTCGGACCAGGGCCTTTCTGAGTGGAGTTTGCATGTTCTCCCCGTGTCTGCGTAGGTTTCCTCCGGGTACTCCGGTTTCCCCTACCACTAAAAACATGTCCAATAGTTCTAGCATGCGCCTCCTGTACTGGCCCTGCTCCCATCTCTGAGTGGAGTGAGAGACTAATGCCCAAAATTAACAATTGTAAACCGCTTTGAGACTCAGACCTGCAGTGAAAAGGCGGTATATAAATAAAAACTTACTTACTTACTTACTTACTTACTAATGCATGACTAACGCAGGCCTAACGCAGGCCTAACGCAGGCCTAACGCAGGACTAATGCATGACTAACGCAGGCCTAATGCAGGACTAACGCAGGCCTAACGCAGGCCTAACGCAGGCCTAACGCAGGCCTAATGCAGGACTAACGCAGGCCTAACGCAGGCCTAATGCAGGACTAACGCAGGCCTAATGCAGGACTAACGCAGGGCTGACAGACAGTGAACAAATAGCTCTAGCCTGAGTTTCTCCTGTGACTGTAAATTGCTGCTAATGTGTTGGATACAGAAAAACTGGGTCATAATATAATACCTCTATGTGAGTCTGAGCAGACACTGCTGTTATATGAGGATCTCAGACACAGAGACGCTGCAGCTGCACTCACAGAGGACGACTTCACACCAAGAGCTGCTAGCTTAAACTCATTAGCATCAAAGCTCCGCCCACCACTTCCACCTGGGCACGGTGGCGGCACGGTGGCTGAGTGGTTAGCACTCTCGCCTCTCAGCAAGAAGGTCCTGGGTTCGAATCCTGGTTGGACCAGGGCCTTTCTGAGTGGAGTTTGCATGTTCTCCCCGTATCTGCGTAGGTTTCCTCCGGGTGCTCCGGTTTCCCCTACCACTAAAAATACCCCCACTCCCAAAAATATCAATTGTAAACCGCTTTGAGACTCCGATGTGCAGTGAAAAGGCGGTATATAAATAAAGAGTACTAATAAAGATTACTACTACACATGCGTTTGACCCATGGATCTATTATAATAACTGGATAGGGTATTACCAGGGCTGGACTGGGACAAAAAAACGGCCCGGGCATTTTTTCCTTTTTAGCAGCCCAGGCAACTCAAAAGGTTCAAGGAGCCCTATTTGACAAAAAAAAACAAAAAAAAAACAGCGTTGTATAAGGCTTATATGAAGGTACGGGGGCTGAAGCTGTATTAGCTACATTAGCTATATTAGCTATATTAGCTATATTAGCTATATTAGACTAATATCTAAATGACAAAGTAAAGGCTAAACACATAAAAACCATTCATGATTATCAAATGTTTATTTTCATTGCAGCGTGTCCTGGAGAGAATGACGCACCACGTGACAACTCTGCTTTAAGTTTAACCTTCTTGCAATTGTACAAATACAGTAAATAAATCTGTTTTTTGGCTCCGAGTTCACCTGCATCACTGTCTGTTCATATCCATCACAGGCGGAAGTTTGCTGGAGCTGAATGTCCTTAATGGCCTTTTCTTTCACCGTCTTTGCGAAGGTTTTTGAAGTCTGAAAATAGGTGCTCTGACTTTATGATGAATGAATCTTTCAGTGAACGTGTTTAAAGCTTCATTGTTCCTCCTGTTGCAACAAAACTTTTCATTACATCGCAAACATGAAGCAGTCCTTCCTCATTGACTGAAAGCAAATGTTCATTCTCATTCTTAGTCCAGTCTTATCGACTCTCTTTATCTTTGGGATCCATGCGCACACACAGTTAAAATTGAATATTACTTTATACAAGTTTTTGCAGCATTGAAAAACGTTAAGGGGCGACAGTAGCTCAGTTGGTAGAGCATTGGCCTTTGAGCCTGAAGGTCGTGGGTTCGAGCCCACCGCAAGACCTACTTCACGACTCCCACTGATGACTGCTGCCGTTGTGTCCTTGGGCAAGACACTTAACCCCACTTTGCCTGAAGCTCCCACTGAAAGATCTCAGCTCCTGTGGACTCACCACCTGCAGGAGGATCAGTGAGAGGCTGGTGCTCTGTGACTGGGTGCAGCTCTGACTGCCACCCCCCCGACCCAAAAATGGATTAAGGGGAAGAAAATGGATGGATGGATGGATGGAAAAACGTTAAGAATGTTTTTCCTCCTACAGAAACCACATTGAAACTAGAAATAAAATATAGCCCTCACACTCCATTTTCAGACATTTTTGAAAAGGCTCCAGGAGCCACTTTAGGGGCACTAAAGGTTGCCGACCCCTGGTTTATACAGTATGTGGAAGCAAATACTGTGAGGATCAGGATCTCTCCAGTTTCAACAATAAAATACAGTACAATAGTCTACATTAAACAGAGTAATAAACATGTCTCAGAGTGAGGGAGGTGGGCACTGGTGAGAATTGGTAAAAAATTCTGAAATGCATATTGTCAGCCATTGGCTGGCTCTAAATCTGTTTAATCTGTTCACAACATTTTACTTTTGGGCTCAAAGATGAACTTTTAATGCAATGGAAAATTTAGGTACCCGAGCTTTATTTTAGAGGAGAGGGGAGACGCGGACTGTTTTCTGCAGCGGTGTGTTTATTGGGTGCACAAATTACGAAAAGACATGCATGGTCCTGTGTGCGTTTATGGTCTTGGGTACATGGCCACGTTGCGGCTACGCGCTCACCGTGTTGTGTTGTGAGCGGTTCCCGGTGAGCGGTTCCTGCGTCCAGCTCAGAGCCGCTGGATGCGGGAACACTGCGGCCGCTGAGGTGGTGGAATCCCGTTCGAGTACATACAGCAGGTGCCCCGCGGACACGCGCGCTCCCCTCAAACATTTCTCAACGGATTTACACTTTTCACAAACATGTTTTTTGTATGTGGCACAGACCGGCCCAAATATGGGCATCGGCCCTTCTGGCATTGCCCGGTACGCCCGATGGCCATTCCAGCCCTGGGTATTACTAGCTTGGAGCTGAAGAACTCATGTGCTCGGAGGATTCTCTTGGTACTGCAGACCAAAACAGACTAAATTCACGTGGGCTACCCAGAGATTTTCCCCCATAGAACTCAATGTAAACTAAAACAGCTCGACCTCAGCTGAGAGAGAACCTGGCAGAGAACCTACAGCTTTCATAAAGGTCGGATTTTGTGGGGATTTTAGTGTCCCTTGCCATCCTGAACTTTTTTTCTTTTGAAATCCTTCATTTTTCTTTAAATCCACCCTTTACTGCCACAAACTCTGCTCATTTGGCACCCGCTCTAACTCCGCTCTGATCAGCAGCTCTGATTCGTCAGAGCACGGCCGAGCCCCTTTGTGCACGTGCCTTGGAGGCACACACACGTATTTGGTGCAATGCATCACGGGAGCTTGACCACTTTGCAGAACCGGGAGGACCAGATGATGCCCAAATATTGCCAAGTTCTGCTGATATGTCAGCGTCCGTGCCGGCACATGCGCCACTGAGCACTGTCACTTGCGTATTCGTCCTGGAAACCGGATTCGTCCGGAAGTTCAGTTTGCGCATGTCAAAAAGTGTAATAAGTCCTTAAGTGGTGACTGGTTAAGTTAGATGTCTAAGTAAGATGGTTAAGGTTAGGGTAAAGGCTGGGTTGGGGTTATTTTATGGGAATGGCTGGTTAAGTTTAGGCATGAATAGGTAGTTTTTTATATTTACTTCCGCTTCTGTCCAGATTCCGTGATGTAATCTACTGCTGCGTATGCTCTTTGGATCAAACTGAACTTCTGGACAAATCCGGTTTCCAGGACGAATACGGGAGTGACAAGCGCAAACCATTCATTTGAATATGGCGCCATCTTGGATCGCCAGGGCTTGGTCTGCGCACATGCGTATTTGGCGTTAAGCATCATGGGACCTCGTCCACTGCGCAGAACCAGGCAGAACCGGACCAGACAAATGACCAAATATGGCAGAGTTCCACTAGTCTTTCGGTGCCAATGGTGGCACATGTGCCACTGAGCACAAGACACAAGATGTGTCTTGTGTCAGATGCATCAGTAATGTCACTACATGTTTTGAACACAAATAGAAGCACACACAGATAAAGAGACAGATACACACACACACACACACACACACACACACACACACACACTCCTGGTGTGAGGTCACCTGGTATCTGACCTTCTCTCTCTGGTTCCTTAGGACATGGTGAACCACCTGGTGCTGCTGTTTGTGGACTCCTCTCCGGTCGGTGACTGAGATGAAACTGGTCCTGGTTTAAACTGTCGTTGTGTGTTTAAACAGTGTGTGTGTTTCAGCCTGAGGAGCCCCCTGATGCCCCCTCCCCGTTGGTACCATTCCTGCACCGCTATGCTAACTGCAGCGACAACAAAGCCTCAGTGAGTCACACCAGACCTGCTCTAGTCATAAAGACCAGGGTTGTATCTTGTGTCTGGTGGTTGTGTCTCTGATGGTTGTGCGTGATGGTTGTGTCTCTGATGGTTGTGCGTGATGGTTGTGTGTCTGATGGTGTGCGTGTGATCAGAATCAGAATCAGAATCATTTTTATTGCCACGTAAGTAACAAAAGTCACCACTTAGAAATTGCTTTGGCAGAGCTCATGCCACGGCGCCATCTTTGCGGCGCCGTGGCAACTGTGATGGTTGCGTGTCATTGTTGTGTGTGTGTGAGGGTTGTGTGTCTGTGTTATGTGTGTGATGCCGGGTCCTGTGGGTGCAGGTCCTGAAGCTGCAGTTCCAGCAGATCCGGGACCAGCAGGATCTTCTCTTCAGGTTCATGAACTTCCTCAAACAAGAAGGAGCTGTTCACGTCCTACAGTTCTGTCTGACGATCGGTGAGTGTGTGTCTGTGTGTTTGTGTGCGTGTGTGTGTGTGTGTGTGCGTGTGTGCGTGCGTGTGTGTGTGTGCGTGTGTGTGGTCTTTGTCATGGTCTGGGTTCCGGTCTCACTTGTCTCTTGGTACCAGAGGAGTTCAACAGTCGGGTTCTTCAGCCGGAGCTGTCAGACTGTGAGATGGCGGCTCTTCACACCGAGCTGCAGACCATCTACCAGACCTACTGTGAAGACCTGAGTGTGGACAGGATCTGCTTTGATCCAGAGGTCACCAGGGAGATACAAGAAGGTGAGACCAGGGGGACCAGAGACCAGAGACCAGGGAGATACAAGAAGGTGAGACCAGGGGGACCAGAGACCAGAGACCAGGGAGATACAAGAAGGTGAGACCAGGGGAACCAGAGACCAGAGACCAGAGAAATACAAGAAGGTGAGACCAGGGGGACCAGAAACCAGGGACCAGAGAAATACAAGAAGGTGAGACCAGGGGCACCAGAGACCAGAGACATACAAGAATGTAAGAGCAGGGGGAACGGAGACCAGAAAGAGACCAGACTCCAGAGGGACCAGAGAGATACGAAAAGGTGAGACTAGGGGGACCAGAAATAGAGACCAAAGAGAGAGACCAAAGAGAGAGACCAAAGAGAGAGACCAAAGAGAGAGACCAAAGAGAGAGACCAAAGAGAGAGACCAGAGAGAGAGACCAGAGAGAGAGACCAGAGAGAGAGACCAGAGAGAGAGACCAGAGAGAGAGACCAGAGAGAGAGACCAGAGAAGCTTGCTTGGACTCAGTTAAAGCTGCCTCTGTGTCTGCAGTGTGTCAGGCTTCCTTCCGCTCGGTTCGGCTCCTGCAGAAGAAACACTGTTTGTTTGAAGCTTATGAACACGTTCTGTTTCTGCTGGAGAAGGTCTTCACTCCAATGTTCTGCCACAGTGACGAGGTGAGAGGGCATCAGGGGTAATCAGGGTATCAGGGGTAATCAGGGCATCAGGGGTAATCAGGGCATCAGGGCATCAGGGGTAATCAGGTTATCAAGGGTTTGTGTAGTTGATGGGTCAGTTCCTCTGCCACCTGCTGCTTGTTTGTTGTTGTTGTTTACTTGTTGTTGTTTACTTCAGTACTTCCGCCACCTGCTGCGGGGGGCGGAGTCTCCGAACAGAAACAGTAAAAGTCTGAGGAACAGTCTGCGACGCGGAGAAACATCAGGGATCAGCCGCATCAGCAGCCGGCTCAGAGGAGTGTTCAAGAGTAACACACTAGAGGGCGCTATACCCCCCCCAGACCAGGACCAGGACCAGGACCAGGTGAGCCAAGACCAAGACCGGGTGAGCCAAGACCAGGACTAGGTAAGACAGGACCAGGTGAGACAGGACCAAAGGAGTGTTCGAGAGTAACACACTCGAGGGCGCTATACCCTGCCCAGACCAGGTGAGATAGGATCAGAACCAGGTGAGACCAGAAAGAGCCCGGTGAGGCTAGGAGCTGATGGTGTTTCACTCGTTTTCACTTTTTGTGTGAATCTGAGTTCCTCTGCTGCAGGTGGAGGAGGCCACGATGGTCCTGGAGGAGGACTTCCTGGAGCCTGGATCCTGGTCCGGGCCTCAGTCCTGGTCCGGTCCTGGTTTTGCTGCTGGTTTTGGTTCTGGCCGTAAGTTGTCTGAGTGGAGTGCGTGGATCCCCTTCATCGACGTCATGGAAGACGAGGCACGCAAGGAAGGTGTGCCGGCGTTTCTGATCCAAGTGCAACGCAACGACCGCAAGGACGGTGAGAGGGAGACCTGACCATGAAGACCTGACCATGAAGACCTGACCATGAAGACCTGACCATGAAGACCTGACCATGAA